TTTTATCTGTGACACATGAGCTGGATTCCAGACCTGATAACCAGGCCGCTTCCCAGCCCCCTTTACTGTTTTATTGCAAAATTGTGACACACAGACCACGTCAGGTATTTGCAAGATCCGGCTAATCTGTTAATAGTTCTGTATTTAAATGACTATTTATTTCAGCCACAATTTCATGTTGTTTTGATAGTAAATATGGACAGAATATCAATGTTGACATGGCAGGTAACAAGGTAAACAAAATGAACACATGGAACTTAAGAGTTCATTGACGGTCAACTAATGTGTCTTGGCAGGGAATCTACAGGTGTGTACTCCACCCACAGCTCATTTCCTGATTATGATACAGACTTGTTTGCAAGGTGAGTGGACCAGGCATAGAAATAAAGTTAGTACATAAAGTCAAGCACAGCAATAATTGTATGAAACACAGGAACCAAGGAGACCTTTGTTACAAGATAATGTGTGATAAAGATGTTTGTACCTCAGTTAAAGAGCATAGGTTCAGTTGGCTAATTTGAGCTAATACGACAGATGCAAGTTTAATCCCACTGCACAGTAGCTGTTTACTTATATTGATTCCACATTACAGCCAAGATGTAACAATCGAATATACCCTCTTTTAAATTTTTGTCTAGATTCACACAAAAAAAGAGGTCGCTCATAGTTATAAGAGCCACAGTGAATTATCACCTGATTTCTCCTTAGTCCGACGGAGCTTTACACGTCTTTTATGGTCAAGAGTTGGTGGAGACCAAAACAGAGCTACAAGGGGAGTGAATATTAACTTAGCATTTGCCAAAATGAAAGCTAATGTAGCTCTGTGTCTGCTGGATGTGTAACAGTTTGCTATCATATTAGCCACATCAACACTGCCATTTTAACAGGATGCTAATGTATCTGTGTGTACTTCTTACTTTCTGTTATCGAACTGAATGACACCTACACTAGCTGGAGGATCATGTAAGTCACAGTGGGAGGAAGTTGAAGCTGTAAACCAGAAACGTGGCTTAAAAAAAAACATTCACAAGACATTGACTACCAACAGGGCGTAACGTATTGTTGGATGTGCAAAAAGTTTGGCCAGAGGCACCAGTGTACGGCATCTTCTAAGAAGTAGAAGCCAGACACACCCTGCACCTTTGACCAGCTTGTTCATGAAGTCATTAAATTAAAAGAGGATGTGATACATGAATTACTTGCTCTTTCCTTATCAGTGCGGTGTTGAGTTCCCCCATCTATCTTTCTTCTAAACTGAGTCATCACTCAACTTTTTACACAACACTTTACATCCGTATCCCACCTAAAAGAGACTTTGAAACATGTTTGCAGCCTAAAACATAACACTTAACACTCATTTGGTCACATTTTAGGCAACCATAATGGTGTATAAATATAAAGATTGTGTATGTGAATTATAAATAGATTATAAACCACCTTTTCTTTAAGCAGGCGTCACAGTCCTTTTTCAGCATCAGTACCTCGTGCAACATTCGTGTGGACAGATTTAGATTCACAGTTCCCAAATGTACTGTAGCCTATGTGTGTGTCTGTGTGTATTTATGCCAGAATGTGTGGTCACTCCCCAGTGTATTAAAGTAGCACGTTGCTGCTGGTTGTGGCTGTCTGTGTGTTCCAGCCACAGATTACAGGGCCTGTCGGCAGACGGGGCTCTAAACACGGGTCACAAGACAGCCCAAAATGTGACAAGTTCATCTCAGAGAGCTGATAGCTGGTATCGTGTATCTTAAAGCACATGTGCTTATATAGTACAGAATTTGGTGTTATTTCTGTATGTGAGTGGCCTGGATGTGTGGTTTTGTTTGTGTATGTGTCGTACATGTGTTTGAGTCATGTTGAACTGCTGTGGTGCTTTAATATAAAAGCTGTAGTAGAGACTTTCAAGCTTAACATTTTTCTGTGCTTCAGAAATAATGTGGTAAATTTGAAGCTTAAATTAAAGGTTTCTGCACTTTGTCACCCTCTATAGGCGGGTTCCCATCCACCTCATAAAAAAGCCCGAGTATAGATTGCAAAATAATTATGTTTGGCAGCTACTATCCAAGTTATTTCAGCCACCACATTGCTAGCATGATTTACAAAATGTAGCATATTCACCTACACAAAACCTACGTATAAACTATGACTTCCTGTATGAATACAATATCTGTTATTTGTTGTCAGATAAACGTAAAAGGTTAGCAAAACCTGATTAGCACCAATATTATCAAAACACGACATACACGTGGTTCGGCAGTTTATTTCAATGAGGGTAAGTCATCTGCGTAACTAGCACCAGTTTTTAGCATTAGTCAGTTTACCTGTTCAAGCCTACTCTTTAAATCTTTTTTTGGTTCACTGGTTGTTTCCATTATGCAAATGTTTTGGAACCAATATCAAAAATGCAAAAATGGCATATTTGCATTGTTATCTCGAATGGAAGCACACCCAGAGAAATCTTGCATAGCGACATTAAACAACTATTTCAACCCCAGTAATTGTGCCAGTGTAACATATTAACTTAGCCTCTCATTAGCGACTGTAACTGTAAGCTAAGCTAGTTTGCTAGCTGGCTGTAGGATCTTGAAATAATGGAAATATGAATAATAAACTTAATTAATAAACTACCTCACATTTCTGTTTTTTAATTTTTATTATTTCCTTTGCTGTTATTCAAGTTTCCCACGTGGCAAAGTCGAACCTAAATGACTATTTACCACCTCCTCATTTGTGGTTTGGCACAACAAATGAAACATATCTGCCTACGAATAACTGTAATAGCAATTGTATTGTACTAGTTTTTGTTTTTAGGTCAATATCAAATCTTTAATGTCTACATTTAATCTAATTTCTTGGCTAATGTGTCTTTAATATGCCTTTAACATCTGAATGGAAAAGTGTAATTTCATGAAGTGGGTTCACAGCATCATTTATTTTAAGTGCATGGATGTGTGTGTGTGTGTGTGTGTGTGTGTGTGTGTGTGTGTGTGTGTGTGTGTGTGTGTGTGTGTACACGAGCAGCACAAATCTTGTGGGTTAACCTGTGGTTGCTTTTCTGTACGGGCTGTTTGTCTGCCGTCACCCAGTCAGTCAGTCTGTCATTCAGTCAGTTTTATGAATGTGTGTGGGTGGGAGCTGGTGAACCAGTTTTGCCACTTGTGTGTGTGTGTGTGTGTGTGTGTGTGTGTGTGTGTGTGTGTGTGTGTGTGTGTGTGTGTGTGTGTGTGTGTACGTACATCAAATCCCTGGGACTGTCTGTAAGCTAATTATATAACAACACCTCTCTCATTCACTCCAACTCTGCCTCCCTCCCTCCCTCTCTTTCTATGTTTCTCTTTCCCTCTTCATCCCACACACACACACACATGCACTGGTGAAATACATCCTGTTATTGTCAGATCATTCATGTGGCTTGTGACTGTGTTCCCTGTGTCCCTGTGAGGATGGTGGCTGTCATTCTAATGCCTGAGAATGTCTTGTGTTTTACCACCACTACACTGTGTCATCTGAAGACTGTCGACTGCAGAGGGAGTTGGTGTCGAGTATTGTTTTGTGCTGCTCCGTAGACTAATCAGTATCAGTATTATCTGTCTACGTGTGTCCAATCCACAGTTGCATGTACACTCAACTGGTGTGTAGTTGGAAGAAGAAGAGAGCTGCAACCAACCATAATTTTCATTATAAGAGATTAATAATTAGAAAAGCCAGACCGATTTTTTAGGCTGGTACTGATGTTGATATTTGAGAGATAATAAAATCTGATAATGATATATCGGCTGACATTATTTCTCTTTACACAAATAACTGATTGACGAATGGCAACAGGCTAACAGACTGTGGTTGTAGTGGGCAGCTGCGAATGTGTGTAAGTGAGTGAATGTGATCAGGACGCTCCTGTAAAAGAGAGGTTGCCTCTCAGTGAAACTGCCGGAATAAGTAGAGGTTAAAAAATATGGTGAAAGAGAGAGAACGTCCCTGGCAGGGATCAAACCAGGGATGTTTTGATTATACTGTATGTAACCACTAGGCTATCTGACCTGCTAATAATTCTTGCATGTAATCACAGGGTTACCCCAGGAGAATGTTTAGCCGAGGTGGTAAACCATGTAGATTGTGACTCATCTTGTCTCATGATTATTAGTTGGCCACGTTTATTAAATACATGTGATTTGTTGTTTGAAATAGAAATAGGCTTCAAAACGGTTGTCAGAATTGTCATCGATTCGTTTTCTGGTGGTGAAGTAATTGATTAATTCAGTGATCGTCTCTACTCGAAGAATACAACACAAAGCTACATGTACATTAAAGTTTGAGAGAGTGTGTGTGTTTGTGTGCTGACTTGTCCCGGTGCAACACCTCCCACCTCAGCACACCCCGGACCAGGCAGAGTCGTGACTTGGGACGCCCTCAAACATTCTGCCAATGTGTGAATCCAGGTCTAAAATAAACTGCAGCGACATTAACAAACACTTTGACTCTAGCCAGAAAAATGGAAGACAAGTTTTGAGTTCACAGGATTGTCCATTTTCACCAGCTGAGGCCAGGATGAAATTGTCGCTGCTGCCTGAGGAAGAGTTTCTTGTGTTGCATAGAAAATATTTGTTCCAAGCCTTGAACACACATTTTCACACTCCCATGGGATGGTCTCTCTCGTGCTGTCTGAGAGCTCAAAGCATTTTCTTGTTTTTTTATTTTTTGCATTTTGCCTCCTTTGATGTGCTTTGGATTTTTATACATTTATCATACCACATTTGTGACCCGACCCCGGAGGAGCGGAAGAAAATTGATGGATGGATGTTTGTACGTGCAAATTCATGGTATTAATCCCAAGAATTAACACCAGCTACAAAAACGGATAAAAACATTAACCTGGATTTCAACTGTGTTCCAGAGGCTTTACTACACTGACAAATGTTCTCAAAATGTTTCAGCCCCATCGTATATAAATTATATATACACTGCAGTCTAACAATGCCTCCTCTCTGTTTCTCTCTCTCCAGTGACAGCTACATCGTGCGTGTGAAAGCGGTGGTGATGACGCGGGACGACTCGAGTGGCGGCTGGCTGGCCCAGGACGGGGGAGCTCTGAGCAGGGTGGGCGTGTGCCGCCTCCTGCCGCCCGAGTTGGCGCCTGTCCCGGCCTCCAGCAGCTCCCAGTTCCTCATCCGTGGTGAGCGGCTACGGGATAAACAGGTAAAACGCACACACAGCGATGAACTAAAGTATGTCAAAGCTCATCTAAGGATAAGAGATGGAAAGTGTCCCCGTTGTGACTGACTGATACGTGCTGGACAAACAGGTGATCCTGGACTGTCCACTGAGGAAGGATCTGGTGTACACCATAGCAACGCCCACATTTCATCATTGGAAGGTGGAGGACAGGAGGTGTGGCCTGTCCTTCCAGAGTCCAGCTGACGCCAGGGCTTTCGACAGGGGGGTACGGAAAGCAATCGAGGACCTGGCTGAAGGTACGCTGTGCTGCAGTGTGGCTCTCCACGGACACACTGTCAGGTTATAGATCCGTCAGCTGTCAGGGATAACAAGGTCCCACCGGACCGGATGCAGTCGACCTAGGGGTTAACACGGTGTCATGAGGTCCTAGCTGCGCCTAAAACATTGTGCAAGTCTTTTCAAATGTTCATATTGAAGGAGTTTTATGTGAAGAGATATGTTGCACATTAAGATGAGAACACCCAACTAATTAACAAATGATCAAGGCAGAGACGTTTAAAGCATTATGGTGTTGGCACTGAGCATCAGCAGATTCAAATACAACAGCTTTGAAATCTCTTTCCCCAAAAGTCGGTTTTGAACCAGAGAGTTAGCAGCTATCATCAGCTGTAGGATATTTTGCCATCACATGTTGTGGGTTACAGCTTAATTGCATGAATACAACTTGCATTCTGTTTGAAAGCAAAAATTTTCAAGTGAAGATCTCCTCACCAGCTTCACTGAAAGTTAATTAGAGACTGAGTTTATAGATGCATGAAGGAATAATTTCAGCTTTAAACTTAAGTAGGGTTTATTTCACCTGAGTGATGACAGATAGGACACACAGATGTTCCCGCATCACTGCAATATCTCCATGACTTCTGCTAATTCGCCCACAAAGTCCTATCTGTCAGTGGATGAGCGCCAGGGTTTACCTCACGAACACATCATCCAGTAAAAAAGTTTGATCCTTCAGAATTAAAATGTGCTCCTGCTTCCCTCTCCACAGGCTCCACAACCTCCTCGACAGCACTCCAGAACGAGGGCGAGCTGGGTGACGACGACGTCTTTACCGTAAGCATGTTCCCTATGTTCATGTTGTATCATAGTTGGAAGTATAGGTTGTAGAGACCCATCTGTGTCTTATCACGTGACAAAATAAGGCATCAGGGTAAAATATCCAGGAAAAGGGACATTGGCATGAACTGTTGTACGACACACTGGACAAAGTAATTTTCAGAGTAATGCGTTTCTCATTCACGTCCAGAAGAATCATTAAAGTTATCTCGTAGGGGACTGAAATCTGTTGATGGCGATAATTAGCTTTTCCTCAATTTTCTTTGATGCTGTTTTACACAGTTGAGCTGAAGCATAAAACAACTCTGTGCTTCCCGAGGGAAGCAAAATAAGCATGACTGGTTGTCTCCAGGATGTCACTCCTGTGCGTCAGAGGACATGAGCATAAAGCTGAACTCTCCTCAATTTCCTCAGATTGGGAATTTTTCTTGAGTCCTGAGTCGCAGTGGGCAGATCCAGGATGTTATTTCAAGGTTCACCTTACAGTGAATGGCATTCTGCTTTTCCTCCAGTGTTTGTGGGAAATCAGACTGAAAACAGCCGTGTGTTAAGAAGGCGGGTTAACAGATCCGTGTGTGTGAGGGCTTTTCAGACACAAAACACTACAGACGTTTATAATGCTGTGAGTAAGAATTCCACTGCTCTGGGAGGTTATATTCTGTCATGGCGATCATGACGTAAACAGAAGAAATACGCCTCGTCTGATGACGGTGCTTTCAGGCAAAAGCTGGAATCCAATGCAGAGGGCTGCGGCAGAACAGTGTGGGGTTGACAGGCAAAAAAGATGAACTTGGCTTGAAGTTTTGCAGCAATGCAACCTAACGTCATCTGCACATTCCTGCAAGATTACTTTCCAAGAGAACAGAGCATTTCTGCTGTTTACCTTTCAGTTGTGTTGACTAAAGATAAAACAGTTGCCGCTGCGATAACGTTCTAGAGTTGTAAAATCCTGTGTGTTTTGGTGTCTTTAAACACATGAATCTATTACTCCGGCTGGACTCCCTGGATCAGATTTCATGTCACCCCGGTACCTTAACCAGCACGCCCCCACCAGTGCAGTACCCTGCCACTGAATGTTGACTGCTGCAGTCTGTAGTCGGACTGTGGCTCAGTTTATACCAGTACTTGTTCAACATCTCCAACCTGCTGCACTGAAATGGAAGTTTTAGGGCCCGGAGTGAACCGTGGCTCCAGAACAGACTGAGACACCAATCAGACAAAATCCCAAAAGAGCCGTCTGCATCCAAAACATCTCAAAACTGACTTTGTTTCATCCATCAAGCAGAAAGTATTTCAGCTCAGGATCCCCTCCCCGCCACACATACCTGTTGCAGTATGAGAAGTGTGTGTGTGTTGTTTGTGTGTCATGGCCTCTCCACCTTATGTTAGCATGGAGGACCCCCTCCCCCAACCCTGTAGCCTGACACCAGGGACAGCAGGCAAGGTCACAAGGTCACTTCCTGTATTCCACCACCTCCCTCTCTCCTGGTGACCCCCTCCCCCTCCCCTCCCCCTCCCCCACCACCCCCCCCGTTGAAAAAGAGAGCAGACACCAAACTAGCAGCAAGCAGCTGTTTCCCAGCTTAGTGCAGGGCTGGTGATTTACGAGAGGAAGTGCCTCGTGGTTCATCTTTGACTTGAGCTGTCTGTAAGGGCCAAGACTAATAGGTGCTCTGCTGGGAGTGTACAGCCACCACAGAGACGCATACAAACACATGGGGAGGGGGGGGGCTACAGCGCTGTCAGAGGGTGGAGCAATCCCTGAAATGGAGCATCAGGTTTTCAGGAAAGTAGAAGCTTTCAGTGCAACAAATCCAAGGCAATGCCTGAGTATTGTTGCACAGAAAGCAACACAGATGGCCTGTTAGTCTTTAAGTGTTTGGTTTTTTTTTCAGCTTAAACATGGATGGCTCCAACACACCAAGAACAAGTATTTCTGTGTTGCCTCATGCCTGCTTTTTGAAAATATGCACTTGAACACACCACAAAGATTACAGCCAGCAGCCATGCACATGCATTATTCACCTGCACGAGAGTAATAACTAGCCTGCAGTCTGTGTTTGTAATCCAAAAAACATAATGATATCTAGTCCACCAATTTTCTTCTTCTTTGGTTGTATCATCCTTCCATACACGTTATCATGTGTTGCAACAGTTTCACAATGCCCAGTGGGAAGACTGGAAGAGTAGCCAATGTTGCATTAGCCTAGAGAGCTAACTGTCAGCAACATAAAAAAAAAAGGACAAATACAGTCACAGGTTGAGTTTGCTCGTATCAGTCAGGCTCCGTAGAGTTTTAAAGACACTGGTTAGCGTCTCACATTTAGGCTCATACAGAACTGTACTTTTTCACAAACTGCCTTCGTCGCAGTGATAACATGCTAAACCGCGCACATGCTACCGATGGTCGGGAACAAGCTCTCAATGGCAACTGAACAACGCCGCGCCTGTTGGCTCAGTGTGTCCGAACCCCTCTGGATTTATGACTGAATGTGGACATGAGTAGTTACTGCCTGATTTTGCATTTTTGGCAGATGAGGTCCATTTTGTCTGCGTGTCTTTGTCTTAGCATTTCAGCTGTCTTCTATCTGACGGTCACAGACTCCTGCTACTAGTATTGAGTAGTATTTGGGAAAGCAAAGTTTCATACAAGACGAAACCCAGCAGCCACATGTTGTCTTGTGAATAACTACCAGACTGAAATTTAACAACTATGACACTAAAATCACAATAATAACCATGTGATACAGTGATGGGTTCAGTGCCGCCGCTTGATTTCCTCCCAGCCTGCGTTAATGACCTTTTCCTAAAGTTAGCGATGGCGGCAGAGTTTTCAAGACGGGCAGTCGTGGACAGAGGGAAATGCTGCAGCAGATTTACAGCCTTCGGGGGGACATGGGGTGGAGGTTGGAGGGAGGAGAGCTAGGATGGACATACTTCCCTAAATTATTCCTCATTCGCCAAACCTAAACTTAACCCAACCCTTCCTCTGTTCCTCCCTTCAGCACGTCTCCTTTCTCTGCCTCTATTTTGGCTCATTCACAACAGGGGGAGCGAAAAGCTATTGAAGCAATTCTGGGCTCATCCCAGGAGAGCGAGACGGGCCTGTTGAAGGATGAATCCTCCCGAGCTTTGAGTCGGGACATGTTTTGTGTCAGAAAATAACTTGAAATGCCCTCTGTCCAGCCTTGGGCCAAAGTATATAGAGAGGATGTCCCGAAATATAAACTCTCCCCCTCAACTCCTCTCTGTCTCTGAGTCCTCTCGTGCTGTTTGAGCTTGCAGCAGAAAGTCTGGTCTGTGTTTTGAATTAGTTGCAGCCGTGGAGGCCAGAGTCGGACTGGTTTTAAACCGTATCAGCTCCTCCTCCCCGGTAATGTCTTCTCCAGGGGGGCGGGGCCAGGAGCGGAGGCAGCATTTTATGTTATTTTTGGCCGGCTGCTCTGAGGGCTTTGTAAGAAAGCTGGGGGAAATTCTCAGCATGGTGGTTTCCATGTGGGGAGCAGGATATAATAGGGATAGCTTCAGCAGACAGACAGACACATACACACACACACACACACACACTAGATCTGGGTCATATAACTGGCAAATAATTCATAGTATTGGTTTTAGACTTGTTGGAGTGCCATATATTGGCACATGCGGTGAATAGTTTGTGAGGATTTCCAGGGGTGATGTGTCACCTGACAATGACCCATGTTTACACTGCAAGAAATATGGTTCTTCTAGGATTGATTGCAGGCTAGATTCATGTAGAGCAGTTTAGTATGGGCAGAGCTTCCCATTGACCAGATAGGAGCATTATTTTGTTAGATTACAGGTTCTTTTTGATTGAAGTGACTTTGAAGGACGGCAGTGTGTCAGTTGGTCGGTCCACCACTTTATTCCAGACTAAAATATCTCAACGTCTGACTGAGTGAATTGGCTCAAAAGTTTGTACAGACATTCATGATCCCCAGATGATGAATCTTAACGACTTCAGTCTCCTGTAGAGGCGCCATGAGGTCGATGTCTGTGGTTTTGAGTGAAATGTCTAAAAAAAAAAAAAGTGTTGGAATGGATTGGCACAACACTTGGGTCAAACATTCGTCTATTTGATGGATTTTCAAATAAGAATTCAATCCACCAGCCGTACCATTAATAACCAACCTGCTCCAGCTGAGCTACACCCTTGTTTTTATCTGGAGATATTTGAGTAGCTGGAATTAAGCCTCTCATCTGTTTTATGCTTGTCAGGTGGAATTGTTTTTGTTTAGTTTTTTTCCTCATGAAATGAAATCACATCAGCACAGACAAAAGGGGAGCACAGAAGTCTCTTAGCTGCTGCGAGCTGCTGGCAAAAGCTGACCGCGTAAAATTCAGCCAACTTTTCTTTGGCAGACAAACTTGTTGACCATCGATACAAGTTTCTATGACTCTGTTGACTCGCCATATGGTTCTCAAAGCAAGATAAAAAAAACAAAGCATAACTTTTCTTTCTCAATGCAACAAGCCATAACTGAGTCAGGAAAGACATTGTGAGCACAGCAGAGCTTTTGCATATTACTGTTAAACTCATTGCTGTCCTTTAGAAACAGCCGGTTCTGCTTCTCTCACACATGCACCTGCGCCCCTTTCTCCAGCGGTGACACTCATCCCGACTATCTCATCCATATACACACACACACACACATTACCGAGATGACACGACAAGACAGCAGAAGTCCCGACCTGCCTATCAGCTGGCACGCCGCGACACCCCACAGTGTCTGACCCCCAGCGTGCCTGTCTGAAATCTGTCTGTCTGAGCGCTACACAGCGGCGGTCCGACTGTCTAGTGTCTGGCCAAGGTTTGAGTTGGAGTAGAGCCCTGACAGCCTTTAACGGAAAGGGGACAGGATACTGTTCACACATGCACGTACGCGCGCGCACACACACACACACAAGGAAAGGTGGAATGTGTAGAAAGTGAGATTGAAGGAAGGAGGACAGGTTGATGGGGGAGGGAAGAGAATGAAAAGGAGGGGGAGAAGACTCGGGGGAGAGGCCAAAAAAGGTGATACTGCATAAAACTGTGTTTTCAGACTACAGGCTTCCTAATATAAAGCCGTGCTACCACCTTTATCTGAAGCATGAAACATCTTTTAACGATATTGTCTGTGTCTCCCCAAGACTGAAGTGGATTCAGTAGGTGAAGACGTCATTTATTGTCATTGATTTATCGGTAAAGTAATTTATCAAACAAAAACACCAAATATTCCCTTTGTTCAGCTTCTCTGATTTTATTATTTTCTGTTTTATGTCCATTGGAAATTTAATATTTTTGGGTTTCAGCCTGTTGGTCAGAAAAAACTGACTTTTATTGTGAAAGACTGAGGTGTTTCTAATATTTTGTCCACCCCCTACGTGAGGATGGCCTAAATATCGTTCAGATGAGGTTCAACTGCATATTCCATCACAGCAAACAATAACTACTTGACTTGTTCGATAACCAGCCTTTCCAGATGTCAGCTGCATTGACATCACTCGACACCTGCGTCACCATGGTAACCTTATTAACTGGAAATGTTATAAATAAATGGGATCACCATAGGCAACACATTCTCTCCACTTATGTAGGTGGCCAGTTTAATTTTAACCCTAAGCCTGACTTAAGTCTTAGGTCTGATGGTTACTACATTATGCGGCTGCTGCAGATGTTTTATGGCAGATGTTGTTATTAAAAGTTAAACTCACACACACAATGATCCAAATGTGGATCAAGTGGCTTGAAAAACAGAGCTCACACTTCCTGTTTTCTCGATCAGAGCTGCACCGCTGCTTCCTGTTTTTGTTTGTCCAATCATGGCGTCCTCTCACACTAATTATTTGTTTGGTGTACCCAATCAGAGAGCAGCTTTCAGCCCGCATCCTGTGTTTGTTTGTCCCCTCAGAACACCACAGACAGCTCATCCAACTCCTCCCAGAAGCTGGAGAGCTCTCTGCAGCCGCTCGAGTCCTCGCCCCTTCCGCAGAGGCACAAGTGCGTGATGGGACATCGCCATGACCTCCACGACCCCTACCGGCTCTCAGACCACTACTTCTTGGACCAGGTGCTCTTTCCAAAATGATTTTGATACATTACAGAGAATTACCTTTATTCTGAAAATGCATTTTTCTGAAACAGTTTTCATTGTTTTGATATTATTATTTTTTGTTGTTTACTGCTTCTGAACAAATAGTATTAAAGTTTTATTCTGTTTTCCTCTCCAGCCGTCTCGGCTTCCCCGCCATGTCACTTTCCAGGAGGACGAGGAAATCGTCCGTATCAACCCACGGGAGCGCAGCTGGGAGCGAACCACAGAGCATCACCATGGCCGCCAGTCGGATCGCCCCTGGCTCAGGGGCTACGAGGACTACCGCCACGCCACTGTGCGGGACAAGTTCATCCAAATGGATGACTCTGAGTCCTACGTCCACTTTGCCAAGACGGAGGCACAGAAGCACGACTACACCTACCCATTGGCACCGGCCCTGTCGCCCTCAGACTCTGACCCCGCCCTCGGACCCTTGACCAATAAGGGCCATAGCGGCTCGTATCGCCATGGCTTCTCCTCTGTGGTCTCCAGCCAGCCCCGCTCTTTCCTTCCGAGCTCCTCCCCATCCACCAATGGAGGGAAGGGGCGGAAGGAGGACGGGATGGAGCGTGCACAGTGTGAGCACTGCGGCGAGGCCTTTTACATCTCCGACAACCGGAGAGGCCGGTGCCAGGATGCCCCGGACCCTGTGCGGGCGTGCATCCGGCGGGTCAGCTGCATGTGGCTGGCAGACACCATGCTCTACCACTGCATGTCTGACCCAGAGGGGGACTACTCGGACCCCTGCTCATGTGACGGGGGTGAGGGCAGCGGGGGAGGCCGACTCGGCACACGTTGGTTAGCCCTGCTCGGCTTATCTCTGGTGGCGCCCTGCCTCTGCCTCTATCCGCCTCTCCACGCTTGCCACCGGGCGGGGCTCACATGTGGCTGCTGCGGAGGCCGACACAAGGCCCTGAGCTGAGCCGGCGTGCTTGGAAACCTCTCAGAGGAAACGATAAAAACCTAAACCCAACGCAAGCACAGGGAAAGGGAAGGATGGGGAAGTACAGAGAGGACAAGTGGTCATGGCTGCTCGCTCTCTTGCCTTGGTTCCTCTGGGTTTCTCTACAAATTCCAGACACTGAAATAAGCCAAAAAAAAAAACAGTTGGTGCATTTTCTGAACGGCCTGGGAAGATAAGCTCCCCCTTACGGCAGACAGTTCTCTCACCTCTTCACATGGCCATTTCATGCTCTGTTTCTAGTGAGAGAGCACTCTTTTTCAGGGGGCCTTTTTTATAGCTGACCTATATGTCATGTATCACATATGCAGGTACTTTATACTTTGTACACTGACTCGGCGTCAAAGAACTTGAATTGTTTCTTTGTTCTCTTTTTTTTTTTTCTCTCCTTTGATGTACGCGTGGCCATTTTGTTTATATTCTATTCCAATATCAGGCCCGCTCAGCTCAACTCCAGCTACAAGAGAAATCAGACACTACACCTCTTTATGTGTGCGCGAGTGTGTGTGTGTGTGTGTGTGTGTGTGTGTGTGTGTGTGTGTGTGTGTGCGTGTGTGTGTGTGTGCGTGTGTGTGTGTGTGTGTGCGTGTGGACGGTGTATGTGAATGCTTACAATGTGCGTCGAGGCCTTTTTGTTGTCTGTACTGCAGCTTATAGTAAAGCTCATGTATATAGTCTACATAGCTCTCCACCATCAACATCTTCTTTGTTCACTGAAACAAACGTGGTACTCATCTTAATCTTCTAATATCCCAAAGATTCGTGTTTTTATCCTATTTATTTTCTCACTGAATTGATCTACCAGCAAAAGGGTGCTGGGTTGCGATTTGACTCACTGAAAGAGACGGTGCCTCAAATCATGCTACAACACTCTAGCAACCGTCTCCTTGCTCCTTTCACGTTATTTCAAACAGTGCCTAAACAATTACCTAAACCAGGAACCCTATCCAGTCTTAGAATTACAGTAGTGTTTTTTGGCTCATTTTACTTAACATACACTTGAAGCAGAGTGAGATTTTAAGGCTCTGATTTCCTCATTCTTTGCAGAACCTCAGCCAGCAGTCCGTGTCACACCGAGGACTGAGAGATCATTCGAAGATACCGTTAAAATTTGTGCCTGTTATGCCTTAAAAATTTGGAGCCTGGCTCCAAACTTCACCCCTCTGAAGATGTCTGCTATAATAAAAAAAGCGTGAGCATAGTTATGGCTCCAAGCAATCAGCCTCACCATATACTCCTAGACACTTGGTTTAAGCTATTTTTGTAATGAAAAGGAACTCTTTAAAATGGTTCTCATCAAGTGTGTAAACTATGGACTCCAGTTTGCCTGCGATGTACAATCAGCTCCCCTCCTGAAGCCCAGCCCTCCAATAGAGCCCAACCAGTCACATGTGGAACAGCAAAGTCCAAGTTTAAAACCATCACCATATCTCCTATATTGAGCAAAGATAACTATATGTTATTCTCATGTTGTTAAAGGAATAGTTTGACACTTATTAGAATTAGATGAGAAGATTGATAGCGCTCACGTCTGTGTGCATTAAATAAGAAGCTAACATAGAGCCAGGAGGTGGGTTGCTTAGCTTAGCATAAACACTGTAAACGGAAGGAAACAGCTAGCCTAGCTCTGTCCACCTAGCAGTACCTCTAAACCTCACTAATTAACGCATTATATCGCATTTGTTTTATCCACATAAAAATAACAAGTTGTGGTGTTACGTGAGGTTCGTTACAGTGACTGGTTAGAAATTGTCCAAATGAGATACAAATGAGCTTAAGAGGCGTTTTTTGTTTTGTTTATTCATTCTTACAGAACCAGGCTAGCAGTTTCCAGCCTTTATGCTAAGCTAAGCTAAGCTAAACTAATCTTCTCTTGGCTGCCGGGCTCTTATCGAACTCTCAAACTATTCCTTTAAGGCCAAAATATTTTATTGTAAATGGGAAATAAACATGAGCGATAACTTGCTGAAACCACATGTGACTGGTGCGCACTATTCTCCTCCGTCCTAGAGCATTTTTTTCCCCTCCATGCCAGATTTAGTACATCACCCCCCCCCCCCAGAGAGAATAACGTCAGATGTTTGACAACAGCTCAAATGAAACAAGAATGAAACGGTTCGACAGCCTGTTCATTCAGGATTGTAGTGGATGTGTTGATGTACAAACTCAGGCATTGGAGGCAAAAAAAAAAAAACCCAAAAAACGCTGTCCTTGCTGTGTCACCTGCTGTTTGAGTGACATCGCAGCCGGCCAATCACGGCATCGGGGATGTGACCAGGAACACAATAAGCTTTTCGAAAAATAGAATAAATAAATCAATAAAAAGAAGCAGCACATCGGCAGAGTCCCTTTGGAAAAGAACAGGAGTCCAGAAAACAGCTGAAATCCTGGAAACAAACATCCATCCCTGATTGTTTTGCCAAGGAAATGTCACTTACTGTAGTTGAAATACAGAATGCCTGAGGATGTCCTTTTTCCTTCCCTGGTTGTGTCTGTTTCATACATCCTGTCCTGTGTACCAGTTTGTATGTCCTTGGGGTGTGTGTGTGTGTGTGTGTTTATGCCACATCCTTTTCCCCTCTCCTGCTCCTTGATCCAAAGCTACTGGGATCAGCTGAATATGCTATCATAAACTAACACCTAGCCAGTATAATCAGATCCTTCGATGATGTGATGTATCAGGGACAGGGCCAATCAGATTGGAAAGAGTGTGTGTGTGTTGCTGTATGTGTGTGTGTGTGTGGGCGTTTAATCTTTTGTCTCTGTCTCATCTGGTGTTTGAGTGTGTTTTCACACGTCAGAGCCATTTACAAGTGCCTGAACGCATCCTCTTTATCTCCTTGTCTTTAAATTGAAAAAAATTTAAGAAATGACTCCCTGTATTGAATTAGACCCATTTTTTTACGCTTAGTATTTTTACCTCTGTAAAAAAAAAAGAGCAAAAATTATATTATATATATCAAGTGTATGTTGTACATTTTTATTTCTATTTTGTTTTTTTAAAATAACTGTTTCTAACATGTACGATGGATGTAGCTCTTGCTTTCGAGAAGGAACAGGAAGTACTTTGTAGATACTGAAGGGTGGCCAGGTCTGTGAGAAAACTAAAGTGAAATGTGTGTCTTACCTTCCGCCTCCAATAAAATGAGAGAAAACAGTGAAACCACATGCGAGTCTGCTGCTTGATTTCACTCTTGGATTGAAGTGATTTCCTCATAAATATCTACTGTAAAGCAAGAAAGGCCTGTGCATGTTTCTTCTGTAACAAACCCCAGATCCTCTCCTGCGTGCATCATCATTTACCTCTATGTTCCTCCCATTTTAGTTTTCTATCAGTGCATCCGATCAAATTTAAGTTCATTAAAGGGGTTATTTGTAAGTTTTCTCTGCCGCCGATCATAGTTTCTTGGCAGGAGTTATAATACGCCCTCTGAGCAGCGCTATGCTTCAGGGCCGATTGGAGGCAGCAGTGAGTTGCTATCAGAAAGCATTGAGACAGGCTGGGGCTAGCTGGTTAGCATGCTAATTTCAGTAGAAGAAAAGAGGTGGGCAGAGAAGAGTTAACATTGGTGTTGCTTTCCACCTCTGGAGACACCTGTTGGTGAGTAAAGGAATGAAGTTTGATGCTGAACTCACAATGTTTTTTCTAGACGGGTAAATAAACGGCTTCTAATGCTAACACTAGCTATGTAGCAATAGGAAAACGTACAAATAGCTTCTTTAAAGGAACAAAATGCACCAAAAGATTACTGTAAATGCACACTAACAAAAACATGACACTAAAACTGTAATGAATCATTTAAAAAAAGGAAAAAAAAGGGAATTTACAGGTGAAAAACTGTGAGAACACACATTAGGCTGTTAGCATGCTAATGTTTCCCAAGTAGCGCTAAAAACGAAGTACAGATGATGGAGATGTATGTAGACATAAAATTGCTAGGGACAATGGATGCCACCCATGACTTTGTGAGGAGATTCAGAGGATAGCAAATGTCAGTCAAGGCCTGAAGTTTCTCATTATCCTTTAATAACTTCCATCGTTTGCTGCATAAAACTCTTTGTAAAGTATTTAATGAAAGAAAGCTCAAAGAAAAAACCTCAGCCTAGTACACCATGTTTCATTCTCCTCAAGATGTCTTTCCCCGGCTGCCTCCCTCCTCAGCAGGAACATGTGATAGCCATCGAGGACGTCGAGCTGTTTGACTCAGGATGTCTCTGGAAAAGCATGTGGGCGATAATGATGGAGCGCGAGAGCAGGGAGGGGGAGGGAGAAAAAAGAAGAAAAAGAAGGTCCCTGAGGGCTTTTGGGGGCCTGCTAAGCAGCTCAACGGCTGCAAACAACATCAGTCCACATGTGCAAACATTTAAGATATCTGCTTGTGTAATAGGGTCAGCGTGGCCCCTCTCTGGGTGCACAGAGCACCGGCGCTCACTTCCCAGTGCAATTTACAGGAATGGGTGGCTTGTCCCACACCAGTGCTGTGGTCTCATGTCCAAAGATAGCAAGGGTTTTTAGGTTTTCCCCCCTTATGACTGAGGTTCTGTCGTAGATCTGTGTTACTTGTGCAACTTTAGTGCAAGTTGTAGCTACTCTCTCAGGCCTGAATTGCCTGATGAAGCCACACTGAGCAGAGATGTTGCAGCAGTTTAGCTTATGAGGAACCAGATAATTGTTTCAGCATACTTCATTAAGGACTGAGTTCAAACCCTGCACCTGAGATAAACCGTGTTAGACTGCTGAGGAAAACCTCTCTCTACCTCCACCCTGTGGAAAATGTTTTAGCTGGTAAAGGTTTGTGCAAAAGAAACTAGAAAACCACTGGTGTTAAAGGCAGTTTAAATTTTTACATAAGTAATACCAGATAAGAAAAGTTCTTAAGTACAAGTAAAGTCCTTTTATGTCACATACGTCTTCAAATAACAACTTAAAAGTAAATGTTTAGGCTGTGAAATAATAAAGCAAAAATAAATTGAATTATATAAGATAGAAAGAAATTGTAGATAAGAGGGTTTTTCACCCGATGCAAGATTTTCATTTTAATGCACCTGCACATGTTTAAGAAAATTCTCTAAAAGTCTTTGAATAATTGAGAATAATCTCAGCACAAGGTCCATTTAGTAGCTATTCTGGGGCTTTTGATCATATCACATGATCTTCATGAGCAGATGACATTTGCCCAGTTATGAAATTGTAAATGTCCAAATTTTTTATTTTTTTTGAGCACTTAGGCTTAAAAGCTGAGAATCAAAGTTCATTCATGACTAAAGTGCTCAGTCTAAACTGTGTAAAATTCACTGCCATCAAACTGAATCAAATCTAACTAATTTATCTCATAACGAATGTATAATCTGAATCTGCAGAGTCTGCCAGGTGAGTAAATGCAGTGTCGTGACTGTACCAGTGCAATACCAGAGTCAATGTGCTGCTTCCCACCTCTGTTGAGGCCAGTGTCGCCTGTTTGTGTTCGGATGGGAAGGAAACTTCAAACGGTGCATCAGAGGTAACAGTTCAGGGTTAAGAGGGAAGTGGCAAGAGTCGAGGGATTAAAATGGAACAAGGCCGGAAGAGTCTGGGTGAGATCTTTATTTCAGGCACGGAAAGAGAGCCTCTTCCTCTGGTGGCGCCAGTCCTCTGCCACTGTTCCATTTCCTCTTCCTCCTCCTCCTCATCCTCCTCTGCGACCGAGCCTCAGTCACCTTCATACCTCCATCTTCTCCTCTGGCAGTGATGTGTATCACTATCACTGGTAGAAAACACACACAGAAGATTAATCTGCAGTTATTTTTGACAATAATAATAATTTCAGTGCTTTTCCTTGTCTTACATAATAGTAAATTGAATAGCTTTGGATTTTTAGACTGTTGGTTGAACAGAAAAAAAAACACTTGATTGAGACAGTGGTTAATGATTAATCAAGAACATAATTGGCAGATAAATAGATAATAAAAATAATTTTGCCGCATCACTACAGAAAACATATAATTGTAATTGTAAAAACCTTGAAAGTCTTGAACTTGAAATCCACTTCACCTTCTCACTGCTCAGATTTTTTCTTTTTACATTTTATTCCAAACCGAAAAACGCTATAAATAACCTGTCAGTTGCAGATTTATCTTTGAAATGGCGACTTTCGAATTTCCAGGAGTAAAACCTGTGTTCATATGAAAACCCTGGCTTCATTACAATAGATGCAAACAGGAATAACAGACATTATTTTCTCTGCTTACGACAGTAACAAAGTAGTTTTTCCACATTGCAGAGCTGTGAGGAAATACGCTGCCGCACACATATTTTAGTGTTGTACTGTGGTACAGCTCTGAACCGCTAAGGCAACGAGTAGAAGGTAAATTAAAACATGATTATGAGAGTTTTCCGAATAACTTTTAAGCAAAATTTTAAAGATGAGCAGGAATTATTGCTGGTTTTTAATTTCTGCTCCAACATGAAACCAGCATCTGGAGCACGAAGCAGATTCAAGAGAGGACACATAAGATGATTTGAACTCAGTTCGGTGTAACAGCTCCGTTTGTGATTATTCAGATGTTTATCAGTCGTCTTTTACTTTGTATTAATTTGTTCTTCTCAGACCAGAGATAACTCACAGCTTCAGGTTGACTGACTGCATGTCAACAGGTAGAACAAGTTCTGACTGACAAAACAATCCCATCTCTCTCATGAGCTTTTTCTAGAGCTTTCAACTGTATCAAATGGTCTTCAGCAGCAGACACGGTTGTTTTGTGAAACTATATTTCCAAGGTTAAGAATGAACTTTTGAGGGTTTTATTTTTTCTTTTAGGACAAAATGGAGGAAAAGTCCTGAAGGTGCTAGAGATAAGTAATAAACTCCCTCCTCTGATGTGGTACAGTGGAAAACCCTGGAAAAATCGCAAATTAATTGGCCACGATTTTGATCATCATTCAACAGTCTCAGTCATTTTTCAAGCAAAAATGTCAATTCATTTCACTGTAAAATGAGGATCTGTGGAGTTTGGTGTGTTGGTCTGAAAAAATAAGACATGAAAACATCAATTTGAGCTCCGAGGAGATGTCATGGCCATTTTTACACTATGTTTTTTTAAAACAAAGTAAATCAATTAGTCGAGCAATGAATCGTTTTAAAGATAATTGTCAGCTGCAGCACTACAGTCCTGTAAAATGCCTGAATCATGGATCACTAAATTATGTATTCTGAGTGGAACAGGTCTTTTGATATCACTATGTTCATGATTTGCAGTTGCATCATATTTTATTCAAACAACTCCGTTAATTAAAACAAAAAAAAAACAAAACAAAAAAAAACCTGCCACACAGTAATCCTTATAAATCACTTTTCTTTATTTAAATCAGCGTTAGGCAGTTATGCTATGAACAACACAGGAAAATAAAAACAAAAACTGACAAAAAGAAAGACATTAAAACATAAGAGATCCAGTTAACATTAACTGCACTTGGCACTGGATAAACGTTCATGGAAAGAGGAAAAAAAAAAATATATACACATTTATCATACTCAAAATAGAAGTGCCTCCAGAAATCATTAAGTCGACCGTTGGGAGAGAAAGACTGGAGAACTTAAATATGATCTCAACAGCATTTCGACTTCGAAGAAAAAAAAAAAAATACCGTTTTATTTTTATCCGTTTTTTCGGCGCTCAGATTCAAATCGATCTCATCGTCAACCTGCGACTGCCTCCGCGCTTCGGTGAACCTGAAGGAACACGACAGGTGAGGGACTATAGCGGGATCGCAGTCGAATGTTGCTACAACTGCTCACACCCGTTCATTCAAGCTTTAGATTTACACCCGGAGAGGAGGCAGCGGCGAGGCGGTCTGATGAGGAACAAATAGTAAAACGCTCCACCCACGTCCCGTCATTGTCTCACCGCCCACAAACCCCAAAGTACCGTCACACAACCGATGTCAAGCTCAGGGGCCTCTACTTTGCGTATTTGTCCCTTTATAAATCAACCATCAATTCTTCATAAAAACATGGAGGAACTTCTGTTACCACAATACACTCCATTTACAATGGTAGTAGTGCACAGCAACAAAAGAAAAAAGTCAATGGAAAAAAAAAAAAAATTCTGATTTAAAGATATGAGCTCATACATCCAACAAAAAAGGAAAAAAGCAAAAAAAAAAAGAAAAGAAAAAGAAAAGAAATCCCTCTCCCAGAAAAGAAAAGTCATGATATCATTTATAAAAACCGACATAAAACTGATCAGTTCTCGCTCACCTGGAACAGATGCTGAAAGCGGCCCGTGGCTGTTTGTGGTGGACCCTGATTGTGATATTACAGACGCTTATGAGTTGATTAGAAACTTTGCATCAATTAATCCCCTCCGGATATTTAATCAAGGGAGAAAACTAAACTTTCTGGACCACTCGCTGCAGTGGCTGGTGGCTTTACCTGCCAAAACTAATTCACATCAAAACACTTCCCGCTCTGGTTTTAACCTTCTCCACCAGCACTCAATGAAAATCAGGCTCCAAAATACACCAGCGGGGCAACATTTACCCTTCTATTCCTAGTTAAAATAAAGGAGGGGTTCCAGTGGAAATCAGGGCTTGCGAGGAAAAGTGTGAACCAATCCCAAACCAGGAGAGAAGAGAGGCAAAGAGGAGAGAGAGGAGGAGAGCGGGGAGGTGACGGCTCGACTCCCTTTGATGTTTGAGGAGAATCAAGAGCCGAAAGAGAGAAGAGGGATAAATAGTTATATACTCTGCGATGGGGGCGAGGGGGGAAAGTGTGTGCATGTCATGTATATGTGTGTATTTGTGTGTGTGTATGCGTGGTCTGTCCGTTCAGTGCTTTATCTGACGGTGACTCCGAGTTTTTCCAGCACGCGGACTCCTTTCTCCTGGTACTCCTCCCGGGTCAGCCAGAAGTTGTCCTTGTCCTTCATGATGTCGGCCAGCACGGCTCCGCCCAGGAACACCATGTGCTTTCGCCTGGGAGGATCCTCGATCCGGATCTTAAATTTCTACAAGACAAGGGGACAAAGAGACGTACAGTATGAGAAGATCCTGTGTAACAAAGACAAGACCTGTGGCTCGGGCGGTGTTCACACTGCAGCTCAAAGTGGCCCATTGTTTTGTTTTTCTCCCCTCAGACATGATACAGATCTTAATGTGTCTCTAGTCAGTGTGAGCTTTTTTCCCAGTTTCAGGTTGGACAACATTAGAGTTTGATCCAGATGCATAAACATTGTGCTTGTACATTAAAATAAAACATTTGTAATCGCTGCCACAGCAAACTGGAGAACAACTGTCATAATTTCGGTGCCCCAGGCAGCTTTGCTCGACCAGAGATAGCAACAAGTCAGAACAGTAAAATAAAACCGCTAGAGGGACCAATATTTACAGTAACACCTAAAAGATGTGTATACTGTTTTAACAGGGACATAATGTATATGAAACCCTCGCTATGAGGACGTTAGCAGCATATGTGGCATTAAGGACATGCAGTGTGAACATTTCTACCACTTGTATTAATAGATTTAGGATTAGTAAGTATTATCAGCTTATAATCGTTGGGAGAACATTTAGCAATTTAAACATAAAGCAGATACTGAGAGACTGAAACTAAAGTCAATATTCAGTCTCATTTTAACTGTTTTTGTCTCCACCATCCCCTGAGGGAGATAACTGACAGCAGCTGCCTGCTGTCCGCAGAAACCACTAATGTGAGCAGTGAACCTGAACCAAAACACTCTTTTGGGTTGTAAATCCAAAACAATAAGCTTAAAGATGCTAAAAGGCTCTGTAGAGCTCAGGGGAAATGCAGGGTCAAGTGCTGATTCTCTGTGGGTTTGCCGCTACGAGCGATACCTGTCACATTACACAGACATTTAACCCATTGTTTATGTAAAAATATTGATTAGTGCAATGACAATTTGCTCAAAACCAGCTTGAATGGTGGCTTCACGACAGCTGTGGTCATCTTCACCTCATGGTTGATACAATTTACTCCAAGATTTTATAATGGAAACACCATTCAAACCGTTCCTGCAACATAACCCACTTCTCTACACCGTCTGCACGCTCAGTATGTCCAAACACTCATATTTTCACCAAATAGGGCGAAAGACGCAGCTTCTATTTGTTGCTCACGTGGCTAGCTGTCTAAACATAGCTGCAGCAACAAACAAACAGCTAAAAGGTGCAAGCTACAAACTGAGGTGGTGTATTTATCCTCATTCTGAAAGTCTGGAAGATCAGATGGAGCAGAGAATAGCAGGGAAGTGAAATATGCAACAGGAATGACTTGAAAAGTTTTAAGTGGATGTTTTGATGCTTCTTTTCCCCAACATGTTTGAATTTAGTGTAATCAACATGAACTGAAGCTGACCACAGCCTCCGCTCTATATGAGAGACTAAACAACTAATCGGCCATCTTCCGAGCCTCCGGGGGGTTTTAGTATTTAGTATAAATATGACCTTGGGTCTATGGGGATCTATCTAAGTAGATAGATGTCTTGTTACAGACTGAACACATTTCATTAAAAGTAACACGTGTGTGACTTTTCACGAAACATAAGTGAAAAACACGCACTGCCGTTGGAGAATGAGATAAACAATTTGAGGAAAGCGAGGCCGGCTGCAGTTGTGGGCAGAGAAGTAAAGTACATAATGACTTGCTATTAAACTTATGAGTCATCTGTAGTCCTTTGTTTACAAAGCCAGTCTGTGTATTTGGGATACTGACATGGAAATGTAATGTAGTGATATTTTTCCAAAACAAATATTTATAATTGGGAAGTGAACCCTAAATATGTTGTGATTAAAGTGTTGTGCTCTGATTAAGTTAAATGAATGTCTATTAGTCTCTGGCACCGCCTGGTGGTGATTTGTGTACAATGCACCAGACTGAGATGTTGCATATTCATAAACTTTGTTCCTAAACCTTGCAAATGTATTCAAATAGTAGCAGCACAAATAAAAAGGTGTTTCATTTATTCTACTGTGAATTCAAGTGTGTGCGACTTCCTCGTTAGGACAAAGGAGATACTGTCAGGTGTCAGTCACAGTTTACTCATTAAACTGACTCAAATATGTTCCCTGTGGATGTTGTACCTTTCTGGTACTTTACTGCTCTCTCACATGTGGCAAACCCCACCCAGGCCTAGTTAAACAAACTGAGAATCAGCTGGAAATATTCATCCACACCAACTGAGAAGCCTGGAGCAGTAAAGCCAGACCAGCTCATCTGAATGTACCAGTAAGTTCAGTCAACTTTGCATTGCATTGGTTGCAGCACAATTGACATGAACCAAATTTTAATTTGGGCAAAAATTAATCTTGTATGACGAGTTTTAAAAGTCACAGTCATTCTGCAAACCACATCTGAGCAGTTTTAGCTCAGATGAACTTCCGTAACGCTCTGACACAGTCAACAGTATCATTACAGAAGTGGCGTTGTGGATCGGCTTCTCACCGAAAGTTTGTCCACATCTCCCTTGAGCACGCGCTCCAGGTACAGCTGCTTGAGTTCCCTCTCCAGCCGAGACGGCAGGCCCGGGTACATGGTGGATCCTCCTGATAACACGATGTGTTTGTAGAACTCAGGCCTGAGGACGGGAAAACACAAAGAGGGTGAGACCCGTCAACATGCAGACCAGGAAGAGAAGCATCTTAAAATCATACAAGTCATTTTGCTAGTTTCCCTCCCGTCGGGCATATTGTCGTATTCTTCGTCCACAATTGTCGAAAATGTACTTTCAAGACAGATTTGAGTCCCTCAGTGACTCGACATGAACACAACAAAATCTGTGTATGTTGGGTATCAATGTGTGTTGGAGTGGAAACACTAAGTTGCTCTCAGTACAGTGCAGTGTATCTGTGCACATTGGCCTCACCTGGTATCTATGTCAGCCGCCTGGATGGTGTTGAAGAGGAGCTCAGCCACTCCGACACCCTCCACGTTGATGAGGTGGGGCTGGAACAGAGCCTCAGGGGCCTCAAACCGCTCTCCTCCCACCTTGATCACACGACCATCTGGCAGCTGGAGATGTGTGGGAGGGATGAGATTAAAAGAGAAGGAAAAAAAAAGAAGTATGACACCACTGAAGAGGTAGGATTTAATGTATGACTCAACAGAGAGTGTAAATCTTGAATGTAAGGATCAAGATACTCTGTTTGCAGAGTATGAGAGGAAGTCCTGACTTCTCAATACCTCTTTTTTTTTTTTTTTTTTTTTTTTATAAAAGAGAAGTTTATGTTTACTACACTTTGAAAACAAAATCCCTCAAGACTCTGATGCTATTGTATAGCAAGTAAAAGCACAGAGAGTGTAGGCTCCAAAGTGAGTAGAGTGAATGTGTGTGACTATAAAAAGGCTTCATTCAGCTGAGGGCAGTGGGAGGAAGCACAGCCCAGCCTCAGCCGCAATGTGGCTGCACAGGAAATGATGTAACGTGCAGTTCAGGGCCCTTCGGCCACAGTTACATTGCCCTCCTTGTTTCGGCACACTCATGCACACAAAACGATACTTACACATACATGTTCACACGCCTACACACACACTCACTCGCCTACACTAACCCAAACACACATGGTCACAGTGAGCTCTGAGACACAACATGTGCTCGGTAAGGCGTGCAGTTAACACAGACTTCAGGTCCTGCGTTTAGATTCTGTGGTTCCCTCTGCAGGGAAAAGGCCTTGGAAAGAAAAGCAAGTCTGGTGGTGGAGCACTGCACCCCCATATGTTTGAGTCCCAGAGAAAACAGTTAGTCAGCAGCACTGCCCTGTCTAACAGAGCCAACAATGGGCATGTGGTAGTCTACTTAGCTCAGTGCAGAAACAGATTCAGTTACCCCATTAGTTTTGATTACTTCAAAATACTGCCACTTGTGAATAACAAACCCTTTGGGAGAGATTCTTTATACAATGATGCTATTTTAAGCAGAAAGGTGAAACTTGTGTGCATGTGGCGTGCACAAAAAGAACAAATTTTACATTAAAAAAAGAAAAAAGAAAAAAGTAAACGAAACAAAAACGAGAATCCCAGAGGGCTGGAAATGTGTTGTGTGTCTAAGTAAAAACGCCCAACCTGAAAAACAGCTGCTTAACGTGTCTCATATGTATGTCCCCGTTTCCACAGTAATTTCAGTGTTTCTCAGCAGTTATTCACACACCCCCTTCTCTGCCCTCTTTATCCTCATATTCAGTCTCACTGTGTCCCAACTGGTTTCCTTGATCTCATGTGTCTAATTCATCTTGTGTTTTTCTTTATTATCGTTTTACAGCACACATATTAGACAGGAGACAGTAGGAGACACGGGGACAGTGATGTTCCTCCATATTTAAAGGCCAACCGATTGAACAATGCCCACAATGTCCATGTGAGGGCAGCAACTAATTTCTAGATCTGGTTTCACTCTGGCAATTGTGTCTGTACACCTGGGGAAATTAACATCAACAAACACCATTTTACATAATAAGCTTCCACTGTAGGTATTTATGGAGTGAATGTACCAACAACCTGTGCACTGATGCCCTGTGCCTGTCAGTTATTATTAAAACAAAGCTATATTATTGCTGTTTTATTATGTTGAAAATTAAAACGTGTGTCTACCGTGTATGACTCCACCAGCACGGTGGTTTCCAGCGCCAGCTTCTGCTCCTGCTCGATGTTGTAGCCCACGTAGCACAGCTTCTCTTTCATCATGCGCACCGTCTCAAAGTCTGCAGAGTGGTTGAAGGCATAACCCCTCAACAACAACAACTGCACCCAGAGAGGCAGAAACAGAACAAGGAAACAGAAAAGAAAAAAGCACATAGAAGGTGAGGAGGGTCAGGAAGCTTTTTGTTTTGCGGAGTTACTTATTGAGATCCCCTGATATATCTATTTAAACAAGAACAAGTTGGCTGCTAGTTTTTGTTGTGTTCTTTGTTAATCCGAGTCACTGAGACTATTCTGAAGGACTGGATACCTTGATGAGGTAGCGGGTGATGTCCCTGCCTGCTATGTCCAGGCGTCTCGTCAGATGGGGGAGGCTGAAGCCCTCATACACTGGACAGATGTGTGTCACACCGTCACCTGAGTCCACCACCACACCAGTCAGGAGGCCTAAAACACACACACGCACACACAAGTTAATCTGTGTTTGTATTTAAGGTTTATCCAGTGTGAGTTTTGGGCTTATCATTGTTAGTCAGCTGGGTAAACACAAAAAAACCCGGAAAGATAACACATCTAATGTAGCTGCTAAAAAGTGTTCAACAGTCGATACTAACTTTCAGAGTTCATGTGATCCTGCTTCAGGCACAGGTGGAGTTTAACACATCAGAACACGTCACATGACATCAGGATATCGTGTCTGTCACTGGGACATCAAAGTGATGTTCATGTGACTGTCCAGACTTTCTGGCACAAAGACTATCATATCTGGTATCAAAGTAGATCCCTGAAACAAATCTTTTAACAAACTGTTTGACAAAGGTATGGGAGTTAAATAGTGCCACACAAGAATGTTTACACACTTTAATTCTGTTTGGTGGTGTAGGGTGACAACCGAAAGACAAAAGCAACGAGTTCTAACACCCAGCTATTGGGGTAAATCTAGTTTGTGGTTTAGAGGTTTTGGTTAAATAGAAAAACACCTACAAAGTTTTTGTGATGAAGAAACTGCAGAAGTCATTTTTGTTTCAACTTGCAGCCCAAACATGCATGTGTGTCTTCTTACCTTGGGCATACAGCGTCAGCACGGCTTGAATAGCAATGTAGACTCCTGCAAACTGGTAGGTCTCAAACATCACCTGCAGGAAAGGTCAGTAAACATCAGACAGTAAGAATACTTGTTTGCTGATGAAAAGCCAATACGTACAGGATATCTGCACAAAAGTACATGCAAAAATATCCCTGTAGCACATTGCAGAAGTAACACATTTCACAGAGGCACTTCCACAACAGCTGATTGTGTTTTCTTCTAATGACATGTAGCAGTTTTGAAGGTGTACTGTTCTATTAAAGGGATATTCAAGTTTAGAAAGGGCCTGTCTGTCTTGACTGAGATATCTCTCAGACTACCACACACAGCCAATCATTGCTCAAGAAGCAGCATGAGCCTGCAAGTTGTAGACACTGTAGACCTATAGTGGCGCTTTATAAAGATTATAGTGACAAGAAAGAAACAGTAGAGGTTAACAACCAATAAGATCATTACTTTGATTAACTGGATATAGAGAATGAGTCTATTGTAACATCAAATATCAAATCAATGATACAGAGACAGCTATAAGCTAGCCGATTCCCCTTCTTCTTTTACCCTCACACAACTACAACAACACACACAAATTTCAACGTACCTCGATGATTTTCTCGCGGTTCTTGGTGGGGTTCATGGGGGGCTCGGTCAGCAGGATCTTGCAGTTGCGGGAGTCGATGTTGAGCTTCTCTGGGCCAAAGGTGTAGTCCCACAGGTGCTTCATGTCATCCCAGTTCCTGACGATGCCGTTCTCCATGGGGTAGTTGACCTCCAGCATGGAGCGCAGCTCGCTGGCCTCGTCCCCCACCATCAGGTCCTGAAGGGAGAGGTCAAATGTCAACCCACATAAATATTTAGAAGTGAGACAGCAAAGCCCTCCATTTCTGAAGCCCAGTTAGGATCAGTCAGTGTCACTAACTATAGGGATGAGCAACAAGTATTGGTTTGGGCAATAAAATCAGTGATTTCAACTTTCCCCTCAGCCTGCTGGTCAGCTAAAATCAGAGAAACTCATCATCTATTTGTCACTCACCTTAAGACGAGTTAACTGTCAGGTGCATTTATGTAGCTCTTTACTTTAAAACCCAGCATGCATAACAAGCCATTATTTTCCATGCATTCACACCTGGAAACACTTCCCTCTAGCTACAGTAAACCACTTGTTTTAGCACCATTCAACTAGCTGCATGCAAGGCAGCCTGGCAATGTAAACAACCGCTGGGTTAGAGCTCACTGTTAGCCACACAGTCAAGCATCTCACGTTCCACTTGGAGACATCAAAAGCCTACTGAAGGCAGCCATTTTATGGGTTCATCCTGTGTGCTTTGGCATTAACAAAGTACCAGTCACAGGCATCGCCTCCATGTGGTCTCAATAAAAATAAAAAAGTAAAAAGAAAAACAGATGTGCTTCTGTCTCTAAATTTCAGCTGCCTGCCATGCATCCTTGAGTGTGAACACTTCCTCAGCAATTGTAAAAGGTGAAACACCGGCAGAGTAGAGAAGCAACTTCATATCTAGACATCACTTTGATGAGATATGCACATTGTTTCAGAATGGTAAAGAAGAACAGATCTGTGATGCATACAGATACCGAACATTTAACATTTGGCATCAAACTTTCTGCCTGCTCACATTTTAAGTTCTTTTTAGCTAAAAACTGTTGTGATTATTTCAGTCCTTAAATAGCAGCACAAATAGCAGCAGGATGGGGGGGGGGGTTAGCTGTCAGGATGCACCAGCAGATCAGAGACTCTGAAAATGGAACTGGTCCAAAATCTCTTTTAGCACTCCATTGATAACAGCTGGCCTATGATTCATCACAGCCAATTCTGCAACACTTTTAGCCTGGAGAAAGGAGTGCATTAACATGAGGTGCTGTATATCTATCTAACTCTGTGCCACTCATTTGGCCAACACCACTCAAACTCGACGCTTAAAAAACAGCAAACTGGTTGGGATGTTGAAGAATGGAGTCATTGTGTGAGTAAAAAAAGATAAAAAGAAAACAAATGAAGACACAGGACAAAAAAAATAAAAATAAAGAAAGAGAGCTTAATTTTCCGTTGAGATCAAAACATGACACAACTCTCTGGAGCAGGCAAGAACAGGAGGCACACACCAACCTGAACTTACCATCTTCTGGGCATTCTACTTCATCGTGGGGGAACAAAACATGGAGGAAGAGGAAGGTAGATATATGAAAAAAAGATAAATAAACAAAAGAATTGGAAAGAACAGGACAGAGGTAGAGATTCATGCTAAAATAATGGGAGACGTTTTTCGTTTGGAGTGAACTGATCTTTAGACAAATTACAGTATTGATTCAAAGATTTCATACTTGCAGGAATGCACTTGAGATCTTATTTATACTTGGAGGACATCTACAACAAGCTGATAGGATTTGCGGTTATAGGACTGATTCTGTTATCTAACAGATATCAGAGCCGAATTCAGCTGCTAACTCTTATTAGAGCTTACTACAAAATTATATCCTCTTTTACAGGCAACTTAAGACAGCCTGTGGCTTTGATATTGTGCTTATATTAGGAAATTACTTTGCTCTATTATATGTGATTTCATATTTTGCTTTTTCACTCATTGTCTTATCACATGTTTCCTGACCATGTTCGCACTTGAAATCAAGATTCTCTGGTCAAATAAAGCAATCATTCCAGGAACATCAGGTGGACCATCTTGTACCTTGATCTCAATGTTTCCCACTTTGGCCGTTGAGCGAATGATGGGTCTCCCAACAAGCGCAGGGAAGATGTGCTCTGGGAAGTTGGAGCCTGCATAGCCGCACTTGACAAACTAAGAAGAAATGAACAGGAAAAGCACAGAGTAAGTGATTAGGAAATACATTTAAATGCTGATGAGATAAGCTGTGCAATACAGCAAGAGACCATTACTGTCATCCTGCTGATAACAGTGGGTCAAACTGACATTTAGACTGTCTGAGATAAGAAAAATGTAACCACAGATGCTTCAATGCTGGAACCTTTATGTACGTATGTGTGAATATGTATGAACATCTGTGGTTAATATCTGCTTTAGCCTCCAGCACAATGGTAGAAAATCTTCAATTTTTTTTTTTTTTTTTTAAAGATATTGTTTGGCAGATGAGAGAGAGGGGATGACATGCATCAAATGGCCCGGGCTGGATTTAAACATGGGCTGCTGTGGTAAGGCCTCGGCCTTGATAAATGGTATATCATTAACCAGACGAGCAACCAGTGCAGCCCAGAAAATCTGTGTGTTTAGTTATAAATTCGGTACCTCAAATCTGTCTTTTCAAAATTTTAAAATCACTTGTGTTGATAGTAGTAAATTAAAAAAATTGTAAGATTATTTATACAATCAAATACCAGAATATTTATTCACATTGTGAAAACATTTTGCAACAAATCCTTAACTATAGAGACAATTATTAGTGCTATGTAAACAAAAATGCCAAGCAGGTCAAAGAATTTACTGGTCATTATATTGAGCTACACTTGAACATCGAATAACTGAGAACTATATAACTGTAAGCAGCTTTGAAGACCAGGAAAAGAGAGCATTTACGCTGCATTAGAACTGAAACTTGACAATATACTCTGGGTGGTTTAGATTCTACATTTTGTGCTATTTGTATCATGACCTCAAACAACCTCATGTAAAAGTGAAAGAACATGACTTGAGACTTTTTTCCATACAGCGACTGTGAAGGAGTAAATTCAAAGATGATCCACCAAGCAGTATTTAACTACTTATGGTAAAATTTCAGAATCAGTGCAGGTAGCCTTCTACAGCCCTGCCCCCACAAAGGAATCTGGTTGAAGATTGTAGAAGGCGAGGTGAACCACAGCAATCAGCTGCTGTGTGTGTATCTCACAAAACTACTTCACCTTTCATGGTGAATTACAGTGAAATTTACCAGTAAACCAAACAAATCTGTTTGCTGTCTGTCTGCTTGCAGATGCACAAAACAAAGCTAAACTGTCAGATTTTACAGTGGACTATGATGTGAAACAGCATGCATCAGGGCGCTGAAAATGTGTAAGTGACATATGTGGCCGCTATTCAGACTCTCTCACTTCCTCTTGGCTTCTCAATTCAAACCTAACACAGGTTCAGTTTTTTTTTTTTCTGGCTTCGCACAATGCTCTTGTAAAAGTCACATCTGAAAAAAGCCTTATTAGTCAGTAACACGCTGAGCCAACATCCTCTTTAACTGCTGACAAGGTTTAAACAGGAAGTCCCTATGCTCCAACAGAAGCAATATTACCTATTTGCAATGAATAATTACTAAACATAAACACAGATCAGCAAAGTGTACAGAATATTACTGTATAAGCTAGATGGAGTAAAAACTGCTTGTTTTGTCTACAAACCACAGCTGCTTGAAAAATCCCCTACATTTACCAACCTAATGGACTATTAAACCAGCTGGCTAGGTTGTGACAAAAAGACCACCAAGCTGTTTCCTTATACATGCAGATGCACCAACTTTGGGCTGGTGGTTATTTCCCACTTTGGTGTAGACTATTTTGTAACACTTCTTGCACACCGTCAACTTCCTACAGTGTTTGTCAACCTCAACCTGTCAAAGGTCCTGAATTAATCACTAAACCAAGCAGATTACAGGCAAATGCATAAGTGTAAACTACACGCAATATGGTCCAGTGGTGGAAGATGGAAAAATACCAAATTGGAAAAATACTCCATTACATATAGAAGTCCTGTGTTCAAAAGCCTACTTTTTTTTCTTTTTTTTTTTTTTAATAAAAGTGCAAAAATATCCTCAGCAAAATTTACTTGAAGGATCAAAAGTAATGTACCCCTTCTGCAGGGTGACTAATTAATTCTGACATTATTAGATCATTAATACTGATGCACCAATCTGTAAGCAGAATTTTACTCATGCAGCTGATTGAGGGGGAGCTAGTTTTAACTGCTTTCTATGCAGTTAACATTTAGTCCAGTGGTTTACCTCTTGCAGTTTCAAATTGTTATTTAAATGATACCATGTGTGAAGTGTAGAGAGGAAATGTCTCTTTGGTGGAGCTGCTAACAACTCACAGACATTTGAAATGTACAAAACTTTTGTGAAGGCCAAAAGCCTAACAGGTTGGGAGCCACCAGTTTAATCTTGGGATAATGGATTTCATTCGTTTATTTTAAGGATCTTGGGGCAAATCTGTGATTTGGGGCTATATAAATACAATTTGACTGGACTATATGACCTGAAAAATAACCATAAAAATAAGTATAGTGGAGTAAACATACAGAATTTCCCTCCCACCTTAAAATGTAATGAGATATGCGTAGAAAGCATCAGAAAATGGAAATACAAGCACCATAAATTTCTACTTTAGTACAGAACTGGGGAAAATGTACTTGCTTACTCTCTGTGATCTTTTCAAGGTCTACAGACTTAACTAAAAAGACAATTCTCTCAGTAAAGCTGCTGCTGCACAGGATAAAACAGTTTAAAGGTGGTTCCTCTATTCACCTGACACGGCCTAGCTAACGTAACACATACCTATTGTTGAGAATCAGAACAAATATCTAGCTGCTGTGCTTGGTAATTAAACCAAATTCACAACAGAAACAATGAATCTGCAAAGTCCGCGTCGTTTGTTAAATAAATCATTGAAATGAGTGACAGAATAAACCAGACAGTCAGCTGTTACATGCTAGCAGGCTAGCTAGCTGCGGTAGCTTAATAACCGTAGGTAGCAAATGAGCCGTTGCTTATTTTTGGGATGTATGCAGCTGTGATAGCTTCACCCAGAGCTTTGTATTCAGCTTTCATCCTGACAATAACACCCACTCTTCGTGCTATTTCCGCGAAGAGTCTGGATGAATGAAAATTAGCTGGCTAACAGTCTGGCTGGCTAGCTACCCACCCAGTTAACGCTAGCTAGCTTGGACGCTGACACCCCCACTTCCTGTTTCAGCAAATCATTCGATATAAACGGCGCCGTTTAAACAAAGGCACTTATTGATAACGCGTCAAACCAAGGCGGCATACTTACCCCGGTCCCATTGTCGCAGACCACCACTTTCCTTCCCTGGCTGTCCATTATGTAAAAGCCCAGTAGCCGCTGAACCTCCCTCAACTTTCTTCGGCAAGCCGGAAGGAAGACACACCAACCCGGCCCAGAGGAGGAAGGGAAGGGTGCTCATCCGGTGACGGAGCCGTTCAAATGACAGGCACTCCCTCCAAGGTAAGTGTGTTCAGATTCACAGTCCTCACATCACGTATTTCACATAACGGTCACAACAAATGCACGTACTGATTGCATCGCTAGAAACAAATTAAATTCCGAGTATAACATGCAATTCAGTTTCCACTTTCAACTTATATAAGTATGTGTTTCCCCCCTCCCAATTTTTGGATCCCAAATAATTAGCATTTTCCACTGGTCATCATTTGTTTATAAATGGAAATTGAGACAAATTGAGACTAGAGGCCAATGTGATCACATCATGCAGCCGTTCTGACCCAGAAATCACTACATTATTACAGTCATGATTGACCTGCGTAACAAGTAGCCTATGAGTTATACTAGAGGAGTTTCAGTTGTTTTATTTTCACTGTCCTCAAATCACCCCACTGACATTTAGTGGAATAATTATAATGAAAAAAAAGGAAAAAGAAAATCCAAATTTAAAAAAATTGGAATCAAATGACCAGTTTCACAGTCTATAACCATAACATAGAAAAAGGAAATTCAAAAAATTTAAATTTCCATAGAAGGAAAATACTTTTCTTTTCTTTACATCTACGTGCAAGAATATTATAATAATTATATTATATAAAATAAATACATAAATAATCCATAATAAACAATTTAAATTAATTTTTGCTGAAATAATCTCTAGAGTGAATCAGTGTGTGTGTATGTGTGTGTGTGTGTTGACTTTAAGAAGAGTAATACTTGCAGATTACAGTACATTGAAATGCATGCATGAGATAATATACATGAGGTTATTCTGCCTCTTTTCTGACTAAGAGCTCAATTTTTTTAGGGTTAAGACTGAAGATAGCCAGCAGGTGGAGTATTTTGACCAAAGCAGGAAGATCAATCTCAATCCTATAGAGTATTTCAATCCTGCACTTGTAGAGCATGAATGTGTGTTGAGAGGACATCACATTAAGTCTGAGGAACTGCTTTCTTTGGGTATGAGGGTGCTTGGGAACATGAGGACCTTGGCCTTCATGAAGGACAGGTTAGGAAGTCCAGCAATCACCCTGCCAGCCTCCACACTCAGCTCTTCATGCTGTCTGGGTTTCCTTATGAAGAACACAAACACAGCACGAGTATTTCAAGATCCTCCTGTATGATTTAGATTTTTGCTCATTGTATGAATGCCTTAAAATGATATAAATAACAAAATATTCAAAGTAAATGGTTGTAACAGCTGAGCTGACCTGACTGATGTGCTGGTCTTCTCTGCAGCGGACATCAGGCGATTCAGAGTATCCTCTAGGTGACAGCTGTTACTGCTAGTTTCCAGTTTGCTCATGGTCAACTCATACAGCTCACGGTCAACTCCTTTACATGTGAGTGTGTTTAACAAACACACATAAAGCATGTTACACAGGAGACAAAGCACCCGCTGAGTGTCAAAGAGGACACATACTCACACACAGGCTAAATTTAGCAACAGTATACTGACTTGTTTGACAGTTTTATCGTCCTTTTAACCTGATGAACAGTTTATAAAATGTAGATGCTGCAGTTTCACATGCTGACCTGGTGGAGGACTGTTACAGCTGCTGCTGCTGCTGCTGCTGCTGCTGCTGGATCTGCTCTCCTCCTCAGGACCAAAACAATCCAGGTTGAGAGCAGAGCAACCTGTGCTAGCAAGGGGAGACAGCAGGTGAGGATTGTTATGGGGTAATGAGGTATAGGGGAGCTTGATTTCTTATTCATAAAAGGAGATTAAGTATGTTCTTCTGACTGATGTTTTCTCCTTTTACAGAGGAAGACAGAGAGTGAGAGTGGCACAGTAGACGATGCTCAACAAAGCAATGCAAAGCTGATGTCCAACGTCTTTTTATATTCATGTTCAAAGGTCCCTTAACCATGACATGTCTTAGTCACCATTCAGCATGAAGTCACTGAAACAATACTGACATGGTAATAACATTACTAACATCACAGGGGTCCAAAGTGCCCCAGTATTTCACTGTTTGTTGAAACCTCTTGAATGCAACTCTCGCAAAACCTTAAAGGAAGTGTGCACACGAGATACAGCAGAAGTCAGTTCTGAAGTACAACTTCCTGCTTGATTACATGCAAATATGTAAAAGTTAGACTCCCTTGAAGAGTAACTTCCAGGTTAAAAAGCAAATGTTTCACTTCCCTCTTTGGTTGAATGTTTTAAGTCTGTTTGCATCTCTGACCACAACCAACATGACATATGTGTGTGGTATCTGTAACCACACCCAATAGTGACATCATGGTGGCAACGCCTGCAGGCTGGACGCTCACTTGTCTCTCGACATCGCCAGATTTTTTCATTTTCAAATTTGTCGAGCTTTATACAGGGATTTTTTTTTCACATATGAAACCTTGTAATTTTATTTGTAGAAATCTTATCTAGACGTTAGCTGTCATGTCAAATGTTTGCTGTCCCAAGCTAGACTGAACTTTAAAAGAGTGGGCTTAGCATTATCTCGGAAATCTGAACTGTTTTATTCCCTTTATCTAGTTTTTAAAAAAGCAGTTTGAATACTCCAGCTTTGCATTCAACCACGGAGAAAAGTGATACTGCTTCTGGCAAGAGAGAAAAGCTGAGGGAAAAGAGGCAAAACAAAGCAGAAACGATCAACTGATTTATTTCAGTATTTACAAGGATTTCCCACAAGTCCTTATTGCAGTGCATTTGATCTGGATTTGAGCAGTAAATCTGAATAAATAAAAAACACGACAACCTATAGGTCCAGAGAGAATTTCACCATTTGGAAAAAAAGTCGTTTTAAGAAAATAATTGCTGGCATAAAGGCACAACTCATTATGAAATACTGTAATTGCAGTTACAGAAATGTTGTAGAAACACCTTTGATTGGTAACGAAACACTGAAAAAGTGGATGTCAGGTATCAATTATTTTCTCAAAATGAGGTGCTTTGCAATCAAACACTTTATCCTATTCAGCATGCTGATACAGTATATGCTTCACTGCAAAAGGAGTAAAAAAGAAAAACCAGAAAGCAGCGTAAACTCGATTTCCTATCTGTGTCACCATTTTTATCTTGACAAATCAACAAAATTAAGAAATAAATATAACAAACACACATTATTAAAACATATGTGGTGCATGTTCTTTGTATTTCTGGCTGATTTCTCGGTTTGACTTTGTTCCTACAGTAAATACAGTAAATATGTTTTGAGCTTTTCACTGCCCTCTGCTGCTCATACGTCATTACTGCAACACTGGTCTGGTGTCAATACTGATGCCTTTATGCTTTTATGTTATTTCATCACTGAACATCTGTCTGGGTTGAGTTGATGGTGTGACTGGATCAAAATAATGAAGTTCGAAACTGAACATAAATGGAAATAGGGGAGAAAAAGGAAGGTGCCTCTGTTGAATCTAAATGTCAGTGTTGTCTACACCAATGGACTCAACTAAGTGCCTTCTAGGAAATTACTTGTAAATTAAGTTTTATCTTATCAGCTGCTCATCTCCACGTGTCTGCATACTACAAACATGTCCACATGCTGACAAATCAACAGTGCAATACCAAACATGGAACTGACGGTCAGGCAAACATTTCCTACAGTAAAAGTCCTTTTTTTACCAAATACGGTAATTCAGTTTTTTTTAGCTAATCATTTCCTTTCCGTCTCTTGGCACAGCTTTAAACCACACTGCATTATTTAGCATACTTTCATGTTACCCACTTCAAAACACAGATTGTTCTGCCGAGTTCACTGTCTGTCACTGATCTAAAAAGTAAATTCAGATAACGGTGGTTTTTATTGTTTGGTAAGTCAATAAATATTTAGATTTAACTTCTTTTTTTTTCTTTTTTTAACTGGCAGCATGTTAACTGCAACAACATACAAGTTTATAGATTTGTTGCAAAAAAAGTTAAAGGACACCAACAACATGCTAACTCCTGTTCTTTGCTTTTTTCCTGGTCTTTCTTTTGTTTTGTGTTTGTCATCATGTCGGTTAGATCTACTTCATGATTACTGTTAGAATTCATGTTTTAGGATAAAGTAGGAAAAAAACACCCAGGTCTGTACAAACACTACTGTACTAAATCTGAATCTAATTAAATTGAATTAGTAAAATTTTCCTGAGCAAAGAATAACACTTTTATCCGTGTTGTTTACTTTTTCCAGTAACTTTTTTTTTTATTTCTCTGAAGTTGACTAACATAACTGAGGGCACCATGAAACCCTTTATAAGCAAATATGAACAAATAAATAGTTTCAATCAAAAATGTAAAGAAATAAAGCAGAAAATTAGATGATACTGTCAGATTTACGGGCTAAGTCTGAGTATGTAATATAGCCATACACTGGGGAAAGGGTACATCCCAGTATTAACACTGGGTTAGAGTTACAGTGGCCACCAATAAATAAAATAAGAAATGATCCTTGGGATAAATGCATCCATTAAATCAAGTAGCCTTCATCCATATCAAGTGTTACCACTGCAAGATAGAGACCCCAGGGTTTCCCCTTCACACCTGGGACTGATAAATACTGAGATCAATTCTTTCCAAAAGGTGACAGCAGGTAAAGATGAGACATTAGAATAACTGAAGGAGGGAGAAAAGGGAAGCCAGTACAGTGTTTCCCCTGTAATTGATTTGGAATAATGCAACTGAACGTTCATTTTTCTGTTTGGCTGCACATCTGTTTAATTTTTGGTCCCAGTTTTGGGTCAGTGGGATCTTATACCTCTGATAGTTTCTTGTTTGTCGACAACATGATTTTTCTGAACACTGGGTGTAACTTTGTTATTCATGAGAGGAAATTCAACTGAATAACAAAGTCATTATTTCACAAAATGTAGTCTCTACAGCTGACTGTGTTGAGGGGAAACACGGTGTAAATCAAAAGAAGCACACATGCCCTGGAGGAGGAGAGGAGGAGTCCAGAGGAGCCCAGAGTAAACTCTCAAAAGTTTGGGCTCATTAGAAGAAGCCGTGTAAGTGTTGGCTGGTAGTCTACTTCCGGCCCCAGAAGTGAGGGGCTCGGCGAGGGGACGTACCGTCCTGAGAGCTGCTAAGGCCATTGCTGCTCCAGTCCAGCTGCCTGGAGGGGAGCGCCTCCTACAGAGAGAGAAGTGAACTTCATTTATAAAAGTATCCCATCTAGATGTGTTCATGTGTTACACTCTGGTCCCTTTCACATCAGTCATATCAAATCAAACAGACCAGTTTACCCGCATTGAGTCTGCTGAGGGGGTTCGGGTCCCTGTAGGTGTCTGTGCTGTGACTGCTGTGTGTCCTGGAGAACAGACAGCTGGCACAGAATCTTTGGTGGGCTCTAGCATTCCCTGATGGATGATAAAACAGTGGAGACAGAATAAAGAACCTATAATAAGCAAAAGTGGCAAAAATAAAAGTGACAAAACAAAGCATCTCTTTATAGCACTGAAGCTGTCATGTATTGTATTGTTGTATTCACACAATGAATACATTTTGTATAGTCTTCTATTACACACCACTGATATTGGTATTCTTATGTTACAATGCTTCTTTCCACTAAAAACAAGTTCATTTTCTTCCGATTTCCTGCAGCTGACTCACCAGGCTGGAAGCAAAAGCAGGAACAGCCACTGGCTGCTTCTTCATGCCGATGAAGACCTTTCAGAGGGAAAAGACATACAAAATAAAAACATTGGATTCTACATTTTAGGAATCTGCAGTATAGCATTACTCATTACGATCGAGCCGTACTCACGTACTGCAAGTCAAATGCATTGATCAATCACTGCAGTCATAGTTTCAGCTTTTAACTCAGTTACAGGTGAAGATATTGTTAGGATCACTGATAAACACTAGTTTTTATGTTTTGCCAAACTCACAATGTTCCTTGTGTCCACACCGAGGCACCTGAGCAGAGTCCTGTTTGAATGAGAACCACCCCACTGAAACTGGAGGCCAACTGCACTGTGGACATCTTGGTGTGGCCACCACAGGCCCTGCTGCACACTGAGAAATGGTGAGAGAATTTAAAAGCAGGATCAGACACACAGAGACATTAATAACTATTCATGAGAAAGAAAATGAGAGTAAATCTGAAATGACAAGAACAACATCTGAAGTAGCACTATTTACCAAGTTTGAAGTAAAACTGGTTCTTTTTAAGTGAAAATGTCAAAGACTATTAATATATCCACCATCATCATCGCCACCATCTTCCTAATTCAGCAAGTTTTCCTCACCACTGAGCAGCACTGAGTTCTGGCATCCTCTCCTCCTCACCCTCAGGGAGGTGTCGGGTGTGAAACAGAGCACCGAGGCTCAGCGGCTTCTCCTCACCTTCCACCGCCGGGACCACTACCTCTGGGAAACTGGCCCAGAGGAGCTGCTGGATACGGCACGACAGTGACGCCTGACCGGAAACAAAAGAAAGAGGAAAAGATCAGTCCAAATGTAATATGAAATATGAACCTACTTTTTCACTCGGTTTTATTGTTGTTTTGATGTCCGTGAAACTTTTGGCAAATGTTTTTGGGATGTGACAAAAAAGCAATAAAAATAATGATAATAAAAGGAAAACAGAAAGAGTAATCCATCACAAGCCCTGCAAAGTAAAACAACTGACACCTTCTGGAACTACTTTTCCTCCGACTTTATCCTGCTAATTATCAACAGTTTTCAGTGAAATGTCTCCCACCTGACAGCTGTTTCTCCTTAAAACTCCATACTGTCCCTCCCTGTTCTGTTCTTCCTCTGTGTCCCCATCAGGCTGAAAGCTGCTGACTTGGTCTCTGTCCTGTGTCCAAGAGTTTCCCTCCTCCTGAGCCCTCTGATCCTGGAACTCCGCCCATGACCCTTCTCCATCCTCCTGTGTGGGCGCTGAGCAGAAATCTGCAAAGCTGTCACTCGGTGGTAAGTTGCCTAGACTCAGCACCCTTACATCAGCTTTTTGTACACCTTCCTGGTCCCTGTGATGCTCATAGCTACTGTCATTGAAGTCTGCAAATTCATCTTCTGTATGTGTTACAGAATGTGACTGGTTGGAGGTAGCAGAGGTTTCCTGAGTCGCAGGTTGGTTGCAGTGATGAAAACCCTTCTCTGCCTCAGACTGGCTGAGATTTGCCATGCTGCTGTTTCCCAGATCTTCATCCTCATCATCAGTCTGGTCCCAGTCTGTCTGATCACCTTGTGAAGCAAGAGATGAAACATTTGGTTCCAAGTCAGCAAATGACAAATCATCACAGGAGGATGCCAGGTCGTCTGAAGCAGACTCATACACACTCAATGTTTGAGGGGCAGTAGAAACACTCTTCTCCCCGTCTTTCTTCGACACTCCATCCTCCTGCACCTCTGAGGTTTGTAAAGAATTTAAACTGCGCCTTCTTTCCCTCAAACTGTCCCGGTGCTCGCCTACATCCTCCTCCCCGAGACGAGGTTGTTCAGATGGAAATCCCGAAGCTGCTGCAGCTTCCTGAGGCTGATGGTGGTCCTGAGATGCTGCATCTCTTCTCTCACAGTGCTTGACCTTAGTGCAAACGTTTCCTTTTGCCTTATATGCACAATGAGATCTGGGCTCAGAGTCCATGATAACATCATGACCTGGATCACAGATTTGTTCGCCTAAGTTTGTCCCTTCCACTCCGCCAACCCACTGCTCTGTGCTGCTTATGGGAGAGAGGCCACAGCACCAGGGGTGTGCTGCCTGCTCTGTAAACACGGTGAAATCAGCAAACCCCGTCTCCTCCTTGAAAGAGCAAGTGCCCGCTATGGAAGCCCCAGAGTTGTGGTCTTCTTCAGCATATCCGTTTGTGAGGTGCAAATTTGATTCAGCATTACAATCCTGCCCTTCCATGTCTATCTGCCGTCTGCTGGAACCCGAGTTCACAGTGGATACAGGTTGTGATTGTTCAACTGGGTGATTAAAGCTGCAGTTGGGTTGAAGGGTGGCTGGCTTTGTGGTAGGGGAAGGCTCTCTGAGGCTGGACGTTGGCCGAGTTGAATCAGCGAAGCCTCGAGGGGAGCAGGACACCCCGACAGAAAATCCCCCAAAGTCTCCAAACTCGTCTTCCTCTGATCCAGCCTCCCCGTCGCCATCATCCTCGAGTGGAGGGGGAGAGGAGGAGTGCAAGGGCATGATGTATGGCTCCATGTGTTCACCTAACAGGACCTGAAGGCCTCATGCACCTGGGAGACAAAAGGGAAAAGAAAAGGAAGAGGAAGATCATGAACAAGCAGAGAAAACATTAAAAAAAATTTTTGTTGATGATGGTAATTGCTCAAAACAAGATAGTTGGTCTACTCCGGGAGTCCAAGTGTGTCAGGAGATAAATGCTGGTGAAAAACCACTGCCAGAATGATTTTTGCTTTAGACTACAGGTGATTTGGTGTTATTTGTGGTGCAGCCTTGTCTGTAGGCTCTTCTCTCAGAGCAGATTTACGACGATGAGATCAACGTCCTCATGACATGCATGCAGAATGAGTGCAAACAGTACATCGTCTTGCTACCTGATGCCTACATAAACCTTCAAGATAGCTTCACTTGACATCATATTGGATACTGACAGCATATTAAACACCTCCATGGACAAACACTGAGAATACCAAAGGGACTGTTAGTAATATTACTCATTTTATAGCACCTTTACATCACTTGCCTACTTGTTTTTTAATGTTCTGGCAACAGATTACATTTCTCCTATTCTCCTCTAACAACTTGTGTGCAGCCTGAGGCCCTCGGACATGTAAGATCTGACTGTTCCTATAACTAGTTTGAAGATTTACTGCTAAAATAATTTGAATGGAAGACTATTACACTGAAAACTAAAAAACTGAAAATTGACCTGTTTGAGGATCTCACCATTTACAAATTGCAATTCTTTTTTGAAAATGCTTATTTCCATGTTTTGTTTTATGTATTCTGGATCTTAGATTTCACAGATTGATTTACAGATATTCTGTATTGCTGGTTCTATCACTTTTTTTATGTGATATAGAGCCAAAACAATTGGTCGATTAGCTGATTAGTTGATCAATTTGCAGCTGTTTGGATAATCAATTAATCATTAAATTATTTCCCCTGAAAATGCCAAACATTTGCTCATTCCAGCTTCTCAAATGTGAGGCAGCCCTAATGTGAAGCAGATGAGAGAGTATTAGATTATGTAGGTATCCGCTTCATGTCTGACAAAGGTTACAATGGAAGCAAACATGGAAGTATAAGTTGGTTACAAATTGATTTCCTGAGGCACATTTAGTTTTGGTTTAGTTCAGACTTTTTGCAGACTCTGTCAAAAACTGAAGAAACTGCTTCACACAGAGGATACTGAAAAAAACATGAACTTTAAAAATCTATTGCACAATCTCATCCCTTTATATATCTTCTCTGGCAAATGTTTACATCTAACTGAGGTATTACCAGCTCTATGTGGTGCTGATCCTGGAGTGGAAAAAGAAGCCAGTACTGGCCCCGGACAGTAAACTGATACATGACACACTATCCGATGCTTTGTGCTACTTAGACGAACAGTTCAAACCAAGCCCTGCGCCTGCAGCAGCCACTCCAGGATCATGGATTAGTGTCTATATTAAACCTTTAACACAAACACACAAGAACTAGCCTACTACCGCATAAGCTAACAGGTATTTTTACACAATAGATTAACGACAGTCTGGTGTCATGCCATGAAATTAAACAGCTGCATATGAAACCATACGAACATTAGCTGCTAACGAAACTGCAAAGCTAGCTTATTTGCGGATAATCCACTGTGCGTTAGGTTTAAAAATAAGGAGCAAAACCTACAACCCCAACCGCATTCCGCTATCTCGTTACAACACAGCCACTGATTAGCATTAACATTACAACAAGCTAGCTAGTGAAGCCACTAACGCTGTTTATCCGTCAAAAACACTGACATGCTATTTAAACGGGGCTAACTGCTAGCTTGCATTACAGTGTGCCGTTATTTAATTTACCATCACCTGTTCACTTTGCCGTCTCGTCACTTCTTGTCTGTCAGTGCCGCAGCTCCGCTCTCCATCACCTCTCACCATCATTCTCCGATGAGTTTAAATTGGGATGTTTAAAATGTCGAGAGGGCTCACTACATTCCATTTTCTGGGAGCCATGATTAGTCAGCTGCGAAGAGCGGTTGGGGAAATATCCGGGGTTCACTTTGCAGACCAGAGAGTGACTCTGCTTTAATAAAAAAAAATAGACGATCTTCGTTCTTGTCCATGGCTATGGTGTGCGTTACCTACTGGGGAGATTTGACTCAACACCTCTTAGTTTATTCTGATGTGGTTGGGATCAGGGGCGGAGCCAGACATTGTAAACATGCAACTTCAGTCTTTACTGAAACTGAAATGATTTACTGTATCAAGCCATTTGTACATCATTTGGGGAAAACATGATAGTTGCCCAGGAAAAAAAATCATCCAGAGCCTGCATCATATTTTCTGTCTCCATCATTCTGAAACCAAAACACAACAAATTCTGACAATGACAAAAATTCTGATGTTATTTTGAATTTAACTTAAATAGCATCACTAATCTTGACACCTATTTTTGTTGCACTATGCTGGTTCACAGATTTAATGTTTAGATGAAAAATCTGCATTTAAATCCAGACCATAATAATATGTGCTGCGACGTGGATCCACAACATGGCCAAGTAAATGTCTTCAATACTCTGAACTGAATATTAGGCCAACAGAAAAACATTTACTCTAATGACATTTAATTTCTTTAAGGAATAGCATCACAGCATTCAATCCCATCTTGTCAACACATTTTCATCTCCTGTCTATGGAGGTAGATTTGTCTCAGTGGTATTTGTGCAAACAGACAATCAGTGAGTAAATGTGTGATCTGTAAATATAAAACACTTTCCACAAATACAAAAAAACACATTTGTAAACTCACAAAAATATCCTCCAAATATAAAACAGATCTGCAAGTACACAAATTCCACGAATAAAAACATATCTGTGAATACATTGAATTAATTTACAAATAAATGAAAAGCATTTGTGAATATCTTCCTAACATTTACCACTTTCAAACAAACATTTATGAATCAATTTTCTGTTGCCATAGTGACAGTAAACATCTTGTTGCACCACATTTCATACCCATCCAACCCTTAAAGAGATAACTGGTGCATTGTAATCATTCAGTCCATTTGTGGAAGGTGTTCTTCTGCTTCAAATCCAGACCTCCTCATCTGTCCTCTTCTCACTCCTTCTCTACTCCTCTCCTCCTGGTTTTTCATCACATATTTTCTTCCTCTCTGCTCTTAACTCCAGCTTTTCTCTCCTTTCTCACTCCCCTCATCTCTTCACCTATTCCTGCTTCCTCTCCTGGTCCACAGGTTGTCCTGTCCTTTCCCCTTGCTCTCTTACTCATTTTCCCTCATGGCTCGTCCAGCTTGCCCAAAATGACACCATCAAGAATTTTGCATCAAGCCTGAATGCTCCGCAAGTTGTCGGGGCGACCTATAAATGCCTATTTCCCCAGTGCAGTACTAATAGAGCTCCATTGATGTGCTGGTCTAGTCAGAGAGACTGAGAAGAAATGACACCAAGTGGAAGTTATATTATAAACTTCATATAAGATTCGGGGCTTTTGGGAAAACATCAGGGGCTGGAGCCCCATAGGAACGATATGTATCCAGTTTAGGGTTGCTTTTGTTTTGAAACAAGTCTTAAGCAAGCAGAGCAAGTGCAAGTAAGCAAGGATGAACATGGATCCAAAATTAGTAAGAAAAACAAACTTGAACAAGTATCACATACACTCTTTATCATTACAAAATAGAAAAACATATTTTATTTCAATAACAAGTAAGTGCAAGATAGCCATGAGTTTGTTCATGCTGCTTGTGGCTGAGATCTGAAGTGCATCAAACCAACAAAACTTCAACAGTGAAAGCTCCAGTTTGTAGGAATCACAACAAAGTAAACACCACAATGACACTGTCAAGAACAATCCTTTCAAGTCCATTTAAGTGCTGCAGTCGCTTGACTCCTCATTGATTGTAACATCAAAGAGGAGCAGTCGCTGGATACCTCACACCTTAATCTACAATCTTCTCATCAATGTTCAATTATTCATTAGCTGCTTGTAGTCGCGATGAAGAAACCTTTAATTGGTTGCAGCCCAGATTTTTTATCACTGGACTCAAAAGGTTGTGGTCTGAAGCAGAGGACATTTTTTTCTGACAGCTTTTCTTTTTCCCCTGAAGAGGCTCCATATTGGTTTCCAGACATAAGACTTGTGCGAGCGAGTCAGGCTCCAGGCCAGTGAATCACCACCTACATTTCCGATTTGTTCACAGAAGCAAATAATGAATGTTTAGAAATGAAATGTCAATTCAGTCTTGTAATCAGGTAAAAGACTACACAGTGGCATGCGCTTTCCATGCTTCATGGATCTTCATATGTCCCTTCAGTTTCGAAGCAGTATGAAATTTTTTGCCACAAACCGAACAGCGAAATGACTTTACCCCTGTGGGCTCTGTAATGCCACACGTTTTGAGATGATAGGTGTGGGCAACCATTTTGCCACACGATTTGCAAAAATATGGCTTTTCCCCTGTGTGCATCCTCAAGTGAACATTGAGATTTGAACTTTGAGCAAATGATTTTCCACAGAAAGAACACGTGTGTGGCTTTTCTCCTGTGTGGATTCTTAAATGCACAGCCAGATGATCCCTACGAGCAAACTTCTTGTCACATTCAGAGCATTTAAAGGCCCTCTCTCCCATGTGAATCTCATCCATGTGTCTGATCAGAGCAGAGTCCTTCTTGAACTGCTTGCCACAGAAACGGCAAGCCCTCTTGTCATTCTGCGCTTGTTCCTGAGCCATAAAAGAAGCGCCGCCGTGACTCGGACCACATGAGTGTGAAACGGAGCCATCACTCCCATTCCACTCATCGTCGTTGTCCAGTGTCACAGTTATAGAGCTGAAAGTTGGGAACAGCTGGTAGTCAGTCTGAGTAGTTGTTTCTGATCCAGAAAGTCTGACTTTCACATCCTCAGAAGAATCAGCCTCCTGGTTTGGGATAATACAGAGATCCAATTGCTCCTCTTTAACCTTCTGAGGGCAATGGGTCTCATTCTTCTCCACAATGGGAATCTGGTCTGGCTGCTGTGAAGAAAGTGCTTCCTCACTGGCTGACTGGGTGTCTGAAGGACAGAGAAGTCACATGCAGAAACCTGTTAAATAAAAATCCACAAACACCACAATTCTACAGGTCTAAGTAAGATGTGTTTTAGTCAGTGGTGGAAAAGGTATTTAGATCCTTTACTTAGGTAAAAAGTACAAATACAACAGTACAAAAATACTCTATGATAAGTATTGCTGTCAAATTCTTGCTTAAATAAAATTACATAAGTGTGGGTTTCCTCTGGGTTCTCCGGCCTTCCTCCCTCAAAACGACTCCAAATCGCCCGTAGGTGTGAACGCGAGCGAAAGGGTCGTTCGTCTCTATATGTTAGCCATGTGATGACTGGTGACCTGTCCAGGGTGTACCTCACCTTTGCCCAATGTCAGTTGGGACTGGCTTGAGAAATTGTCACTGGTTTCAGCTTCCCTGTCATTGTTGTGTGTGATAGCAAACTGAATATGTCTGGTTTTGGGGCTGTTGGATGAATAAAACAAGCAATCTGAATATGTTACCAGTAAGGGTTTGAAATTATAACTGACGTTTCTCACGTTTTTATGACATTTTAAAGCCTACACAAAACAATTAATTGATTAATCGAGAAAACAATAATCAGATTAATCAATAATGAAAACAATTGTCAGACGCCCTTTTCAAACGTTTTTCAGTGTAAAATCTCAATCTAGAAGGTAATTAGTAAATGTAGTGAGGTGGACGAATAAAGTACAGGAAATGGAAATACTCAAATACAAGTGCCAGAAAAAACTGTACTTCAGTAAATGTACTGTCCACCGCTGGTTTTAGTCAGATGTGAAAGAATTCAACTGTTTCTACAGCCAGTGCATTTTATTTGCTGTTCATGAAGTTGCATGACTTTCTCCTGCGACTTAGTCAAAAATCAGAGTGAATCTGTTGCCAAGCAACGCTGTAACATAGCAACCTGCAGGATGCCGCATTGACGGTGACACAAACCTGCTGTGATTAATGACATTTCAGCTTTTAAGGCGGTCAGCTGCTCCACCTGCTGTGTCAGGTGGATGATTTCTCTCTTGGAGCGGACAACTTCATCCTGATACTCTGCTATGGTCTTTTCGAAAAGTCCAAAGATCTCCTCGGCGGCCGCAGCCAGCCGCTCGTTGACCAGCACTCTGAGCAGCTGAGTCCCCGACATGACGGAATACCAGTTCTCTAAGTGTGCAGGGCGGTACACGGATTTTACAATTAAGAAATAAAGTCCTAGGGAAGTGAAATATGCATATTTTACCGAGGTAAACGAACCGAGTGGCAACAATATGACCGAGTCAATGCTTCCGGTTTAGCTTTAAAACGCGCAGGATTCATTTTCACCGGCGCCCCCTGCTGCGGTGGATGATATGTTTCTGCGTGTGTGCAAAAGTTTGGACCATAGGACTGTTTACTGTCACCTTGGCAACGGGTTCCGGCTTAGTAGTTAATGTTAGCGTAGCCTGCATACTAACAATGAACAATAAAATTGTAATATGTCATTTCTTAAAAAAACAAATATCAACACCAAAAGCCATACTATCAAACACTTTAGCCAGGTTCTGTCACGTCATCTCTTACAACCGTTAACGTAGCGCACGTCACTTGTCACTTTGACAGCTCAAAGAATACTGCGTGCTCTTACTTTGAAAAGCGGAAATGGTGGCGTTAGCAGGCTATCCCGTGTTTTCCGATACAAGCCGATTTTCGTTCAGACCGGCAGGAAGTTTGTCTCAAAAAAGAAAATGTGTATATTTCTTTTCCTTTCAAAAATAAACAAAATAGGTAATTTGACCAGGGGTGTCCAAACTGTTGGATACAACCGTAGACTGTATATAAAAATGGACGTCGACTCCGGGTCTGGAAAATGAAACGAATGCGGAAGTGCCTTGAACTTGCATTCTATCGAATGTCCATCAGGGGGCGACTCCACTGGTTGCAAAAAGAAGTCCGATTGTATTGAAGTCTATGGGAAAATAACCCTACGTGTCACTTGATGTATTACCTCAGTAAACGTTTTCGTTATGTGTTTATGGTCTGAAGCGATGTGTCGGACATATGACTTGTCATTGTGTTTTCAGTTCATCAAAGTTAGCGCCAACATGTTTCCCTTAAAATGTCTTGGTCGGTGTTCGGTTGTTCTAAAAGACACTCGGAGGAGTCAGCGGTTCAGTTTTTTTTCGGTAAGTACATTTTGTTTTAAGCCTATTTTTTGCTAGCCAAAATTAGCATCCCTGTTAATATCACAGTTCAGGTGAAGATGCACCTTGCTAACCAAGCTAGCCAGCTAGTGCTAACGTTAGCTGATAACTTAGCGATTGCTATGCTAATGGTACCTGGGCCCGCTGGGCAGGTAACCTGTGTCTACCTGGGTTAGCCCGTGGAGGTGCTCAGTCAAAGCCCAATAAAAAGGTACATTTAATCGACGTTAATGTAACGACGTTTGGTTTGTGTTTCTCCCACGTGACCCAGTTTAAGTGATCTGCGTTAGTGTAATGGGCAGGGTTAATGTTAGTTAATACATTATCCATGAAGACGTTGTGATAGTTCAAGTTAAGATAACATGACATAAAAACTGACTCTGGAAGTATTTACATAGAAATGTCAAAGTTTAAAAAATTCAAAGGCTTGCTTTCATCAGTCAAGCTATTCAGTTCATATAGCTGAAATTACTTTGAGCCACTGGGGGAAATAAGTCACCTCGCTAACCACATAATCTACAATTGCGTTGTAGTTGGGTTCTCCTTTAAATGCACAATCCATGACTTTAATAAAGTGTTTCACCATCAAAGCATCTGGTGCAGAAATATAACAGGCTAAACTTATAAATATTAATGTCATTATAGAAGCCTATTGGGCACTTAATTCAAATGTTCATGTAAACTTCAAAATTAAAATGTAATTTTTCACACTATATTGTTATATTATTATAATTGTTACATTATACTGGACTTTTACTTTATGAATATGAGCAAAGCAGGAGAAGCAGTCAGCAGGTTCTATTTAAAAGTATTTAATCTTTTGCTTGCAATCAGGTGTGAGTTGTTATATTTCTACAAATGAAAGAAAGCATAAATGCAGGTCAAATTCTATCATGTTATCTTGAATTAAGCAACAAACAATTCTAAATCAAAATCAGTACATCAATACATTCTCACGCTAAATATATGATCATGTGAGAAAAAAACCAAGGAAATATAATGAAATAAAATCACTCAACGCACTCAGGAACAAAGGTCAACTGAGGGAACCAGCTCAGCTGAAGGGCAAACAGAATGAGCTCAGGACACAGAGCAAAGAACACTCAAGGCACATGACCTACCCAGTTAGCACACCTGTTGTCCTGCTGCTCTTCAGCCCAGCAGTCATGTGACCCCACTTCCCACAGTACGTGTTATTTAAGTAAAAATTTTAAAGAAAATGCAGACGTTTCTTCACTTCTCGACCGTAAAAGAAAAACAAATTGACTACACGCCTTATATGGTGTTATATAGACTCTGATGTTCTCTCACACCATTTTAAGTTTTTTCTCTTCCAACTCTTGTCCTTGCAGTTTCTCACTGATGTGCCGCTGCCATGACTTGTGAACCTCCATGTGCACCTTCAGGTTTGAATCTGTGCGAAAGTTCCTGCCACAAGTTGTACAGCGAAATAGCTTAGTTGAGCTTTTGTCTTGTGTCCCTGTGCACAATTTGAGATGATGGCTACTTGCAAACCTCTTGCCACATTTATTACAAAAGTACGGTTTCTCTCCAGTATGCTGTCTCATGTGAACGGTACGATTAGAATTTTGAGTGAATGTTTTGCTACAGAAATCACAGCTGAATGGTTTTTCACCCGTGTGAATTCTCATGTGCCGAACGAGCTGGTGGTTCTTATGAAACTCCTTGTTGCATTTAAAGCATTTAAAGGCCTTGTCCTCTCTGTGATCCTCATCTGTGCTCTCCTTCTCTGGCGCGACTCTGCACTCAGTCTGCATTTTGCAAAATCTGAAATGATTGCTTGTGGCAAAACTTTTTCCACACTTGGCACAAAAATATGGTTTTTCCCCCGTATGCACTCTCATGTGAGCAAGACGACTTGAGTTCTGAACAAATGCTTTGCCACAGTAATCACAGGTAAAGGGTTTTTCCCCTGTGTGACATCTAATATGCAGAACTAGCTGGTAGCGTTGGTCAAACTCCTTGTTGCATTCCAGGCATTTAAAGGCTTTGTGCCCTTTGTGGCTCTTGTCTACATGCCTTATCAGATAAGAGTCCTTCTTAAAACATTTACCACAAAGGTAGCAAGACTTTTCATCCCTTGGAGGCTGTTCCAGTTCCACGAAGACTTCAATGCCATGACTCTGATGAGGCGACAAAGAACCATCACTTTCATTCCATTTGTCGTCTATGCTATTGTTCAAATTCACAGTTAAAGCATTGGAAGATGGGAAGAGCTCACATTTAATGGTTGCTTCTGATTTAACTTCAGCTTTGTTTGAAGCCTCCATGTCTGGACTGATGCACTGATCTACCAGCTCCTCTTTCATTTGCGGGTGGATGTCTGTTTCCTCTAGAACAGAAACCTGCTCCACCTTCAGATCACACCGCTGCAGCAGCACTTCTTTGACCTGTGGGTTGATCTGTGTTTCCTCCGGGACGGGTGCCTGCTCTACTTTAATGTCACAGTGCTGCCGCAGCACTTCTTTGACCTGTATGTGGATCTCTGTTTCCTCCAGGACGGGGGCCTGCTCCACCTTAATGTCACACTGCTGCAGTGGGGGAGGCAGTTCTTCACAGACCGGCTTGGTGTCTAAAGGACAGAGAGGAAACTTGAAACCTCTAGTGCACATACACTGAAAACTGACTTTATTTAAGTAGGAGACATTTTGCATAACTCTAGACTGGGCTCTGTATATATTTTCAACTGTCCAATGAAGGCAAGAACACCAAATCTCTTGCCATCTCTCTGGCCTCATAGTGAAAAAAGCAGCCCCCCACCTTTCACGTCTTACCTTCAGAGGAATGAGAAGCCATTACTGCATGCTTGGTCGTGTTGTTTTCTGAGTCCTGTTGAAAATAACTGCCTGTCAGTGTCTATTATAGGGTGTACGCAAGACAGTATCAAAACACCTCATGAAAAGGGGCTTTCAGCTATTATCACTATTACAAACAATCCTATAAAATGTGAACCACAGTTTGTGGCTCGTTTCAGCTCTAAAATACACACAGTTGGCAGTTGATCGTTAGGTACACCTTGCTATAAAGTTACACTCTCTGTATAAAGCAACATAATTCAAAGGCACCATGAGCTATATCTTCCAAAAATGATCATAAAGTTAAATCAGCACCTCTCCTAAGAACGTTTCAACAAAAACTGAACATGGAGGATTTATTGCATTAGTTTTAGGTAAGTTTACCTTATAAACCAGCAACAGAGTGTAGTTTGCATTAACAGTTAACATTTGTCAACCCCTATAAATTGAATGCAAAATCTAGACAATGAACAAATGGGCAAATTATATATTTTGTTGATTTCGAATCGAATAAAACCATTGCAGCAAACATATTAATGCACTGTTACTTTTTATTTTATTAATTTATGAAGTTATGAAAAAACAAAGCGGTGTTTCAAATTGTTCTGACTGTAAGACTAAATAATTGATAATATTTCACTGTTATTGTTTTTTATAATGTATTCTTTGAATATACCTAACAAAATAAAAGCATTATAATGAAATGGGATGAATATGAACACACACCTCCGCTACACTTTGATCCTGTGCGCCAGGGGAAACACCAACAGTCGGTACAGCCGTCGGCGTCAGGAAACGGTGCATCGCACTGGTCCTCGGCTGTCCGTTAGCGGTGTAGTCCCCCGGAGCGAAATGCTCCGAGCACACTATATATTTCTTCAGCTCATCCCGGGGAGTATTTACATCGATGTTCAAGGCGAACAGCCACAGTCTGAGCCGCGCAGGTTCCCTCACTGGGAGGCGGTGAAACGACAAACTAGCGCCGGTCCTCGCTTTGTTTCCGCACGTCTTCACAGCGCAGGAGTTAGGCATTTTACAGCTGATCACCTCATCTAACTAAATATATTTGTGCTAATGTTAGTCCTCTGGCTCTGCAGTCCCACTGTGGCTGCTCTTCTTTTTTTTTCTTCTTCTTCTTGGAGGTTTTACAGCAGTTGGCCTTCTTCATGTTGCTTTACTGCCTCCTCCTGGATTTAACTGGACTCACTTAGATTACATTAGCTTCAGTGGTGGCAAGTGACCTACTGTATCTAAGATCAAGTTTGAGGTACTTGTACTGTACTGGAGTATTTCCATTTTATGCAGCAGCGACTGATACTCCATTACATTTATTCCACTACATTTGTTGATGACTATAGTTAATCATTTTTATATTAAACATTTTCATACCAAATCTCCAAATTTGGTGATGTTAAATTAGATTTATTTTCTGCTCACGAAAAGCTGCATCAACATGGCTGAAGAGCAGTAGTGGTACATTGTTTCTGGGCTTGCACACAGCAATGAGATTGTCTGGAAATATTTTATCCACCATGTATCAAGACCACTCAGAGCTGAAGACATGATCTCCTATTGTGTTGACTTGAGGACAGTAGACTTCATTTTTATTTCCCATAAATCCCTCAGCTGTTCACAGTATTAGCTCTGTGATATCTCAGACATTGACTCGCTGCCATGCTGCTGCTGAACCTTTTTCTGCAGATGCTGCAATAACACGGTTTCTCTCCTGTGTGGATTCTTTTACGAACACAGACTCAGACAGGAACGCCTTCCCCCATTCATTGCACTTCAATGGTTTCTCTCCGGTGTGACTCTCACTCCTGTGTCTTACAAGGTCAACATCCTTTTTAAAGCAAGCGCGCGGCACATTTGACAGAACTTGACATCAGAGTGAGATTGTAAATGATCAGATACTCTACGCCGCAAATGCTGTCACCGGTCGGCCCTTGTGAGCTGGAGGAGTCCTGCTTCCATTCTTTTCTTCCTCTTTATTTACATGTGCAGCAGATGAAGGGATTTGACGGTTGGCAGTTCCCTCTGTTTCATTATTAGGTTGTTTCACAGTTGGAGGGAGCGGCCTCCAGCGTCACTGTGAACTCTATTTCTTCGTCTTTAATCTTCCAGAATAATTGATCTCGGCTCTGCTGCGGCTCCATGTCGGGACTCTGCTCCTGTGAAGAGGGGAAACATTTCCTCTGAGACTTCAGCAGCATCTGTTAAACATGAAAGAAGATTCGCCGACTCTGAGATTTTGGGATTGAATCAAACATTGGAATAGAAATACACCATGTTTTTCCTCTCGGTTGCATTCCTGTCCATCATTCTTCATTTTCTGACAGTCTGTTATTATTGTGACGACTTATTGGTGAAATAAATCTTAAATAACAAACTGAACAGTTTCCAGGAGGAAATTGCTTTTCATTGGGAAAAGTTTAAAGCATTTTTTGAAAGTTAAACTTTTGACTTTTGTAACACTGATTTGGACGTGTTATTTCCCATTGACATATTTTTATCCATGAATTATCTTGTAATTGTCTCAGGTATCTATGATTCGGCTCCCCTTTCGATTGCTGGCAGTGGTTCTAGTGTGAAGATGTTGTTTCCTATTGTGAATTTAATGCCTGACGAGGGTCGCTGACCTCAATGTTGTATCTCTAATGAACTTGGTGGTGACAGAGTGCGGGATTTCATCTTTTTAGAACTTTTTTTCTCTTCACTATTTATTTCTATAAGCATCATAAAAGTAAAACAGTGCATGGGTAAATGTACTTGGTTAAATTCTACCACTGTGTTATAGTCTCCTTTAATTATTAGCAGCATGTTAAATGTATCAAAGCTGATGCATCACTGTCCCCTACAGGTCAAATATTAAATAGACTAGTAAAGATGAAATAATTGATTTCCTCTCATTAGCAATGAATTGATTGAAGTAATTCCATTGGTAAAATCTAACATATACCTCAGTTTAGCTGGGATATAAAAACCTCTTGTTTATTTTCCAGATACATATTTGTGTTGAGCATCTGAGCGTTCCCGGACAGAGACACTGAGCACCAGCGACTTCCAAGATGAGAAGTTTATTGGTTTGCAAAGAAGCTGTTTTTACAAAAGCATGAGGAGGAAGAAAAACAAAAACATTTGGAGAGGGCTAACACAATGGTAGAATGTGCTGTCTCTTCATCTAAACACTGGTCCAGTGCACTGTCTCAATGAAACACACTGACACAAAATTTAGGGTCATCTCAGTTTAGTTTGGGAATTACAAAGACATCTTGTAAGTTGTTTTTTTTTTTTTTTTTTTGTGGTGGACGGATGGAAAGCTGCTCAGCTGAAAAACAGCAGATAAAACAGCCAACATGATGCCAAAAACACTCATGTCAGAATGATGGTTGTGCAGTTAATAGAAAAGAATCTAAAGGCAAAGGTTTGATCCAATTCTTGTTTCACACATTTCTTTACGTCAGACAGGGAAGTACAGTTGTAATATTTGTACATGTCAGAGCCCGAAACACTTTTGTCTTTATCAAAAAACTCGACTTTTCAAGATGCCCTCATATAAAACAGCAAAAATGAGTATATTACCAGTACAGTAGGTATGATGTTACCACTCACAACCCTGCTGGTTACACTGTAATAAATAGAAAGGATAACATGATTGTACAACCACACAATACATCAGCCTACTTCTAGTCAGAGGACACTTCAGAAATGGACATCATGATGTAGACATGTAGGTTTTAGCGCTTCTTACAAAGTCCTTTTGTTGTTTCACTTGTTAAAACTCACGTGGAAAAAACATGATTTAGATACTTGAGTCCATACTCTAGTTTTGCACATCCTAGTGCTTATGTCAGCAGTGTTTAAATCCCATAATTTATCATCATTTGTTAAGTACTAAACTCCAATCTTCATAAATACTAGCAGGCCAGAGGAAAATCTGACCTTGAAACACGTCAGATTGATGGTTGAAAAACAAAAAACCAAAACAAAACCACATGCTTGACTGGAACAAAAACTGGCAAGATAACACCTTAATCTTTCATGTTTACAAAATAGCCAGGTACAAGCTTACATGCACAACAAAACGTTCCTGCTCGCAACTCAGCTTGGTATTCGTCATGTAAAAACGAAGCCTGTGAGGTCACGTTCATAAATATGTACATCCAAAGTCCAACAACAGGGCAACATTTAGACCTGGGTCAAAAAAACTGTTTCTCTCACATCAGTTGTCCTCGATTTTTAACTATGGGTAGGAAACATATTTCACAACTCGGTGGGTAGGAGGAGAGGATCCTAAGTAACTGAGGTGAATATGAACAGTATTTTCCACCTGGGTATTTATCATCAGATTACAATCAGGAAGAGAATGACATTCACTTTTTCTGTTGCACTTTTAAATGGTTGTAAAACAATTGCAATAGGAGCTAAGAGCAGGAATTATTATTCTCAAGATTGAAAAAGAAAAGACATGGGATCATTAGGAGATCAGGGAGTGAGGCCTGGTATTTTATGAAGAAACACAATGTATGTTGAGGTTTTCCAAACATATGTACCGAAATTTTTTTTTACTGGAATAATAGGCAGTTTTGAGTCCCTGAAATGGACACCAATACCTTTGTGCAACAGTACCAAACAAGTAAACTCAAGTACCCTGCCAGCTTCTCATGTACCTGCAGCACAGCCAACTGTGCAGAAAACCTCATGGGAAAAACACACTGTGCTCGTACACATCTGGAAAACACGCAACAGCCCCCCAAAAAACAATTTGCGAATGCAGAGTTAAACTGTGCTATGTTGAGAAAAACACACTCCCACCTCATCTCCCTGCACACACACACACACACATAACAAAAAGCTCTCCCTGATTCGAGCCCTTTAATTCAGGAAGTCTTGAATTGTTCGTCTCCCTCCCCCATAATTCCTAGCAACAGCACCGCGGCTGTTGATACTGTTAACTGCTGCCAGCTGTGACAGCTGTGCAGCCAAAAACATGAACCTGCACTTAAAACACACGTCTCGTTTCTACATCCATGACACACACTGCTGAGTTATGGTCATATTCTTTACATGGTGAATATTATTAGCGTTACAAAGGAATGGTCACCAGTTAATAGAACACAAAAAACAGAATCCGAAAAACACAACCTGTCGACACAGTTACACATTATTTGTACACATTTGTTCTGTTGTAACACTGGAGTAATGATGCATCGTAGTGCTCGCATCCTTTCACACTGAACTCCTCACTGCCCTCTCATACCAAACTGTACTCGTTTCCTGTTTGTGTCCAAAATAAACCAGCGGCTGCCAAGCGAAAACGAGGAGCTCAGGAAGACCGTGTCTGACCAACCAGGAGAAAACAAGTTGTGCTCTAGAGCAGTCAGCGACCTTATTGCTACGTGAAAGGAACTACTAAGTACTCGTGTGTAAAAAAAAAAAAAACGTCCTCTCTCTCTCTGTGCAGAGACGGTAATGAGGTGTTTCCTCAAAGTTTTGCCCGGAAATCTAAAAGAAGCTTCATTAACGTGAGCGAAGGTACGCATCAACGCAACGAAGTCAGTGCAGCTGTTCCGCACAGATGTCATGGCTTACTCCAAATTCACAGCAGCAAAAGGTAATGACGGGGGAAAACCTTCATTAGTGCGTTAAGATCATCACTGAATACTTAAGTGTAAAAAGATCAAAATCTCAATGATGGTTCCTTGCAGCTACAAATACTTTTTAAATCAGCACCACTTTCTAACATGTCAGCATTTTTTTTCCTAATGGTTAATAAATAATTTACTAATGTTTTATAGATCCTGTAGTTATAAGCCATTAGAAAGAATCACTTTTGGGTTGCCAGGTTGTGAAAAAAATTCCCTTTGGCTGATCCTCATGCATCTGTCTTTTTAAAACAGCTGCTGGGCATCTGGAACAGAATCCATTTATTAACAAATTACGTTTATAATTTCAGCCGTTATGCCTCATTGTAAGGTCAGAAACGTATTACTCTTTATTATTTATTAACATCTATAACTGCAAAACTGATGGTTTATCAACATGAATAACAGCATTATTACCAAATACAAAATAAACACAAAAGGGATTTTTTTTTTTTTACAACCTGGCAACACTTAACTGATCTATAAAGCCTTAGTGAATGATTTATTACCCATTAATAAAGCTGTAAGTTTCCTCTTTATTAGAAAGTTGTCTCCAGAAATATGCAGTTAAATTTTTTATCTAGGTCAATGTGTTAAACTTTACAGAGCATAGTGAATGCTTATACTGTAAGTAGTGTAAACAGAGCTCCTTAAGCCATTATACTTTTAATGCTTATGAGTTTTGCTTTGAAAAACAGACGCAACAGTTTTTGTTAAGAGTTGTAAAAAAAAAAAACCTGCTGGCTGCATTGAACGAGGATGGAACTGCTTTATAACGTCTATCTGCTTCAGTGTGGACCAGAAACTGACATGGAATGATTCAGGAAACACTTGGAAAAAAACAAACAACAAAACAAAAGCCATAAAACACATATTGTGAGACTGAAAATAGACTATAACAGCACCAGCCAGACCACCAAGAAACTGTGACATTGAGTAATAACTTTGTGCATCACTATATCTTCTATGCTACTATAGAAACATGAATACTATACATTCAACATACCATCAGGATCCAATTCTGCTTCCAAACAACCAGCTGACTGTCGAACGTGACTGAAGGGTTTTGGATTTTTGTTTGCGCTCACCTGACAGCACAGTCTCTTCTAAACGTGTTCGTGAAGTGAGTCTACTTTTATGAGAACAAGTTGCATATTGTATTAGTGTAAAGTTCAGATGAGGTTTGGGTGAAAACAGTGTGTTCTGTGAGTTCAACAGCAGAGAGCAGAGTTCAGTTTTCTCCACTCTCCTCGCCCCCACCAGAGCAAACCAGGCGTAACTCTCCTTCCTGTTCGCCAAACAGGACTTTCTTTAATCTACAGGAGAACGGCTGCAGTGATCGCTAAAGTGAGTGCAAACTACCAACACACGCGGTCTACAGCAACGGGACGCTTTCTGCTACATGTTGTCATGATATAATCCTCATTATTGGGTATTTAGGTCGGTGAGACTGCAGCGCGTTACCATGACAACTGGAATAAACCCGAGGGAGGGCACAGGGGAGCGCCTACGGAGTTGGAGATACACCAACACAGAGGGAGGGTGTAATTTTGGACTGTGATCAGTTTTAATAGATAACTGCAACAATAAATGCACATCCAGCCGGGTGGAGTGAAATCAAATCTGAAAGCGTCAAACAACCTGCAACATTTAGCTCTAAACCAGTTTTATCTGATTTAAAAAATAAAAAATAATATAAAAAATAATCATGTGGGAATTAGTCAAGGCTCAGACTGAATATCTAAACATTGCTCAGGTTCAATACTGCAGGGATTTACAGCATATTGAGTGAAAATTAAATTAGTGTCTATTTTTAAGCTTGATCAACATGCGTTTTCCAGTTTATCAACAAATTTTTTTTACACCCTCGAGTTGCAGAACTTCCCTCAATTTAAGTTCAAACATTTAATCAGTCAGCATTTGCGTTTGCTTTCGTCGTAGCTGCTAAGTTCCAGATACATTTTCCTGAGTAACTGGTTTCTATAACATCTCAGCTTGTTTTCCATCCTTGAAAATTGTTCCACACCTGCCTCTACCTCTGCATCCCTAAAGGATTCAGCATAAAAAATGAATGCACTATTAATAAGCCTTGAGATCCCTGATCTGCCAAAACTGGAGCTACAAGGAAAAAATACCTGAAAATGGAGCAAACACATTCACCCACAAAGCCTCATCACATCAGATCCTCGTTAAATGGAAAGAAGGAAATATAATTAAGCAGAAGATCTCTAACTTGTCACAGCCGGAGACTTTTTCCAGTTGCTATGTTGCTGCAGGGTTGCATGATGGTTTATGGACGATGACATAACAGGCGCATACGTGTGCGTGTGTGTGCGTGTGTGTGTGTGCGTGTGTGTGTGTGTGTGTGTGTGTGTGTGTGTGTGGGGTCATCTGTGATCAAGTTCTTGGTTCACACTGCAGAGCAGGAAGAGCAGGGAAGCTAACCGAGCTTGGTGATCTGTAGATCTCCTTGTATCCGTACTGTGTCGATAGAGGGCAAAGATTTTACTTTGTGATAAAAGTCAAAGAGCTGGTGTCCGTCCACGAATATCCGGAACCTCTGGTGCTCGCAGTGGATCTCAATCTGCAGGGAGGGAAGAGGGGAGAGACGCCAGAGAGAGAAGATTAGATAACACAAATCATCAATAATGCAAGTTCAGGTCAAGCAAGGTACATTTACAACTTACAATCAGACTATTAATACAGAAGCAGTGACACTGATATCGTTTCATCAAACTGCAACAAAGGGGCAATAAAGATAAGTGCCAGTGAAGTGCTTAAAGGAGAACTAAACTTGCTTTCTCATGCCTGTATGTTAATAGGAAGCTACAGCCAGCAGTTAGCTTAGCATAACGACTGGAAACGGGGAAACAGCTAGCCTGGCTCTGTCCAAAGGTAAATATAATAAATAAAGTCACCTCTAAAGCCCACTAATTGGTAATTTCTATTTCAAATGTTTAAACCATACAAAAACAAAAGAGTAAAAATAGGTTTACAGTCTTTATGCTAAGCTAAGCTAACTGGCTACAGCTCCATATTGTATCTTATCATCTAAAATCTCAGCAGGAAAAACAAAAAAATCATATTCCCCAAAATTCCCACAACTACTCCTTTAACAAGCTTTTTACCTTAGGTCTTATTTTCCTCTGTCACATGTCTCTGCTTTGTATGAAGAAATACTAAAAATCCTAAAAAATATTTAGTGAACTCTTGTGAGCTGTGCGTCTTTTACATTTGCAATTTTGAGACGGTGATGAATTTGGGATGCAAACCTACTCTGCTGTTACATTTATGGTGAGTTAACGGTCTCACAACAAGCAGCTGATTGAGACTCTGCAGCGGTTGCACAGGGGGTGGAGAGAGTAAACTGCTCCAGTTGAAGACCTATTATTTGACTTAACTCACACAGACGCAGGATTACTTCTCCTACTCAAGCAGCTTGTTTGAAGACCAGTTGCATATAGTCACACCCGCCCATAACCAATTTATATGAATATGCACTTCTGATTTTAGAGAATTCTTTAAAAACCTACTCAACTGTTGTAATGAAAGGACTTTCCATCCTGGATTCGTTACTTTAGTTTGTATCGTTTAAAGAAAAATACAAAACAAACATGTCAACGTCACCTAAAATAATTAGAGGGAATATTAAACCTGCTTTACGCCACTTTTTTGACCAGAACAACCAGCTGTAAACACAATACTGACGTATTATCTTGTATGTCATTATATGTAATATTAGCAAACAGTTTTATTGACACATCCAGCAGACATGAAGCAACATTATCATTCAGTTGGGGTTGTACTTCTGGTCGCCTGAGGAATGCAAATCCAATAATCCGTCTCTTTTTAGCTCCGTTTTGTTCTGCACCAACTGAGAAAAAAAACTTTAGGTGCTAAATCCTCCACTGTTTTCACCAGCTAGTCTCTAACTTTGTCTGTCTATTGTATGTACCGCTGCTCGATATCAGCGTTTTAACATATAGCAAGCCACCAAAACGCTTTCCAGTGATGAAACTATAAGTGCGTCGATGTCACTTTTGCTTGTGTCTGTACGCCGTGAGCCTGAACAAACCAAATACAGAGATTCAACCGTGTAAACATCTCTCCGTAGGGTTTGAACCAAAGAAAGACAAATTCGTAGGTGTGATCACACGGCTTCTTTCAATGAAGAGAGTAACAGAAAGGAGCCGTCCTGCCACGAAAACCACAGCACATCATGTGTCTGTCCACATGCCTCCAAATTCATGAGGCAGTTTGTTGGAAACAATCCGCAGCACAGCCCTAATCTCCAGCCTCCAGCTTTTGACAGAGTCATGACTGTGCTGACCTGCTCGGTCACACTCTGACCACAAACAATGACACTTTATCAGAGAGCTGGCGTTACATAACCGGACGCAGGGATCACCTCCAGAGTTTAATATGGTAGATGCTGCGTGTTCAGTAGTTTCAGTGTATTATGTAAAAGATTAAGGCCTGAACCTTCTTTCATTTAGTAGTAATTCTAAGTTTTCATGTGTCAGTTTAAGAAGAGATTTCTCTTGTTAAACGATTTTCTCTTTGACGTTGGACGGAAACGCCTCATCCTATATCTTTAGTCGAACACCATATGTGTTATTTGTGTCCACATTCAGAATTATTAGAGCGGAATTTGACGTTATGAGCGAACGAGTCCTCAGGTCTTCTGACAATTACTCATCAAGCATATGTGGTCAACTCCCAACCCCCACCCCTGCCTCATCCAGCACACAAACAGCTGATGTTGTGCGCCCCCCCCCCCACAGGATACAGGCTGTATTTATGCTAGATAGCTACGATTTATCACGGAAGAGCATTTCCTGTTTGTCTCTTGCGTCTATAGCACATATTCACCACATTACTGTTGTAACGTGTGACCGTCTCTCTCTCGCACTTCGATGATGTTACAAAGAAAGCGACTAGTAAAGCAAAAGCACTGCGACCTTTTGCATGTTTTAGCGCATTCACTGTTGCATTCCTGCTACTGGTGCAACTCACGACTTTTTTCATTGTCGCTTAATTTATTGATAATCGATTAATTGTTTTTACTAAAACATCTCAATGAAAAATTGTAACAGCGTAAAATCAAAAAAGATATTAAACAGATACTAGATGTTTGCATGTTTTGCATTTTCTGTATTAGCGCTTTGACATCTTTATTTTAACGTATCCTTTCTGTGACCTCACCAAACTACACGGAAAAATGAATTTCACAAAAACAACATAATGAACTTGCTGTTGGATCAGCTGCTCGACTCCATGGTTCAGCAGCAATTACTGCTACTCATCTTCTTACACACACCATAGAGCATCTACTGTATTCCAGGCAGACACCGGCTCACACACAGCTTTAAAAGTGTGTGTTGTATTGTGGAGTAGCGCCTGGCCTGGTGTCAGGAGGGGGGAAAGAAAAAGCAGGGTATCAAGCTCTCTCTTTTATTTTAATTCTCCACACAACCATCTGTGTAAACATTATGAATGTTTTCGAGGAAAGATTCCCAACGTCATCCTAATTTAAATGGTCATCACGTCTCACTGGCACTGACTCTTTGTCTCGTCTTGGCACCATGTCGTCCCTTTGCACCTCACTGTACACTGACTGCCTTGTTTGTTCCGTGTCAGTGTTAGATGTTGCACCACTGGTCCGAGAGAAACTAAATGTCATCCTGATTGTGTGTATACTTAAAACAGTCATGAAAAAACAGCTTATAAACTAGTTCTTTTCACACATACCCCACCCTCAAGTATCTGAGGGCAGATTTCCCATTTAAACTTGGGGTGCTTTCACCCCTGTTCATTTTCCCCCCTTGGTACGATTCATTTGGGCAGGTGTGAAAACAGTAATCGCACTGACCAAAACAATCGAGACCCTTTCGAGGAGGTGGTCTCGGTCCGGTCCCAAACGAACTCTGGAGCGGTTCGTTTTTTTGTTGCGACAGAGTTCTGAACAAGTCTGAGCTCGACGGTTCCCGTAACCTTCTTCCTGTGTTTACTTTCCTGCTCCCGCCAGACAATCTGACCAATAAGCAAAGTGAACGTTCTCATCTGGTTCGTTAAGATGCATTTGTGGTTCACTTGAATTTTTTTCTCTGTGTGAAAGCAAACCAGACCTACAAGTTTACAAACTCTCAACTGAATCGGACCAGAACAAACAAACTTTAGGTGTAACTGCTCAGTTCAGAGTTAATCATCCTGAGTCCGACTTTATTTTGGACATCAGTCCTTTGGCTGATGATGACATTTTACTTTTAAGTACTAGAATTATATAGATCTGGAGATGTGCTGGCTCCAGGAGAAACATCTTTTAAACAACCACTTATTATTATTATTACCCATAATGTCCATTCAATTTTGAAGAGCTCTTTCCAGGTTCAGGTGATTCACCTCATCCCCAAAACCTCAGCAATGGAATTAAGGAGTATAATGTTTTCATAACCTATAGGAAATATAAAATAATGTACTTTTCATATTAATACCTAAACTGGGAGCATAATAATGAAGAACATGATTTCTGTTCTCAGATTCCTCAGGTCAAAGGAGAAGGACGCCCATGTAAGAGAGAGCATCCCGCAATCTCCACAACAGCATGTGTGTTGACCAAGAGCCAATAACATCTCTCACCCTGAACCTGAACAGGAAGTCCCCATCTGACATGCAGGTTAGTGATCAATGCAAAAAGAAAAAAGGTGAGCCTTTACCCTAAAAGGCTGATCAGGGATGAAGGGGAAGTAGGCGGTGGAAGCTTCCTCCTCCGTCCATTTCCCAGAAACGCGGGCGCTGCGCAGAAACTGGCGGTCACCGAAGCGGGCGGTGAGTTTTAGGGCCACATCTTGTGGCGGCTCTTCCTTCTCTGAGTCACGGCCACAGGTCAGGCTCACGTTGAAGCTGGAGGAGGAGGAGGAGGAGAAGGATGAGGAGGAGGAGGAGGGGGGGACCAGAGGATTGAGGAGTCAGAGACATGCAGCACGTCAGATGTAGGATATGAGTCCAGTAGCTAATCTGGGATAAATAAGATGCATAATTCTGCTGCTGCTGTGTAAGAGCAAACCAACTGCCTGTTAATTATAAATAATCCCTGCTGCTTGTTTTGCTTTACCCCCCTCCACTACAGCTGTGCCGTTTACACACAAGCATCTCCGTGTCAGTGTACAGACATGATCACAGTGACAGACTTCCTCAGCACTGAGATGCAACGAGAGAAAAACAGTGTGAGCCTCGGAGCAGCTCTGTCAGTCGGGACATTCACATGAACTTTGGCATGATTACTGTGCCAGCAGCAGCCACTGAACATGATGAGGTCATGGGGAGGTTTCTTCCAAGTCTGACACAACTTTCCATGTAGGGTATGGACACACCCAAACAAGCCTGCTTCACTGGGCCTCCTTTTTTCTTCTTTACCCCCTTTTTCTCCCTGCTGGTGAGGGAACGCCCTGTCTCTGCATACTTAAGAAGCCACCATTCTCTCTGTGTGTCCTGGAGTGGCTGTGCGAGTCTGACCGGCCTCAGAACAAAAAGCCTATCTCTAACACCACCCACTGTGCGTGCGGATGTCACAAAACATGACGTTTTAAATATGGCCAGCTATGCTCCAGATAAGATGTGTGTGCATGCACTGCTAACTGTTATCTTACCTGTCTGGCTCCAGGTCGACAATGCCCATCACTATGATCTTCTTCCCTGGCCGCATGCCGCCCCGGATGCGCCCGCTGAATGGCACCGTCTATGCAAAGCACATTTTATTCATTACGCACAACCTGGAGCGAGCATCGAACAAGGTTCCCAATCATTAAGACTCTTTCATACCAGGAGACGTGATAAATCCTCCTTGTCAGGTGAGATGAGGCCGGGGTTTCCCAGCGAGTCGTTCAGATGGTCATCCTCCACATTCTTCAACACCAGTGATAAAAAACACACAGGATGCAAACCGTCATTTATCGCCCTGTCAGGTGGGATATAAACTGGCCTGGCTGAGCTTAAACATGAGGCTGCAGACCTGTTATTTAATAAATGCACAGTGTGGCCTCGCATGCGGCTTCCAACAATGACAAGGTGGCAGCGGACCTGTCATGTTGTTATCAGGGCTCCTGTCGCGAGCGAGGTGAGATTATTAATTGGCCTCATAAACTCCGAATTGGTCGCATATTGCGCTGGATGTAAATGCGCACATTGAGAGCAGCGGCTGCACGGCCTAGGTGAAACACACACCGCCGACACATCTCAACACAGACCTATTGGATTTCCTATTTCCTCCCCGGCCACAGATGAAAGAGGAGTCGCCTTGCTCTGCCAATGCGCTGCGCACGGCGCTCCGCACTTACAATTAGCGCCGGATAATCGACATAACGGTGCGCAGACAAATCAAACCCACAGGCCGATATGCACAGAACATAAATACCAATACATCTAACCCCGGCCCCGGTTCCCCTGCAGCTCCAAAATACTCACTATTCCGTCCTTTTCCGCTGCCTGCACCGCCATCTTGAGCAGAAGAGCATAGGATGCTTATTATCGGAGCAGAGGCAGCCGTGCCGGGGAGTGTGGTGTGTCAGCGTCGTGGCACTGACTCAGGAGGATATTCCTGTTCCTGCTCCAGTCCCGCTCCTTATTCCGGGGTCTCCACGTCTCGCCGGGTCTCACAGGGCGCACAGTCACCTAGCAGGACATCCCTCCGCTCCGCTGTCTGTCTGAAATGGGTGGATATCTGCTGACGTATGCTTTATAATAATTACAGACTAAAAGCTTAATCCCCGTCTGTTGGAGAAGGCTAATCAGACAGATTTTCCTCAGCCCTTCACCCAATTAGGCAACGCCGCTCTTTGGACTCTTTTAGGTTTTATTTATTTCACACTGGCACGACAAGCCAGGGGAAATCGTTTTGATTGGATAACTGCTCAGATTACGCTGCTACTCGTGTGTCGCTTATTCAGTTTGAATGTGACACACGAGGCTCTGGCCTAATTGACCAAAGTGTCCGCACTCAATACTTTTGAATGATTAAACTACACTGTGGCCACAGCGAGCTAAAAATAGCTTGGAGTTGACCACTTTCCGGCCAGTTGAGAGCCCGGAACCTCCATCGCTTTTCAGTGAATGAAGTAGAGATTCTCATTGTTTCCCTTTCAATAAATTTAGCGTAAATGCCCCCCCCCCCTTCCCTCTCTGTCTCTCTTCCTCTATCCGTCCATTCCTGTGCATGCAAACCCCCCCTCCCTCTCTCCAGGTTGTTATCATGGTTGTTATACAGTATTCTCTTCTGCCCCTCTGCGGACATTTACAGACATTACAAGTTGAACAAACCCACTGAGCATCTTTAAATAGACACTGAATCAGTTCAGTCCATTTAGGAACGTTTTATTTTACTCCCTAAAGATTTTATTGAACATTTCACATCTCATGTTGTTATTTTTTTTTTATATACAAAGGGCTTTGAAGTAAGACAAGGCATCACGTTTTACTGCCAAACCTGCCAGAAGTTGTATCATAGACTTAAACAGGTAAAGCACATTTATTTGTCGGGAAGAGTTACAGCAGGAGGGAGCACATAACAAGACACATCCTTCCTTTGTTTGATTCAGCATAACCTTTCAGTTTTCCTGCTAAAGAAAATCCATCGAGAATATTGTTTAGAAAAATACATTTTATTTAAAGCTCCTGTCACATATAATGAAACAAGCAAAACCCTAAATGAATAAAGAGCTAAAAACCCTAGATTTAAAAACATATAGGTTTCCTCCCCTCTTAAATCATGTACTTGGTTTGGGGAGGAAACATTTAGCTGCTGTGGTGTGAAGTCGTGCTGTAAAAATAAACTTGAGCTCACAGAGGAAGCAGAACTTTCCCCTCACAGGTACCGAACAGCTGCATTTAAATTATCTGCAGAAACAGCTGGGAGGGAAAAGGAAACTCAACCCTCATTCATTCATTTACTTTCTTGACAGATGAACCATAACAGTCATATGAAGGGTCTCAGACGCAGATACCAAGATCCATCGTGATGGTAAAATCTGTTTCTACTGGTTTGAGATACATTTTGTACCAATTCACCGTCTCCTAAAGAAATTATTTGCTAAAAAATCCTTGAAGTCTTTATGCAGTCTTTCCTGTGATGCAGTGATGAGTCGCTTCTTTTGTGCCTCCATCTTGTGGTGTCTTTGGGTACTAAACCATGATGATCTCAAACAATATTTTGAAAAATAATTCCACATAATTTGTTCTTAAATCCTTTTTTTCCCCCCCAGAGTTTGGATGGGGAGAGATGCGATGGGCTGGACGGGTGGGAACCTGCCCGTCACACACTGAACAAAACCCCTGACAACAGACACACTAAACTGAGGGTGAAGGCTAACAGTCACTCCTCCGGTCAGGTTGGTCACACTGCAGAAATTATCCAGCAGATCAATCTATTTGCTCCTTCATGTGTTCACAATAGTCAATTAAGATTTGCATTGTTTCCAGACCAGTTTCACATGCTTGCCCCCCCCCCCCAAAAAAAACAAAACAAAGCAAGTGTAGGCCTATCAGAATAGTCTAAATTGAACAGAACAGGGCAGCTGAGGTGACTGCAATAAATATTATATATGAATAATATAAAATGGCACTAAGTGAATGCGTATAACCCATTTGGCAAATTAATTGCTTTACTTAAATAAAGATAAGATTCTGGGTCTGATCACTGCAGATCAAATACAACTGATATTAACTTTGCAGTGGAGCACTTACAGCTACAGGTTCATGTGTCCTGCAGCTCCCTGTAGCTGAAGGCGCTCTGTGTCCCAGAATTGGCAACGGTCTATTCAGGAGAACAAATCAGAAAATCCACTAAATTACTGCATGTTCTAACTAAGTCATCTCTCTGGTTAATCAGTATTTAGAGCATAGCAAACATATTGTTCGACTCTGATAATAAAAAAATAAAAAGTCCCACAGCGCATCCAGCCCACCCTCTCTCCCCTCCTTTCTCACTGTCTCTCCTCGCAGGGACCCAGCCGGCTGTCGGGTCCGCCCTCCTCCCTGCTGCCATGGCCGCGGAGGCTGCCGGTCGGGATGATGCGACGGCCGGACCTGCAGACTGCACCGAGATGGAGGAGTGGGTAAGATGCGCAGGGATAATTTAGGTTGTTTTCTGTGCACGAAATGTCCAGGATTGAGTGTTTCCCCTAGCCAGCAGGCCTTTCCGGGACCTGCAGCCGACTGCTGCAGCAAGATGGAGAAAAAACTCGGCAGGTTGCACGCCGCCGCAGCAACTGCAACCATTTCTGATTTTTGTTTCGTGGCCCAGTGTTGAGCTGGACATCTAAGTTTAGTGCGGAGGAACATGCGCTTTATCGTTTAAGCAACAGGGCTAGAAGGGAGGAGAGAGGGAGCACCGCACTGCTGCTGCAGCGCTCACATCCTGTGTGACGCGCTGATGTGAAAGGGAGAACTGAAAGCGCAGCAGCTGTTCGCTCTGTGGATGTAGGCTACCGAGGCTCGGCTTATAAATAGCCCGACAGTGGCCACCCTTTATCAGTTTGTGCATCGGGAAATGCGTCGCACTCGCCTCGTTTGCCGCTGAATCCCGGGGGGTTAGAGCGCGCCTGTCAAGCCCGTTTTCTTCCACTTGGCGGTGACGCAACTTGGCAACAACTTGGCAGGCAAGGTAGGAATTCTTTCTGGTCAGCAGAGCAGAGTATGAATGAAAAGAGAGGCTTTGTTGTTCTGTTTGAGGTCATTATCAGAGGAGAGTGGCTGCAGAAGAGCCTGCAGAGGCACAACGTGGTGTTTTCTCTAATTACTGGTCTGTGCGTAAAGAGGAGGATGTTAGTTGGTAAACGTGGGACTCCAGTTAAAGATTCTTTAGATTATTGAATTTCTACCAATTCTGTTTTTGGACTAAATAATCCAGCTGTAAAATGTCCAAAGTTAAAGCCACAAGTTTTCAGAGTACCAAATGATGCCTTCAGCTGGGTCAGTTTATCCCAAAGAGTTAATTTTATGATACACAACAGTAAAAATCTAGTTTCTCTTGCAACGTGAAGCTGCAGCCACTAAATATTTGGTGTTTTTGTGCAAAAATGAAAGAAAAACTACATTTTTTGTCAGTAATGTAGAGTTCTGAGTCAGGCGACATTTCATGTGAAGAAGGGTGTGTGTGTGTGTGCGTGCGTGTGTGTGTGTGTGTGTGTGTGTTAAATGGGTATTCTTCAGAGCAAAGCATCTGTTCTCCACCTGCCGCATGGCGAACTGAACCTGTTCTTCCACTTTGAATTTTGATGTTTGTGTCAGCTGATGTTCACATGCTCTTAAACTGTTGTCTTCAGTCTGTGGAGTCACTCATCAGTCGCGCTTCATCCTTTCCGCTTCTCCCTTTTTGTCTTCTGCTTCTCTCATGGTGAGTGTTTGCTTAAAATGCTGTTTCCTCCTTCATCAAGTTGACTGTCAGTGTCAGTGTGTTTTCAGGTAGATAAGGCAACTTTATCTTTTTCAAGCATTATCTCAGGTGTCAATAACAGATCTGAACTGGGTTTGAAACAGCTTGTCTTCCTCCAGCAACCACAGGGTAATTCTTACAGAATGAAGGTGATGTCTGTTTTGGTGTTTATTTTGCAGATGTAGGCTATGGTGCCAAAGGTGAGGCCGACCAAAAGCATCAGATTATGCAATGCAATCTGCCTAATCTCCTCGCTAGGAAATGAGAGATGTTGGATTAAAGGAGGGAGTTAGTTAGAGACCGGGGGAAACCCGTGAAAGAAAGCTGTTATTAGAGATTACTGGGCGAAGGATTGTTGTACGACCCAAATACTTTGTCTGCTGAACTTTGACAAGATGCACAGAGACCACCAGGAATATCAGAGTGTGAGAGGGATGTTTCTGTTTGTTGTTGTGGCAGAACTGAGATTCACCTTGGACTTTTGGGTTAAAGATCAAAAACTAGTTTCTCTCCCCACTTGCATTCTCGAAAAAAAAACAAAAAAACAACACTAATCTGGTCACCACCCTCGGTGGTTTGGCTTATTTTCAAGAATGGTTTGCATTTTCTCTCAGCTGCTTGCAGTAAAGCCTTTTTAAACCTTCGCCACTCCCACTGATGGAGCTACAAACGTCTGCACAGGAATAAAAGTCACTAAGGAGTGAAGTACTGTCCAATTGTAGTTTTACTTATTGTATGTGAGTAAGATTTACGCCAAAAGTTTGTAATCCCAGCAGCAATTTCCTCACTCACTTTCCTTCTGTGTACTTGAATATACCTCATATTTAAATAAGTACTACTTTTACTTTTTTATAAAAGTATAATATTAAGCATGTTGTAATGAAAAAAAAAAACATTTTACCAAACCCATTTAAGATGGTTTATCAACAGTGTGATCCTATAAAGCAGCACTTTATAGTATAACAAAACAAGTGATAGACTTAGTGACAGTAAAAGGAGAAATATTGATTCAGGAATGAATGGCGTGTGAAATGAATCATATGCTGAGCTGATAACTTAAATGCGATACGATGCGATACGATACATTCATCCGGTGTTTTGCTGATAAATAAAAGGCACGTACTTGTGTAAGATGTTGTTTAACTGAGGATTTGTGCATTCCACTGCTAATTGAATGTGAATGGTGGGTTGTACCTGTGTAGGAATGTAAAAGTGGGAAGGAATGGAACTTTCCTTCTTCCAAATTCCTGGTATGTGCATGAACATACTTTGGCCCATAAAGCTGATTCTGGCCAGTGAAACGGCTTCATCGGGGGGCAGTCGACCACTGCGTCTCAGAGAAATGTTTGTGATTTGATTTGATTTGAAATTTAATTTTTATTAGTGAAAAACATAGAGGCAGTCTAGACAACTTTGGCCCTTCTTAACATTAATATTTTAGTAATGGAGGTGTGACAATGAAACCGCTTCAGTGAGTGAAACAAACTGCAGCAAGTTAAAAGATGCATTTCAGGTACAGTTTAGAGAAGCTCTCTGTTCAGCGTCAGCAAACCACATCACAAAGCAGAAGATGAGAAGGTGCAGTAACAGTATTATCAAACTAATCACTCTCAATAATCAGTAGATTACTGTAGGTCAGTTGAGTATATAGGATGTTATGATTGTAAACAGCCAATGACATAGTATTTTGATCTTTTACTAATATAGACATAATATAAGACATATATTTTATGCCTTAGAAAATGTTAAAAAATATCCCCACAGTGATCTTGTACAGTTCCAGTTCCAGGAAGCCTTTTTGAATAAATCAATGACATTTTTATCAAGTTGCCAAACATTTTTTAAACTCATATTTCCTCATACAAAACCTGCCTTCTTGGAGGAAGAGTGTATGACTGCACCATTGAAGTACATTCTTTTGTCCCTGCAAATGAGCTCAAATCAGCGGCAGAAAACATACACTTTCTTTTCCTCTCCTTGGTGCATGCAAAAGGTTTGTCTTAAACAACCCGGCATCAGCATCATCATCATCATCATCATCATCATCATCATTCAAAGCAGCTCAGCAGACAAGAGCACTGGCTGCAGAAGAGTTCATCTCACAGTGAAGAGAAAAGAAAAATAGGATTTACAGACAGAGAGTGTGAAGCTTTGAGGCTTATCTCAAACCTTCATAATGTATGTGCACATGTGATGGCAAATGTGCATACAGTAAATAATGGAGGATGAGTGCATCATCTAGTGAGCTGTTATTGTGGCCCTGTGCAGTAACATGATTGAGTGATTTTTCTTGTGTAACGTTTTGCTCGGTGCACATGGTGAAATCTGAAAAGACAGCCGTGAATATTGTCATTGATGTTTAACAAAGTCTGTTCTCTTTCCCAGCTGAAGGAGGAGAATATGAAGGCTGATTTGGAGGCTTCTCTGCCTGCTGGACAGGAGGAGTTTGCGATCCGGTGCCGAGATGTGTGCCGGTCGTACGGCAAACTGAAGGTCCTCAGCAACCTCAACCTGACTGTACCACAAGGCCACATGTGAGTGGAATGTATAATAACTCAAATGTGTCAGCATGGCTGTTTTTCTGAACTGATAACACATCTACCTCTTTATCTATTTGTCAAAACATATCCCAGCTTCAAAGGAGAGTGTATCTTTATCTGTTCCTATGCTTGATATTCAGCGATTATGTGATTTTAATGGACTTAAACTGAGTTGAGAGATACTGTAAGATATTTTAAAGCCTCTCACCTCCACTTTACTTCACTTGTAGCACTGAAAAGCACAAGCAATGGACTTGGAAAAGTGAGTAGATGCGTTCTGCATATGCAAATAAGGTTTGCATTCTTGGGTGAGGTGTCCAGCACTTGACTGGAACCAGTTTACACTAGCCCTCTCCTTTGTCATGTATCTGCTGACGGATCTGAAAGTCCTGCAAGACAGTCAGGTTTACCTCAGGTTTACCTTACCTTGTCTATGAATTTACTTTGTTTGCCTCATTAAAGCTGACACAGAAAAATGCAGTCACCCTAAAGGGCAGTGAGAGGGATTTTTCAAGAATTTTATAGTATGTAATCTCAATGAAAGTCATGTTTTTTACTTTGTAGTCCAGATCTAAGTTCCGAGAAGAACTTAAATTCATAATGCTCACCTTCTCTTTTCCATGTAGTCGTCTGTCTTCTGTCATTTTTGTGCACATGAGCTTCATTACACTGGATTTATGTAGTTAAACAACTGACAGGATTGCTTCTCTCACACATACCTGCATTCGTGAGGGGACATGTTATCTGCTTTCATTTTGTTTAATGGTGGATTTTTGAACTTTGGAGAGTGATAGACGAGCTATTTCCCTAAGCTAAGATAAGATAAGGTAATTACTTAGCTTTAGCTCCATAGTAAAACCTGCAATAATAGATTTTTTTGTCCACAAAGTCTAAACAAACATGAACAAGATATCACCTTATGAAGTTGTTTTTGCAAAAGAGTTAGCATACAATTGCTAAATAGCTACACATCCAGCATTTACGGAGACACATTAGCATCAATTTACAGCTGTGTTTCTGACCACCTAATGAATCTAAGTCCAATATTCACTCTCCTTTTATCTCCATTTTCATCTCCACCAACTACTGAGGGAAATATCTGGCTCTTTAGTTACTAAATGCTCCACTGTATGTTTACTAGCTAGCTGCTAACTGAGCCTGTCTGTGCACAGAGGAGTTTTAGTCATCAGAAGAGATGGAAAACAAAACAGTTTCCAATTTTTCTTTTCAGATTTTCATGAATTGTTGCACGTCGTGGTGAACTGTAAGCTGTTTTGTTTGACGGTAACTCTGTAACACTGCCTGCAATCATTGTTGGGTTTTATCTGATATAGTCATCTGATTATCTTTAGATGTTTACATAGATGTGATCTATTTCTGCTGTTCCCTCTGAAAGTGCTTCCATGCCTGACTGTGTACAGAAGCTACAGTTTCTCTAACATGGTCCATTCATTTTCATTCAGTTCACTTATTAAATGACTGAACAGTCTAGTTAGAGCTGTATTTAGATGCTTATGTGTTACATATTTAACTGAAAATGAAACCTGGTGGGAAAATGATGAGCACAAATGAATCCTCATCACTTTGCAAAGATTCTTTGAGTTTTACCTGAAGCATTCTCTGGGTCTCCGTTGCAGTTATGGTCTTTTGGGCCCCAGCGGGTGCGGGAAGACCACACTGCTGAAATGCATCGTGGGAACTCTGAAAATCTCACGGGGTCGCATCACCGTGTTGGGGAAGCCACCAGCTTTTCCTGGTCATGACGTGCCGGGGAAGATGGTTGGATACATGCCGCAGGTAAGGTCACACATCTTAAAGGTGTGTGTGTAAACGTGTATCACGTGGACACAAACCATGTAATTATGGCTGCATGAAAACATTCCAGGCCTTGTTTGTGTAATTGAACCCACTGCAATATACTCATGTGCCCAAAGGTCCTTGAAATATTTGGAAAAGCCACAAGTTCATGCAAATCCAAGGCCTTTAACATGACAGGAGGTTATTTTCCCCTGTAAACAAGCTTCCTGTCGCCCTTATTCTTAGCCGTATGATCAATCACCAAACTTTCTTTCTCTATTTTTGTTGCTAAACTGATCTTAAAATCAATTTCTGTAGAGTTGAAAAGGTCCCCAGTCCAGTTTCCTCACAGCACCATGTTTGCATCAAGCATTCTCAGTCACTCAGCTCCACATTTAAACCTTTGTTTGTTCAGAAAAGGTTTTCATGTGTGTTTTGTAAAAAAAAAAGAAAAGTTCACCCCAGCGTTCAGATGATGAACTAGAGGATTACTTAAGTGCCTTGCTTGAGGGCTTCTTTAATTTCTCCTCCGTTGCAGTCAGTCAGCTGCGCCTGAGTGTGTCTCATTACTGTCAGAACGGATACCTGATGAGGCTGATAACACATGTGGCGTGTGTTCTCCCGTGTGTAACCCTGAGCGTTGCAGTCGTCCCTGTAGGAAGTGGTCTGTGACCCAGAGAGGAGGAAATGTGACACCTCAACTGTTGTGCCGCTGTGGTGAACTTGGCTTGTGATTGTCTGACGTTGTAATGCAGAGGAATTCATTGAGCCGGGACTTTGACTCGAACACAGACGCTAGCAGTATAGTATTTATATTATATAGTATTATTTGTTACAGAAAAATGTAAATATGGACCATTATTTAAACACTTAATCCTTCAACATTACACATTTTTCACTCAGGAAATCCTGACCGTAATCCTTTCAGTTATGGAAGTGCTAAGTCAAAGGTCGCTGCATTAGTGCTCAGAAAGCAGCAGTGCAGATGCAGATCTGCTTAATTAAGTAAAACAGATACTAACGTAGTAAATCCACTGTGTTAATCATTGGTTGAAATATTGTAGTTGTATTTGTGTTAAGCTGTGATGTGCTGCGTTAATTTAGCGTGCTTTATTAGATATTTAAATGTTTGACAGTCGATATTTTATCAATCAAAGCAAGGATATAACAAAGATAACAAAAGATAATTAAATTAATTGAGATTCAAACACTAATATATAGAGATGTGTTAGTGTTAGGTTAGAGAGAGCCAATTAGTAGTATCTCACGTATTATTCTGGTTTTAGTAACGAGTATGGACAGAGATCCATCTGTGGCTGTGACGCACACAACCTTTAGAAACACGGTTGCCTTTGTGTTGCATAGGAGCTGGCACTGTACAATGAGTTCACCATCAGCGACACCCTGACCTTCTTTGGCCGAATCCACGGCCTGACGTCGAAGGAAACCCAGGCTCGCATGGACTTCCTCGTCGACTTCCTGGATCTACCTCAGAAGCAGAGCCTGGTCCGAAATCTCAGGTAAAACCCCCCCGTGTGGTGTAACGGACAGGATGAGTTTAAAAGTTTGAGCTTCCCCGGAAAGACATTGAACATAACGCACTATAGACACAAGTCTGTTTTATCATGCGTCATATCACCTGACATTCTGTACTTTTGTATAACTGTGACTCGTGTTTTGGAGCAAAGTTGTTGCAGGTGAACTTTGGACATCAACACAGACTTTCCCTGTTACTATCCCTTACATGATGCAACGAGATGAAAAACATCGTTGAAATACTCACAGCAGACTGAGGAAACATTTTTGACTATTTTTCATGCTTGGTGAAACACAGGCAGCGATGTGACCCGTACGTCCACACATCCCTACATAGAGCCAGTTTATGACGCGAGGTAAACGTCTTCTTACAGCTGTCTACAGATGCCTGTGGACTTTGACACCCGAATTACTCCTCCACAGGCTGTAAACCCAGCTCCCATAAAACAATATGACTTTATCTGATAATGAGAAAAGCAAGAGTCAGTTAGAGAGATAGTTTCCCCTTTACTGTTCTTTAATGTTCTCGCCTTACAAGGATATTATGTAATTTCCATTTAGGAGAAGGTTATTATGACCTTACCTCAGTCACATTGTGAGGTTTGTCGTGTGGCTCTGGGAAACATTTTGGTCAAATCATCATTTTCAATCTTATCATAAGTGCAAGATGAAGATGTTAGATCTTCAGTCCTCTGTTTTATTAGTCTAACAATGCAAATCCAAACTTATGGATACAGTAATTAAGCGTAACCTCCACTAAGTCTTTTGGATAATATTACGTAAAAAGTCACCACTTATAAAATCTGATTTTTACAAGAGCTACTATCTGACTTTGTAACTGATTAATGATTTGAATAGGAAAGACACTGAAGCATAGTTAATCCCCAAAAGGTTTTATTTTTTAATCTTGAACACACTAAATATTAACTTGTGCACCAAAGTTCAGCACTTTCCTCAGAAGCTGCCACTCCACATTTTATCATTTCTCCAGAGCAAAAAAAACAAACAAACTTGTTCTAAAGCCATAAAAGGAAACAATCCAGCAGTACAAATTAAAAATAGAGCATTTGGCATTTCATCAAATATTTCTGTTGGATCTCTGCTTCACCCATTAAGTTATTTTTGAAAATGCGACTTTATTCTTTTTTTGTCAGTCGAGAGAAAACGGACAATGTTGCTGCAACCTCTCAACAAGCGGTTGATTACCTCGTGGCCCTCGTATATTCGGCGGTTATTGTAGGAATAGTAATCAGCTCGTGTTACAGATCACGATTCACGTCCCTGATTCATTACAAAGACCCTTGTGTTCCCAGATGAGGCCCCTCAAAGCAGTTTTCATTAGCACTTCATGTAATATTTATGTCACCTGTGGTGTAAGAGCCTGTCATGTTACTGAGCTGCCACTTCTGGATAAAACTAAAGATGAGCGGTGTTTCATTTCAGATTCTGCGTGGTGGCGTTACGTTAAAGATGGGTCGTGTTGATGATTAACAGGCTGTTGAAACTGTTTACTACACACATGATGGAAAAGAATTCCTGGTGTGAATAAACATGACACATGTACTCATCACCTCTCGGATCAACCTGCTATTTATTATTATTTTTTTAGGTCGCATCGACATGATAAGATCAAACTTTAAAAACGCCTCTTTCTCCCGACATCCCTCTCTCAGGTCTTGTTCTCTGCCTCCGTGTTGTCAGGCAGGTTCTTCTTGCAGGTTCTGTCTCCACCACCTCGCTCAGGAGTGAGTGGCATGTGTAGAGCGGAGGTGGATTATCGGTTACGCAACAATTAAGAATGTGGCAGAAGAGTCACCTCTGACTCCTTTTGTTCTGTGTGTGTGTGTGTGTGTGTGTGTATGTGTGTGTGTGTGTGTGTGTGTGTATGTGTGTGTGTGTGTGTGTGTGTGGCAGTGGGGGTCAGAGGCGCAGGGTGTCTCTCGGAGCAGCTCTGCTTCAGAATCCAGAGCTGCTCATCCTGGACGAACCGACGGTGGGAGTGGACCCTGTGCTCAGGGCCAAGTAAGTACTGTAAGACACACACACACACACACACACACACACACACACACACACACACACTGTAGCTGTTTCCTCTGGTGTCATGCAGCACGTCTACAGACTGCATGGCTGCTCTCCAGCTTATGTCACTCTTGGAAAAGTAACGACTTGATGATGACTTTTTAGGAATTAAGGCAACAACAACAACAACAACAACAACAACAACAACAACAACAACACAACTTTCATTCAGCCATAAATGAAGCAGGCCATGGTTCATCATCAGTTACATCCACTCTGCATCCCAATGGGAAAAATGACAGAGACACGAATGAGGATTTGAGTCTGTGCTGTTACTGTTGCATGGTATTTGTTCTACACTCGGACTGAGTGAATTGGTGTCTTATAAAAACAAACTTGTTCTTCATTTGTTTCAACAAGAACTTGTGAATGAGTGCAGGGAAATACGTCGCTGATCTGTAAAGTCTCCTTTAACATCGGGACAAGATGACACCTGAGCTGTAATGTGATTAAACAATAGCCCCACATAAAACATCTTATATCACCATACTGATATCATATCCATGTATTGTCTGGCTGTACTAGCAGGGAATCAGTAATTCTCATGGCTATAAATACAATAAAAAGATGGTTATCTTACTTCTGTATTTACAGTAGATCAAGCTCAAAATGGCCGACATGAGAAATGGGAATTAAAACCACTGGATTTAAAAGAACAGATACTCACCTGTCACCCTTAACACTGTCCAACATTACTGAATTAGAACATCTCTTCAAACAGTTCAAATACATTTAACAATAAATAAACACCCTGTTTACATTCACTACTCACTATATGTATTTCTTTTTAGCTTTATTTGTGGGGTAACACTTGACTTTAATTCCCCGTACCTTGGATTTATCAGCAGTATATAAACAATTAATTTATAACACACTATAATGTAGTCATAATCAGATATAAAGACATTTTAAAGTGTTATTGTTTTAATGTAGAAATTGACATCTGCATATTTTACACTACGTTATCATTCATTAACTGTTTATACAGTAAAATGTGTGATAGTGGTTTCACTTATATCTGCTTACAACTTCATTATAGTGTGTTACAAAGATTAACAATATTTCCACAGGCACCAAGCCCGTCTGTATCCATCTAATATTCTCCATGTTCTCAACACAGTGGCTTCAGTATTACAACTTGGGATTCGTATGGACGAATTCTAAATAAACATTCGTGCTTATGTTATGAAAAAAAAAGCAAGTCAGAAACCGTTTTTTGAAAGTATAACGCACTCGCTCAGTGTGTTGCTCCAATCTCATTGTGTAATCGCACCACAAAGTCTCATCAGATCAGACGGTTGGAAGGCAAACGGCTGCTGGCGACGCTGTGAGCTTTTTTTCAGACTTCAGATTTTAGGAAAACTCTTATTAGCGAGTTGGTCAAGTGTTATGTAATTTGTTTGGTTTCTTCCGTCTCCTTTCTAGGATCTGGCAGCATCTGGTGGAGATCGTGAAGACAGGGAAAGTCTCTGTCATCATCACAACACACTACATAGAGGAGGCCAGGCAGGCCAATGTGGTGAGATAATCCACACACACACACACACACAGAGAACCCACAGCCATGCACGTATACACACACGATAAATTAAGCATTAATACACATGCACACTAGAAACCATTCAGGAATACAGCCTCAAAAACAATGGGTCCATTCATATGAAGTTTACTCTTTATTAGCTTTGACAGAAAGGACAAAAGCTCAAACTGGGTGAGAAAACTTCCTATAGAATATGTACAGAAGCTCTCTTGTGCATTTTGTTTTTCATTTCACTAACAACAAACAAAAGGTTTGTAATTTATTCTTTTGGTTCATGAAACAATTTAAAGGGTAAGTTTGATGATATTCCACAGTTTGCTTGCAATCAATAAATCCCATGAAAAGATGTTTGATTCACGCTGATATGGTCAAATCATATTATAGCATTAAACAGAACTGCTGGAAAAGTAATCACCTAAACATGAAAGAAGTTTACTGCCTGTGATTATATCGTTTTTATCATCTGATCATGGTGCGGTGTGCACGACGAGTGATCTGGATGTTGGACCTTGAAAAACTTTGAAACCTACTTACTCGTGACGCACAAATGCAGACGCTGTGAGGAAAAGCAGAGAGAGAGAAAGGGAAGTAAGGCAGACACACATTTAAAAATAAAGTCACCAGAAAGTCGTCTTCTGGTTTCGTTTGTGCACATACGGCCAAAGATTTCAGTCAGAATCACATCAAAATACCGTTAAGGAGCATCAGATTTACAGTAAGAGGTTCGTACGTATGTACAATACATTTAACACCTGTTTCCTTCACTGCTGCTCAAACTGACGCCTGGCTCATCATAAATCCAGTCATCCCACCAGTTCATTCACTGTTTCACCAGTAATCGTCTTTGTACATAAAGTCCATAAAACCGAGAGCTTTACAGTTGTAAGTTTGTACTGTAGATTAGGCTTCCACAAGCCACAATGGTTTTCTTCCTGTTTAAAGACATATTTCGGCATTTTGGTGAAATGCGGTTTTATTCGCTCTCTGGGTGACGGTCAGTTGAGGAGATACGACTCAGGAGACGGTTTCCTGAGGTTTGTGTGAAAACTGGACGCAGGGGGAAACGGCTGACCCAAACCTAAAAGTTAAAGCTCGTATCTCGTTTGGTTAAAACATGACAAGTTGTAAGAGCCAGACTTTATGTTTGCACACCGGTTAGTCCTCATCCTGATTTTAAAATACTTATTACTAATTACTACCTTCTTACTACTACTACACTGTAGTACTGAGAAACACGACTGTTTCATGACTGATTTAGATTAAAAAAAATGTTGAGCTACTCCTTTAAGATTGCTTGGCCTGTCGCGTCTGTGTGTTTGTGATGAACTTGAAGCAGCACGCAGAGATGAAGCAGATTTAACAGATAAAGTTTGAGATTTTCAGAAGCTGGAATTTCACTTCTCTTTTTTTTGCACAACAGTCCCCCCGACACAACATGTTGGTATTTGCTGTGTAGCTGAACAAACAACTAAACTTCCTCCTCCACCTGCACATCTGTGCACATGTGTAGCTACTGTGTGTGTGTGTGTGTGTGTGTGTGTGTGTGTGTGTGTGTGATTGTGAATGTATGAGAATGAGGGTGACACATTTGACACTAGAGATCTCAATAAGTCCACACATATAATTTTTTTTAAAAACTGCAGACGTCCGTCTTCTCTGCACGTTCGCTGGATTGTTGGAATTGTTTTTGTAAATTAACATTAAGGCCTAATGTCACGGCCTCAGGGAGCTGCCAAGTGAAAGAGTTTCCCTGCTAAGAGTCCGGAACAAAAGGGACTAAATACTTTCTTTAATGAATTCTTTGTCATGGTCTGATGTAAAGATAAAACATTTGCTATTGGTGAATGCAAGTGTAAGAAAATGTATGTGTATCACTCTTTAAATAATCCCATGTGAACGTGTTGATCTGTCTGTGTGGATTTCACAGTAAAAAGGAAAAGTATGTGTGCACGTGTGTGTGCGTGTGCGGTGTCATATTCAAACTGAAACTCTGACTGCATAACTCAAGCTTGTTCTCAAGCTGCACAAAATGAGGTCAAGGGTCATTCTGGCCCCTCACTAATGCAGCCACATGTAAACACGGAGCCAGGAATCCTCCACTGAAACCAGTCTGAGCGCTCAGCCAGCTCCGCGTTGTCTCCGTCCAGGGTTAAATGATCGGTGGGTGGAGGCTGATCACACTGACTGAGGGAGAATGAGGTGGATTCGCTGATTTATTTCTGTCTTTGTGACTGATGCACCTTGACAGAACTATGTCAGGTGAAGCAGCAGGGATCAGTTTGCCGCTGATTTTGAAAACAAGTTGCTCAGCTGTTCTGTAACTGGATACTTGCTTATGTCCGAAAAGTCCTGATAAGCATTAACACAAAGAATAAAGGATATTCTCACCTAATTAGAGCTGTTGTTAGAGATGTTATTTTTCTGACAAAGATGACACTTATGTCACAAATGATATTGAAATGAAATGATATTTGACCCCATATTAGTTATTTTGCTCCTCTCTGTTGCCCGTTGATATAATGCAACAGAGGTTCAATGTACTTAAAAACAAGAGCTTTAATATTAGCTGTAATAATTTGTTATTCTGAAAGGAAACTGCTCCTCAACATCGAAGTTATTCCTCAGTCAGTTATCACAGTTGGAGAAATTAACTCGAGGGGAAAATTGTGCAAAACTTTAATAGATTTTTTCTTTCATATATGGAAAAATCTCCGATATTGTGATTCTGCCGACACTGTTGTTTGATAAAGACAAAAGCATCTCTTAGAAATAACAACTGTTCTCTTTTCTTCTTCTGTTTTCTCTGTTCTCCAGGTCGGTCTCATGCGGAACGGCCATTTGCTGGCTGAAGGTCCTCCAGACGCAGTCATGAAGCAGCACAGCGCAACAGTGAGTACCGCTTGATCCCACAGCGGACTGCGTGGACATCCAGAGGTGCCGGTAGTCACGGCAGGCGGGTTGTTCATGGGAACACAAAGCAACAGTAGTTTGGTGTTGTTGTAATATGAAGTGAACATAAAATGAAATGATTTCAAACTGCACATCAAAACCTAATCAAGAGACACTGAACTCAGCAAATGGAACAAAAAAACAAAAACAAATCAGCGATTTAATTCCTCATTCTAATACAGCTTCAAAGGAATATATATACAGGTGATTAAAAGACAAGGAACCTTTATGTCTCATCAAAAAGAGCCTAAGGGAACAAATAAAACAGTTGCAGCCTCGAGACTCATATACAGCATACTGGCGGTCTGGTCCCTGTTCTCCTGCAGACCCTGGAGCACGCCTTCCTGCAGCTGTGTGAGACGTCGGATCAGATCGACTCCAAACGGGGATCCAGTCCTCAGAGCGGGCCGTTAGAGAACAGCCAATCGTTCGAGAGCGGGCGGGACGAGAGTCGCCCAATTCTCGGGATCGGACCAGGTGCTGCAGAGGAAGTTCCCAAATATTCAGGTACTGATTTGACTTTGATGTATTACAGGACTTTTTTTGAGAGTGCCTGTTTTGCAGGGTGATAAATACTGTGGGTTCATTGCTTGTGTAAATGTTGATGTGTGACCTTTTAGTTATTGTTTGTTTGGAAAATCTTATTGCGTGTTTGGTGTGACTGTACAGCGGACTGGAAGGTGCGAGCCAGACACATGCTGCCAAAGTGGAGAAACATCGCTGCCCTGATGATCAAAACGTTGGTGCGGATGAAGAGAATGCCGGGGTATGTCAACATTAATATTATTTAATAGTGATAGCTAATAATTAACAGCAGAAGTTATGATCTGATGATATCTGTCAGGGACATGTTGGCACAGTGTTTCTGTTTCCTCTGTGTTTTGCAGCTCGTTGTGTTTCCAGTTCTTGCTGCCCGTCATCCAGATCTCTCTGATCTGTTTGTGTATCGGAGGAGATCCAAAGGGGATCCAGGTCGCCGTGGTGAACAATGAGACCTCGCCGTCCGCTTACAGCCAATCACTGCTCTCCTTCCTGGACAACGCCAGTGTGCACCAGGTATTTATTCGAGCTTGTGAGACACAGATATTAATACACGTCAGGCGTGATCGCACCCTCGCATTTATGCACCACAACCAAAAGTGGAACTGGGTCGTTTCTCTGTAGCAGTTCCATGTGCTGTAGGTCTGTTGGTAAATTCAGCTTCATGTTCTGTAGTTTCTGCTGCTGTTCAGATTCAGTCACCTGGTTTCAGTCTAAAGAGGAAGCGGCAGGCTCATCTTGCACTTTTTGTATTATTAAGTTTGACTTTAAGCAAATAAGTTTCACTCCAGTTCACAGCAGAGCTGAAGACTTTCTTTTTCTAGGAAACATTGAAAGGTTGTTTCACAGTGGGACACTTTGACAACCCTTCAGTTTATAATATTATAATAATAATAATAATAATAAACTTTATTTATATAGCACTTTACATACAGAAAAAAGGGGAATTAAAAACAACAATTAACAACAAGAGAAAAACAAACACCTCATTAAACAGAAGTCAGTTACATGAAAATATAGATTGTCCATATCATGGGAGAATAAAACACAACACCGTATCAAACATTCATAAAAGCTTCCTGATAAAAGAATGTTTTCAGATCTAAAAAAGCTGAAAATATAATGTATAATATATAAATGATGTGGGTTACTCTGTGTGCATAGGTGCCCTTGTCCCATACAGATGCTTTCGATGGGATCTATAATGGCGAGTACTGGGGCGTCATCGGCTTTGGCAAGAACTTCACCAGCTACCTGACAAAAAGGTGAGACGAACAGCACCAGGCTTACACTGGATCAAGTGTATCAGGCATCAGATGTGATCAATTATAAAACTCTGTTTCCACTATCAGTTACATTGATTCAGGCAAACGCAGGCGGCCAGCTCAGTTCTTAGGCCCACAGAGATCTCTGACCTCACGTTACCTTGGAAACTAAATGATGCAAATGAGTTCCAGTCGACGAAGTGTACAGATTTTAAATGTAGGAAAAACAGAGTTCAGGTATCAGAGTCAGTGTCGGGACAGAAAGACGCTGGATCTGTGATTTAACAAAACACTTAATAGTAAAAAAAAGAATAAATACCACAAAGGGCTGTGTAGAATAAGCACATAAGAGGTGTAGTACATTATGTCGGGTAGCTTTGAGCTTATGAGTAAATTGGCTACAACAGTCCTCTCTGCCTGATCCGTCATGAAGAGGTGATGAACTGTTGATGGAAGAGGATGGGTCGCTGTGTCGCTGCCTCTGCTCATGCTAGCTTGATCTTGACTTGTGCAGCTTTGTAACAAACAAAAACTGCACAAGTGGAAGTGGAAAGCAAAACGTTTTACATCTGCAACATGTGAAATGCTGCATGTGCATGTGTGCAGTGAGGTTAAGTGTCTGTGGTTTGTTTCTTTGTGAGCTGTTGAGTTTGTCTCTGCTCTGCAGCTGGAATGCCGCCTGTGCGTCACTCCAGCATCTTGATGGAGCCGCTGTGGTTCATTGTGGCTTTCAAATGACTAGTGAGAATCCTTTTTGACGCACATAAACACAGTCTTCTGTAATCATAGCTGCATTGCAGGTGCATAACATCATGATAGTAAATTACATTGCATTTCCTCATTTGGCAGATGCTTTTATTCAAGGCGCCTTAGAGGAACAACACTGAAGCTTCAGTGCAGCATCAGTCTGTGCTATGACATGTGTGAGAAGAAGTCATCAAAGGTCAAATGAGGAGGAAAACAAAAATGATGAATGGCACATGATATAGATCAAATCATGTCAGGACAAGTTGAGACATGTCAAGTAACAAACAGCTCAGTTCTGCAGCTACTGACACTGATCTCCTCACAAAGATTGTTTTACATCCCGGCTGTAAATGCCCGGTGCACATGTCCTTAGTGTGTGTGTTTACTTAAATCTGTGCTCACACCTTCCTTTTCTGACACACGCCCGAGTATCTCGTTACAGCGCTGCCTCGAACAGCGTTGTTTTCTGAACTCTGTCGTCAGCTTGCCGAGTTCCCGCTCAAGTTTCCGCAACTTTATCGACAACCACTTTGGCAACTTTTATCCCTCAGGAGCGACGTGCGACACAGTGTCTGCTTCACGTCACGCTGACTAATGTTTAGCCAAAAAAACACGCCATGTGTTAGTGTGTGAACACAAACGCCGGGAGGCTGTGAGTGGATTTGTGTCGACTGAAATTCTTCACGTGCTTTCACTGTAGGATTTAAGATAGTCTCTTTTAAAGTGTTTCCCAGTTGATTGTATTGAATTGTAGTAATGCTGATGATCCCTTAATTCAATCATTGTTTCTCCCTTTGTGTGTTCTGTGCTGAAATCATCCTTTAAATTCCATCTTCATAAAAAGCGTTCAGTGTTTGTGTAACCATGGTAACACTTTACTTTTTTAGCATTTAAGCCCTGTATGAACACTTAATAAACATCTGTGATATGTTATAACACACTATAATGTAATTGTAAAGGACATTTTTAAATGGTAGTTAACTGGTGTATAAACATGATTGATTGATAACACAGAGTAAAACAGTTTTGAAACCAGCCTGTTATTGATTAGTTCATGTGTATAAACAGTAAGTAAATACTTTCTAACACACTGTACAGAGTTATTTATGTAACGTCATATGTCATTGATAATGATTAGAGCTATGTTATACTGCGTTACCAGTCATTCAGTAGCTGTTTATGCACCGGTACTGGATTCCTCATATGAGGAGTAATAGTTGTTGATAAAGGAATTCACTAACATTTAAATATGTCCTGAGATCTGCTCAGTCTTAGAGACACACACTCAAATCAAACCACGCCAGCTCACACCCCTGAACTGCTATCATGTGAGGATGAGTCAGTCCTGGAGGGTAAAGGGCACGAGTTGTTCTAGGTGTTAATCACTGTGCTGTGTATACCTGTGCGTGTGCGTGTGCGTGTGCGTGTGTGTGTGTGTGTGTGTGTGTGTGTGTGTGAGATCTTTGGGTAGACAGTCTGGTCCTTCCTGTCCCTAACACACCTGGGCAGGTCACAGCTTAGCACCAGCCAATAAAACGCTCCTCCTGACTGAATCATGTGCCGCTCACGTGACAGACCTGCCTGAGGAAAACGGGTGAAAATAATCTCAACTGTTCAGTCACAGTCAGATGTTACACAATACTCTAATAGACCAGATGTGACTTCATAAAGTGAAAAGTTTGCATCTGTTCATTGTCTGTTACTTACTGTGTGGACTAGGCATTATTGCACCAGTATCTCTGAGAGGCAAAGAGATAAACAACCACAGCTTTCCTCTACCTGCAAGTACGCCTGTCTGCTTGTAGACTTCCTACACACACAAACACTGGAGCAGGATGTAGTGTGGTTATTTAAAGACACCGAATGGTTTGTTAAACTTTATTTTTCTTCTTCACTGATAAAAGGCCAGTGACTTCTGAACAGACGATATTCAGAAGCATCTGCATCCTCAGCACCTTCACCCCTTTTATTTTGGCTTCTGTTGCACCTTTGCGTTCCACTTTTATTGATAGTTTATTGAATTTTAAATTGATTTCCAAACTCAGATCATGGTTTTTCAGATCCTGACTCTGTCCCTGACTTTACAGGATGATCCAGCGGCAGGTTTCCAGAGAGGTGGTCGATGGTGGGTCAGTACACGTCTGGCTGGACCTGACAAGTAAGATGCAAAAACCTTCTCACGGATCGTTGTCTTTTCAATGTCAGCTTTGCAGAACTGCAATAAACTCCTTGGTGCAAGTTAATGTAAAAATCCAGCATGAGATTTTGAGCCAGAAATCACATTGTCCGATCGGCATATTTTAGAAACGTGGTCTGTGTTTCACTCATATAAAAATAAAAGGATTAACTAACATGTCCTGTACATGTATGAAAATACAGAAAAGGAAATGTAGTCAGTAACATAACACTCTATGTACATTTACATTATCTTCTACTGTGAAGCTGAAGTGGCTCATTTTTGTTGTTTGTTTTTTTTCTAGATCGACAAATTGCCTTTATGCTGCAGAAGAAGCTTCACGATGCCTTTCAGGTAGAAATCCGTTTCCTGCTTCGTCACCTGGAGCCGTGCGCAAATATCCAGATGTTTTCATTTTGCTTTTGGAGAGATACAGTCAGAAATCATTCAACACACCCAGTAAATACAAAGACGTCTGACAACATACGTGACGTTACAGTGTAAAGTGACACATGTGGGTCAGTGGAGTCAGTATAGACTAGAAGAAACACACTTGAACATGACACACTTGGCTGAGTGCCCTTGCTTTAAGGCAATATTTACATTCTGCCTTGCAACATGAAATGAAATATGCTTGACTGGTGTTGTTAACGCTGTGTCTGCAGGCTTTCGTGGAGAATAAGTTGGGCGGTATGTCATACCTGGTCGCGCTGCCAATAAAGGTAAGAAAGGAGCTTATGGAATAAAAACAAGTGAGATAAGGATGTAGAAATGCATAAAAACCTGTTTGTATTGCAATCATAAAAGAGAAACAAGCCGAATATGCAGCTGTGTTTCTGCTGATGCTGTGAGCTGCATAACAGAGTCTTTTCTTGTTGGCATCTTGTAGTTTGAGGAGCCCATCTACGGCAGCCTGAACACAGACTTCACTACGTTTGTGACACCGGGAGCTGTGCTCAGGTCAGTGTGATGAGGGCAGGAGATGTGAAACAGCTTTTTATTGACACACTGCGCCTGTGTTAATGAATGTATGTGTGATAATAACATGTCTTTTACTCACATGTTTTCTGGGATTGAACCAGATGCCAAACTGTCATTAAACTTCTGGTGTGTTTCTCTCCTCTCCCTCTCTGGCGCTGCAGTATCACCTTCTACCTGGCCGTGGGTCTGACAGCTCTCTCCTTTGTCCTGGAGAGGAAGGAGGGGCTTCTGGACAGATGCTGGGTCGCAGGTGAGTGGTCACGGCTCACACTGCTCCTACACAAACACAAAAGCTGTGTCCTTCTGTTAGATATACGACACAATCGCTTCACCTTCCCATTGCATGTAAACTTAAAACTTGGTTAAATGACTTGCCGTCATACTTGGCTTTTTTCTGTTTGTCAGATTGTGTCCGTCCTGGTTTTACCCCTGTCTTCTGTAAAATAACATTCATTTGTATTAATTAATTACCCCTCTAAGATTTTTATTTATTTATTAAGTGGGAAAAGTTGGTCAAAGGCTCTGAATATTGAATTGAATCCAATTTATAAATCATTTAAGTGTAATTTTAGAAACAGCCAGTAGGGGGAGTAAGATGACCACAGCAGAATGTGATGATGTTTACCAGCTAGAAAGCTGTTTTAACACATGATGAATTATTAATTTTACATCTTTAAAATATTTAATATGTATAGAAATGTGTAAATTACATTTTTGTAAGGATTAATAATGTATGTAAATTTGTTAGATTGAGAGGAGATTGATTGATGACCTATTTACTGCTGATAAGAGATTTTGGACGGAGCTTGTGACTGAACGACACTTTAATGTTTCTGTGTCGGTGTGTCGCTCCCAGGTGTGAGCTCCCTGGAGACGATGCTGGCTCACCTCTTCTCTCAGCTGTTCGTCATCAGCGTTCAGATCATCCTGCTGCTCCTCTTCATCCTGCTCGTCTTCAAGGTTCGTCCCATAAAACACGCAGCTACACTGACAAACACGAGCACGCACTTCAGATGAGATGAAACTTTATTGATTGGAGAAAATGGGTGTTATGGAAACGACATCCACACGGAAGAAAGTAACAGCAAGAAAACATAACATAAGCAATAAAGAAACCCAATAATCGATAAAAATTAATACACGTCTAAATAATTGTTTGATTGTATTAAAAAAAAAAGAAGATAATTAATCATTTTCCCTTTAAAGTATCACAGAGACACATTCACCCTCCTGTTTGTTTCCCTAATAGTTGTGGTTTTGTGTTTGGAGAAACACACCACAGGGCAAATCGTGTTTAACCTTTACTGAAACCACAACACTGTCAGTTACTGTTAAAGTACAGCTGATACACACGAGTCTCTCTCACACTATTGAGCTACAAAAGACACTTTTCAGGGGAGATTTTTTGAAACCGGAGGAGCCTCTGAAAGGTCACTGCATTCCTAATGTGATTTGGTTTGTGGAGAGTTTCAGGTTAATGGTTGGAGGTTAATGTTTTGCAAATGCAGCAGGCCCCGCTACCCCGTTACTCTGCTCATTTGCATTTTTATTACATCATCAAAAGTCTGGCTTTATACCTACAGCACATTAGAGCCATAATAATTCATTTTAACCATCAAACAGACCTTTGTTTTCCAACATTATGACGCATCTTTCTTTTTCTTTTTCTTTTTTGAAATGTACCTGTGACAGCATACTGAAGAGGAAATACTGTGTGTTGTAAATCTTCTCATGTGTGTCCAGCACGCTGAAGGTCAGCAGGGTTTCAATAGACTTGTATGGAATCAATACAGGGAGCAGGCACTCGGATAAAGGCAGGATACATATCACTTGTGTGTGTGTGTTAATGTATCTGTGTCCATGCAGGCACATGCTTTTATGGGCGTGTGCAGTCGTCCATGTCTGAAAGTGTGTGTGTGTGTGTGTGTGTGTGTGTGAGAGTGCGTGTTAATTAAGGTGCTGAAGTCCAAAGAGACCACCACTCCATAAATCACTTCCCGCGTTGGCCGTATCTAAGGATCACTGCGGGATCGCCACGACAACAACCCTTGATTGCTGTGGCAACCGAGTGGTCATGTGGCCTCTTGGTGCAGGTCTATTTTTGCACGTTGTCAGGGGAGACACACTCACACACACACACACAAGCACGCACGCACACACAACCAACCAACGTCTGCAGATTCTCTTCATGTTCAGAGAGTTATCCGTCCGTATCGGCTGAGCTGAGATTTACAGACTTCTCTCTCTGTTTTTATTTGATTTTGTTTCTCGCTGCTGCTCCATTTACACTCCTCCCTCTGTCTGTGTGATTTACAATCAAACCTGATCTGCAGGAACATTTCTTTTCATGTCTTACAGTATTTCTGGCTGAATATCAGGGAGCACTTCTGTCTCTGTGGGTCTCTCCCTTTCCCCCCCTCTTTTATCTCTTTCTCCATTTCTCTTGATCTCATTGTTTCATCTCTTCTCATGTTTCTTAAAAGAATCCTGCACTCATTTATCATTTTACTTTTTTAACATTGAAAATCCATTCAGCAGAGCCAGGTTAGCACTTTCTGAAAGCGGCATTTAAAAAAAGAAACACACAGTTTTCCTTGTAGTTTGTGGCTGACAGGAATCATTGAGCAGCTCAGGAGATTTTACAACTAGAAGTCCAGACTTTGTTGTCTGTTTTTGCAGAGGACAACATTACACATTAATCTTCGGATAGATTTTGACCTTGCTGTGTTGAAGAGAAAATCACAATGTAGTGGAGGAACTTTTACCTCCACTCCTGGGACCACACTTAACTGGGAAAGTTCGTGAGCGTTGGTTCTTGGGAGGTGCCGCCTTTGTGAGCTTCAGTGTGATCAGAGAAAATGATGTCTTTTACACCAGGATTTATTTACCACATGTTTTTGTCCATCTGGAATTTGTACGAGCACAGACTTTGATGCTTTGTGTTCCTTTTAAAGATAGAGAATCATCCTTTTTATCCACTAATAGATGAAGATGAAAGATTGTATTTGCTGGAGAATATTCTAACAGGTTGTTTGTAATAATGTAAAATGTTTCGTACATGTCAAAATAATGTACGCGAGGAAACCCTCGACTTTTACGAGCCCGTTATTTTTTCTCACCCCTCCTCCCCTGTCGTTCTTTCTCTCTCTCTCTGCAGATGCCTAATGAAGGCTCCTTGGTGCTGGTCATAATCCTGATCGTGCTGCAGGGCGTCACCGGCATCTCGTTTGGCCTGGTCATCTCCGCCGCAATCGATGACGAGCAGAGCGCAAACCAGGCCGCGCTGGGCATTTTTTACCCCAACCTCATCATCAGCGGTAGGCCTCAGTCTCTGCGTGTGTGTGTGTGTGTGTGTGTGTGTGTGTGTGTGTGTGTGTGTGTGTGTGTGTGTGTGTTTGAAGCAGTCTGCATGAGTGTAAAAAAGAAAGTCCTGTAGGTGTCTGGTTGCTGGACCTTTATCTAAGCAGAAAAAGCTGATTATAAACTCTTTGATGTTGGGAACAGGGTGTACGCCTGAGTGGAGCTTTGGTTTGTTTGGTTCACAACATCAAAACTTTAAAAGCTTCAGGAGGACTTGTGTCTCCAATCCTCCTCTAACACTTCAGCTGCATTACAAGTAAAGAGAACTGGAGATTAAAACAAAAATCTCACTGTATCACTGACAGAAAAAAGGCAGAAGAAGTCAAACATACAGATCAGAAAAAAAGTGAAATACGTTTCAAAAAAGCTTCAAACGGCAAAAACTAAACCGTCTGTGTGAGATTTTTAATATTACGTAATAGTGAAACAGTTTATAACTTTATGTGTAATTATGCATCTGACATTTAATGATATTCTGTATATCAATAAGAATAATTATATCTCAAGTCTCTGTTTTACACTGTAGATCAGGACTTAGAAATAATATCTGCTCGCACATTTGCTCCACGAGGTCCATTGAGTAGCTGCTCTGTAGCTGTCAATCATATTCAATGGTTTTCTTCAGCAGGTGGAGTTTGCACAGTAGTCATGGAATCAAATTACCTCTTTATTGATCACTTAAAGGATTTTTTTTTTTGTCCGTGTTGAATTAAAAGCTGAGGTTCAATGAGAAGTTAATTCTTGGAAATTCTCACCACAAGGTCCATTTAGTAGCTGATCTGGAGCTTTCGATCATATCGCACACTCTTTATCTTTCAGCCTCAGCAACGGCAGGTCATGGTAACCAGGCAAACTGCCACTGAAGATCATGTGATATGACTGACTCGTCTAGAACAGCTGCTAAATGGACCGTGTCGTGAGATTGTTTTCTCAAGCGCTGTTTCCAGGCAGTTGTTTTTGAGTTTCAGTGCTGAACTTTAAAGACCTCACATTGTGCTATTTTTTATTTATTTATTTATTTTTTTCTTCTTGCTACTTCCTCGTCTGCCTTCGATGGTCCAAATAAAGTAAAAGCTCTCATCACAGCAGGGTCAAAACAAGAGAAACCAGAGCTTGTGTAAATGCATCACACACTGTATCTTAAGAGCAAGTGTAAATGGCGTCTTACGCGGTCTCCTCTCCGTCCTGTACTGTAGGTATCATCTGGCCTGTGGAGTGTATCCCGTATCCTCTGCGCTACATCAGCCTGGCTCTCCCTCAGACCTACGCCTCTGAAGCCCTCCGCTGTATCATGTACAGAGGTAACGTATACACACGTTACACAACACCCGTCAGTTTCATAATGTTATGAGATGCTGTAGCTTGCGTGGCATGTAGTTAGCGTGTGTTGGGAGTCAGATTGTCACGTTACATACACAGCACAGCCAGTGTGTGTGTGTGTGTGTGAGCCAGTGTGTCTAAATCATTAATCAGCCCTGGGTCCTGTGTAACTCAGCTTCCCGGACTGTGAGGTATAGTGGTTTCGCTCTGTCTCCCCGATCTCGTCTCCTCCTCTGGACCCGATCGTCTCTGAACAATAAGACCTGGCGACGGCCCGAGCTGCCTCCATGTTACGTGATACACGCCAAGCACAGGAAGTCAGAGCCGCCGTTTCCTGCTTGAAAAACCTTATCGTAGAGGGGCAGTGGAAGACGAGACACAGGCAGAAGTCAGCAGCGTCAGAATTCAGTTTGGGGGATGAACGGAAACTTCACCCTGCCACATTCACTGATCGGATTCACCTGCACTTTAGAGTCCCACCCCATGTGTCGTGTCCATGTTCTGCGACATGCATACATTCACTGTGACCTCAATAACTAGATGATATAATATCGAAGCTGGACTTAATGTGCTTGAGCTTTACTAGCTCATCTTACTGAGGAATGGTTGGTTTCTGCAGTTTTTAATCAGAGGACGCTGCTCATATACAGCACATGTATATGATTTATGAACAATCTCAACACAAGCTTCACGTAGGTTCTGGAGTTTTCAATAATATCTCTTGACCTTCATCTGCCAACGATGTTTTGCCAGTTGTCATGGGGCTGTTGATGTTCGAGGACATCTTGTTTTGTTCATATTGGCTTAAAAGCCGAGGTTCACAGTTGATTACCGACCTTGGAAAGACACGTCTAAACAGATGAGAAAAGTATCTCACCATTAATTCTAAATTTATTGATGTTAGTTGCCTTATTTTTTTATTATTATTGTGACACAGGGTGGTGAGATTGTTTTCTCAACTGCTGTTTCCAAGGTCAAGAATGAACTGTGAACCTTTGTGTGTGATCTGTGACTATATGCACTAGTTTGCATTTGTGAATAAAATATCAAGATCAAGAAACAGGGCTTTGCAAAAACAAACAGAGCGAAACAAAGTAAGTCAAAATAAAATGAAGCTCACACAAACACTATAATACTAAGAACAGCATAATGAAGACAGAGGTTCCTTAGATAAATAAAATTAAATGATGTTACTATGCTAACCATAGAAATGGTTGTAATTCTATGTAATTCTCTGTATCTATAAAGCTCTTACCACACTGAAAGGTATGTTCAGCATCATGGACGTATAGATAATGTTGTATCTTTAGTCTTATCAGTCTTACAATAAAGAGCTTTTTTACAGTCTAATTTATGATAATATTAATTACAGTAAGACAGAGCAGCCGGCATGTTGCCTGAGAGGTAAAACCCAGGGGAAAAAAAGCTCCATGTCACTCACTGTTTCTACTGCAGTCAAACCGAGACACCGAAAAGTTGTATCAGGTATAAATATTTAAAATGTAAATATACACTGGGCTAATTTCTGACATGTGTTGTGTCCACTTTTGACCTTTATGTCTGAACACTTTCCGACAGGCTGGGGTCTGTCTCGGATGATGGTGTGGCGAGGCTTCGCCGTCACCCTGGGCTGGAACACTTTCTTCCTCATCCTGGCCACGGTCATCTTAAAGCTGAGGACGTGACAGCTTCGTCCTGGAGAACATCCTTCAGTGTGTGTGTGTGTGTGTGTGTGTGTGTGTGTGGGTGTGGGGGGGGGGGGGGGGGGGGGGGGGGGGGGGGAGCCGTCAGGTGATGCCCAGGAGACACAGACTCACCTGTACGAGCCTCTGGTCTGTGGATGTGCAGAGGCAGCAGAGAGCAGGAGGGGAGGGGGGGTCACTGATTTAATGGACTGATGGGTTATTGCATCAGTCTCCCTCCTCCTCCTGTCCCACACACACACACACACACACACACACACGCGCACACACGCACACTCAGCCAGCTGCCTGATCCTGCAACAGTTGCTTTGGCCTGTTCAAATGCGGGTGAAGTGTCAAAAAGCTGCATGTAGAAGTACACAACAAGCACAATATGAGAATACTAATAACCAGGGACTGTTAAAGTAAGGTTCATGTCTGGTCTTACAGTTTGTTTCACTTCTATTTGCAGCTTGTTGAAACTTTTCACCCCCGGGACGGACCAGGCACCAACTCAGGGTCACTGTTTTGTTTCCGTTTGCCCTTTCGTCTTAATGCTAACAGACAGATTCTGCTGTGATACACTTTTCTTTCTTTTCAGAATAGGTTGAGCCTCACCATTTTGGAAAAAGAGAGGAAAAGAAAAATAACAGTGAATATACTGTAGGAGATAGTGTTTTTTTTTGTGTGTGTGTGTGTGTGTGTGTGTGTGTGTGTGTGTGTGTGTGTGTGTACAGTGTTTGTTTGTCAACCTTACATTTACATTATAGTACATCTATAGTGATTATAGAGAAAATCTTTATGTAAAATTGTCAGAAAAAGAGTCTTAGCACAACAGAATGTGAAAACTTTCTTGAAATGATTTTTCTCTAGTTGCTTTACGAGCAGAAAAAGCGAAGAGAGGCTTGTTGTTGCGAGATGTCGTGGGAACCCGGAATAGGTTTTAAAGTGCTGATCTCTTCATATATTGTCCAGGAAATTCTCACCCGTTCAGGCGTCCCCGCAGCAACAGCGTCTCCTCTAGCTGCTTGCCTGTTGTATGTTGTGCTCAGTTTTTACGTCCTGTCTCGTGTGTGACAGGAAGTGGTAACCGCGTCTCACCTCTCGGGTGCGTTACCAGGTGCTCAAAATGTAAAGAGGGCCTTCGTCATTGGTCGCTGTCAGTTCAGGTCGATGGTGTTCCCTCCGTAACGCTTGTTTTTTTGTGCCTGAATCTCCTGCAGGGGGGAGGGGGGGGCGTGATGTTGGTGGAGGGAAAGTATCGGTACTGTATCAGTTCATTTTTTGATTACTCTCCACTTTGCTGGACGGAGTGGAGGCAGATGGAGAGATGTTTGCTCACAGGTCAGGTGTGTCACGCTCTTCAAACCATCTGCATAATATATGGTTTGTTTTTTTTGTTTGTTTGTTTTTTTTAACACGAAAGATTCAAACTGCTCATACTTTATATTTTGTTTATGAATCCTCCTGCTCCACCAACAATAAATGAAGCACACATGCTGTTTTGGATTCAACGTGTCATGGAGATGTGCCTTTGGGTTGCTGTGTCGTCTGCACTGCGAGGAAAGGGAAATCCAGAAATGAGGAATAACTATTAAAAATCTAAACCGCCATGCAGCTGGTGATTGTCAGTTTAGAGCCAGTGAGAAGCGAAGACCTGAGCTTTGACGGACCGTCCTTTTGTGTTTAAGTTATCAGTGATGAAGAAGGCTACATTGGTACTTTGACATCGATTTAATTGATATTCTTTTAGAAATACACTTTTGTTTTTAAAATAGTCGGCCAGTCTTTGGATTGTGGGGTATTTTTCCTGTGAACAACAAACAAACATGAAATAACATGTTAAAATAATGATTAAAAGACTGGAAAAGATAATAATAAGACAAAGTTACTGTATTCTGTTAATAATAAATAATTACATTTCTTTTAATTAAATTACTGCATACATCCGACCTTTTAGAGGAATAGTTCCACATTTTAGAAAATAACCTTATTTGCCTCATTGCTTAGAGTTAGAGGAGTGTGTGCTCGCTAAATATGAAGCTTAGTGCAAAGACTGGAAACATGGGGAAACAGCTGGTCTGATTCTGCCAGAAGGAAACTAAATCTGTGTACCAGCACCTCTGAAGCTCACTAATTAATACAAGAAATAGGCCGGTGCACAAGCCTCTTGTAAAACCAAGTTTTCACATTTCCTTTCTGAAACGATAACATGTGAATCGCTGGCTGTCGATCCTCTCATCTGAAGCGAATCCCAAAATGTCTAAACTATCTCTCTAAACTGAAGAACCTCTGACGGCAGACCACAGACTCAGTCCAGCGTCACATGTTGTGCCAATCTCATAAAGATTTAGAAATGTTTACATTCATGTGGACGCATGTTTGTACATATACCAGCATGAGTTGTGTTTAGATGTGTCGTGAATGTTTCCCCCTCTCTTAGTAGCCGTGATGTGACGTGTTGCAGCGCTGCTAATGGATGGTTTATGTCTCCATCAGCAGGACGAAGAGTGAATCTAAATGGCTGTAAATCTCTCTGATTGGTTTGCATCATGGTCTGATGGTAAAGATGTATGTACAGTGCGCTGTGTGTGTAATGCTAGTGTTTCCTGCATTGAATCTGCTGTTGTTGTAGCTCTGCTGTACAGTCATCAGTGTTCCCGTCGCACATTTTAAGGGACATCGTGTTGTTGTTGTTGTTTGGTAGAAGTTGGGGCGCGGCCTCGGACAGAAACACGCTCCTGAATGGACTCAGCTGTATTTTTTATTTTATTTTATTTTATTTTTTTTGCCAAACTGTGAGGATATATTTACTGTAGCTCTGTTCATTTCTTACCTTGACAGAAAGTTGAAGGTGAATCCCACGTCATGACGGGACGGACCTCTGTGCCTCACTTGACTCCCATCACACTATAATGTACTTTTAGAAAATATGTTAAAGATAGTGGACAGTCACTGGTAGAAAAGAACCGAGTGCAGCGTACATGAAGATATGGACATTACTTGGTGATATTGTGACTGTATTTTTTTTGTGTTTTTTGGCTAATTTCTGGACAATTGTGATGTTATTGCCAAAAGTTTGTCTTAAATCTGTGTAAGATTGTCAAATGGTTATTTTTCTTTTTTCTTTTTTTTCTAAAAATACTCCATATATCCATTTTGGAGGAATAACCTTATGTTCACTATTAAATACCCACGCTCCATTCTGTAAATCTACCTGCAAAAACCAACTCACCATTATATAAGCATGTTATAAGATTTACATGAACTGCAGTTATCCCGCTGAAGACACTATGTCAAATAAGCTGATTACATATGTTCTTAGTAAACGGTTCCACCCCTATATTTCTCCTACAGCATAATGTGATGAATGTTGTTGATTTGGGGATGTTTGTGTCGGTTGCTCAGTCACTCGAGACTGAAATAACTCAAACTATTCCAGATGATCAATCCCAAATGACTCTGGAGATGCCCTGATTTTCCCACTAGCGCCACCATGAGGTTGACGTTTTGTGGTTCAAGAGTGAAATATCTTGACAACTATCGGGTGGATCGTTGGTGAAATTTGGTCCAGACATTCATGGTCCCCAGAGGATGACTTGTAGAACCTTTAATTCCCCGAGCTTTCATTTTTCATTTAACACCAAGCGTCTATTGTCCAAACAGCAATATTATCTTGCCCTGAAAACCAATTTTCTCAGTTTCTTACTCGCAGCAACTGGTCCTACAAAAACACATTATTATTTCAGATAGAAAGATAGACAGATACTTTGTTTATCCCCGAGGGGAAATTAATGAATGGAGATTTTTGAATGGAGCTCTGATGCCAGCTGTGGGGTTGTTTGTTGACGTTACCAGGACAATGTTGGTCAAATCTCATCAAACCACACCCACGTAGTCCTGATGAAGCACGTTAGCTGAGTGTGTTTAACCTTTAATGAATAATAACCTGATCTTGTTTTTTTTCCAAATGTAAACCTTAATTGTTGCGTATTTAGTCACAAATATTTAACTTTATCGAGCAATACTTCAAAAACCAGGTTTTCAGGGGCGTTAAGGTCGTATTAAAGAAGCTGCTAAAATTGTAATAATTCATATTTTCCATCCATCCATATAAGTCATCAGAAAGTGCTATAATTTACTGTGACAGACAGTTCTTATTCAGAGTTTTGTCTTCTTTTAATATCGGAATATTGCAGTTCATGTAAACATATACTGTATAAGAAGTTTGTCGCCAGATGTACCATGTTTTATCTGCTCCAAACTCCAGTCGACTACCTCCGCTGTCTCTCCCCAAAGGGCATGTACACTCCTGTGTTGTGACATGTATGCACTGTGATAGCAGACATGCTTTGATGAAGTTCTATTAATGTATTTTCAAACAATAAAAGAAAGAGAAAAACCTCGTGGAGAAATCCTCCCTTTGTCTCGTTGTTGTGCGTTTCACATCGGTGCCAGATTTTACTCAATACCAAAGTACAAAAATCCCCCACAATTCCTGCGGCTACAAAAACACCCGGAGGCCGTGGATGACAGATTTATTCAGTGACATCATGCTTCGCTTGCATCACTGTGTTGCTTGTTACCATGGTGACGAAGATGACCCTGCTGCCTTCTCCAGATTCTCACCTGACTGACTGACAGTTTGAACTTTGCACGTGTGTGTGAGAGAGCACGTGTGTATTAGTGAAATGTATTGATGTGTGTGTGTGTGTGTGTGTGTGTGTGTGTGTGCGTGCTATGAGATTATCAGTTTGCGTGTGTTTGGGTGTGTCTACACTCAAGTCATTTGTGTAGACTAACCTTTGGCTTTCCAATCAATATAATAATAATAATAATATTTCCTCCAAAACAATTTTGGGATGAAATCCTATGTAACAGGAGCAAATGTAATGACTAACAGTAAAACTATTTGAATTGCAAGCCAAACATTTTGAGGTGAAATCTGAAGATATTGAAATTAAGCTTTTCTAGTGTAAACTAAAACATCTGTGTAACAATTTTAGGCCAATTTAAATTATTAATACAAGCCAACATAACGAAATACTTACTTTAACCCAAACTATGATCTAACCCAAACCAAGTGGGTTTTGTACCTAAGCCTAACCAGACCTTTGCCACATAAAAGGGTTAGTCATTCATTTTTCCCATGATTTCCATGATTGTATCAGACAACCTATATGGTCATTTAGGTTGCTGTGTTCATTTGCTTACACCAGCATCACGTTTAATTGCTAAAATATTTTCTAAGTGCCCTTGAACACATTATTTTTTACTGCACTTAAAAGGATAAAGCTGTCGTCGTTCTGTGTTTTTGTTTTTCTCAACAAATCTCATGAAAACCAACAATGCATTTTCTTCAGGACTTCAGGACTTAAACCTACGGCCGACCTCCCAAACGTGTTCATGGAAATGGAGGATCGTGTCACCGGTGCAACCGTGTGACTCACTGACATGTTTATTGTATATTATACATATGTATATATAGTTTTTGTACAACAGTGGAGCTCCATGACTCCATTACTTGTGCGTGAGTTCTTGAATATCAGCTCAGAGTTGTGGTGTGTTCACATGGGAGTCGGCAAGCGTCTCGGATGACTTCCCCTACAGACAGCAACGCTTCAACAGATCACACGTGGCTTCCAGCGAGTTTCCAACAGGTACCTACACTCCCTCTAGACTTGTTCTCCGTGCGTGCTCCTGCCTTCTCATCTCCCTCCATTAAACCCAGTATTAGCATTTCAACAGGACACTAGATTAGAGTGGTTATGTTTCCTGGAGTCCTCTGACCTGAAACATATACTCGTCAAGAGGAGCTCTACAAGAGATAATCTATTTCCCACAAGCAACGCCTCTGGGTGTTTGTTTCAAATGTACTCACATGTGCATTTGAAACAAATATCCAGTGCTGTTACGTTAGTGAAAATCCCCGAGCAATTTTCTTTTGTGCGAGCGACCGCCGATCATCTTCTGTACACTGTCATGCTGCTCAGAGTCTAATGTTTCAACACGGCCACACTACACCTTGTAACGCAGCCGCTGGAAAATAGGTAACGGCCTTACTGACAGGCTGCTATTAAAATGCTCCTTTATTCAGTGTGAGATGACAGTCTGGTTGTCTATCCGCAGCCAATTACAGTGGTTGGCGAGCTTAGTGATGACACCACACCTAATTACAGTCAAATGGCTCTGTAATTATATGCAATGACAAGTCTCATAGGACTATAGACTTGTATGTTGCTGCTACATATATACACGTAATGTGATAAGGGCAGAAAGCACAAAATGCTCCATTTAATTGTGATAATGGCAACCCAACATGGTAGGAGAGCATTATGGGTAACAGATGAAACTGATCCTGGTGATGCAAAGTTTCTCCAGCTTTAATTAAAAGAGAATTCCAGTAACATTGAGAGTTAAGCCAAATTTACTGCTGTCTACATCTGGTTCACATTACCTCCAATCATTTCGCAACACGTCATGCAATTACATTTACCAAATCTCCCGCTCTTTATTCTTCTTGAAAACATTATGCTCTAGTTTACCGTAGCTTGAAATTAGAGCTGGCTTTGCCTTCCCAGCTAACAAAGGGCCACTGAAGAAGAAGAGTAGCATATGTATTAGTGTATGTGGCAGTAAAACTTATGATGTACACTATCATCGCCTGAGGTGCGACAAGATCTACAAACCATGAGCAAAAGAACCAAATGAAATGCTTCACATTTACTATCATGGATTAAATCACACTTTCGGAGTTGTTTTGTGCAGTGACGAGATATCAAAATTACTTGTGATGAAGGAGGAAGTGCCTTCATGCAGATACCAGCGCTAGGAATGAAGATAAGAAGAGCAACATAGAAATAAGATGAGGTGAACTTTATTCGTCCCACACAGTGAACTTGAAGTGTCAGGGCAGGAAGAGAACAAGAACAGATGGTATAGATGAGTTAATAAAAAAAAAAGGGTTGCAACTATTGTCATGTGATGTTCTCGTTTAACATAGTGGTTTACAGCGGCTTTGTCGACACTGGTGCTCACTTTGAACTTTTGAGAAAAATACCACAGGAAACCAGTATGAAGTGAACTGCCATGAGCTGGATGTTCTGTAAATGAAAATCTTTTCAACAAAACAAATTGTTGTCTCGTTGTTTACATCCACCCGGGGAGCTTCATTTCTCTCTTGCCGGTAATCGGCGGCTACACTTGGGCCATTTGGCACTAAATGCCTTGCTCAGGGACACATAAACACCATCTACTTATTGAAGCAGACTCACTTTCGTTGCCAATATTAATGATACTGTCTCAGCATTTTAATCAGCACCTTGTCCAACTCCAGAGCTACAGTCAATACAACTGTATCTGCTTTGTTGTGTCCTCAGCTGCAGTGTATTTTTTGAGTTTTTGCTTTCCTTTTTCTATTTGCCACAACATGACTATCATCATCTCATCATCTCATCAATCAATGTC